TGTGTGTGACTAAATTCGGCATTTTGTGAGACTAATTCCGGCGGCGCTTCAAACTCTACTAATTCGTAATGCCAACAGTCTAGTGTTCTAATTCCGATCGCTGTGTGAGCTGTATTTGAATACGACACAGCTTGGAATTAGAATACTATTGAATATTGAACACTACTTAATTAGGCTTTTAATTAACAGCTATTAAGCTTTTAATTAAGAAAATTTACAATTTTGCACACAGCTTGGAACAAGCTGTGTGTGTCTAATTCCAAGCTGTGTGTATCTAATTCCAAGCTGTGTTGGAATTAGTTTTTATGTCTAAAACCATCTCTTAACTTAATCATCTATTAATTTTTTTACCACTTGAAATCAGCAAATACAAGTATACTTAAAGGATTCCTAATATATTCACAGACGTATTTAAAAGTCTTAAACCATAATACCATCAAACGGGGTAAAAAGAGACAGGCGGGGTAAATAGGGACACACATCCCACATTTCGCAGAAATGTTGTAGCAGCTAAACTAATCAAAATATTGCAAAACTAAAAAAAGAGTGTAAACTTCAACATTTTTACTATCTATTATGTATAAAGCTAGTCAAGAAATCAAACATTTACTACCTATCTCTAAAAAATCGGTGAAAAAAGGTGTGAAAAGTCCGATTTTGGAAAAGTACCTCCGCTAAGGTCTGGAGCAAAAAAATATTTGCCGTATTGAAAAATTTTACTTACATAAAATTTGCACCCAGGTGTCGGCTTGAAAATGTAATTGACAGAGTTTGCCTATCTCATTCCCAAAAAAATGGCAGCCATTTCCGCGCGATGGGGTAAAAAGGGACACCCCCCTCAGGGTAATTAGGGACACCCTTAAAAATGCATTTACAGTAGAACCTCAGCAAAGGCTACAGTTAACAAAAAAAATTGATTAACAACAAAGAATTTTGATTACATTTACCTTGCTTGTTGAAAAAAATTCACTTATAGAAAAATTAGTGCATCATCTGTCGTCACAAAATTATACATAGAATGCTATATATAGAATTGTGCACCGAGCATCATAGAATGCAGAGTAATTGACCTAAACTATGATTTATTTCTTCAAAACATATGATGGTTGTCACTAAAACATTATTTTCTGTTTCAGGTATGTTTTTCACAATCTTTTTTGTTATAGTGAAATCACTAGACTCGATTAAAATTGTGCAAAATTACAAACCATCCTGTAAGCTTACAGATACAGAAGAAATGCTACATGGCTGCTGATATGAAGCTTGCAGTGGACAAGGTTCTTGTTAATGCTCAATGGCATGTCCATGAATACAGTAATATCACATTAATAATACGGCAATTGTTGAATATGGTAATATCATATTAATAAAGGAAAAACAAGTAAAAATCACCGAAAATGTCATTTATTTTACATCCACATCATCTACAATGAAAGAGGAGGACTTCAGAGTAGGTACTGTTAGTAATAGATGAGAACACTCTGCATGCTTCAAATGTTTGAAATTGAGTTTTATTTCAAGTGCCCCTTTTTACCCCATTTCAAGATTGATTCAGGAGCCTTTTATATTGCGTCTAGCGCCTTACAAATAGGATATGGATTTTTTTTAAGATGCGATTCGATAGCCCTTGCAAAGAGCTATAAAATGAGCCTAAACTTGTTTCTGAAATGTTTCATTGTAAGAAGTTATTAACAAAAAATGCTCAAAACCATCCCTTTTTACCCCGTTTGAAGGTATTCTTTCTACACAAACAGTTTATCACTATTTGGTAGAGCAAGGTCAACTATCAACTTTGACACGTTTTTTGATGTTCTCACTGGGTGACGCGCACTGTCTCTCTTTGGATCTCAACATTTTCCCACCAGACAGCCCAGACCTAGTGTTTTGGCAATAGTATGGCACGCAAAAGTATGACGTCACTATTTCAACCATCAACGAAACGAATGCATGGAACTTAGAAAAAGCTTAATATAAAGGAAAAAAGTTGAGAAGTATCGAAATTACCCACGATGTCAGAATATACCGCATTTACCCTACCTACTCACTATTGGAACAGTCATTCCCAGCCAAGTGGTCTGAAATTGAAAAAAATTGTCACCATTATGGTCTCTAATTTTCTTCAAATTTTAACTGTAGCACTAGTGAAGTGCTAAACTAAGTTTTCCAAAATATTAGGTCTTGTCACCTCTCATTAGACTGCAACAAATTCCTTGCAGATCAAGATATGGACTTGAACTTTTGAATAAGCTTTATGCTTGTGCTGGATATAAAACAGCCTGATTTTCAGCTTCCCAAACCCTATTGCCATCCTGCAGGATGTCTTCAAATTTGTCAGTGTCAGCAGTCCGCACATATGGTAAAATTTACCAAAGTTCAAAGCCAGTTGCTAAAAAATAGTCAGCTCAAATCTGTTTGTGAATAGGTAGTAGCATCTAAAATAGAAAATCTTCCTCTACAAGACTGAGTTTTTTTTTTTTTTTTTTTGCAGTGCAACCACTCATTTACTCAGGTCAAAATAGGCTATGTTATTTTTTGTAATTTGTATGTGCCAATAATGTGCAATATGCTAATTTTTTCTTTATTTCCAGAAAATTGAATCTCAATAGTCACTTATAATTACTGATATAATTTTATATTTATTTGTAAATTAGTCATTGATTGGTCAATCGCTTATTGTGCAATTTAAATGTGCATTGTTATCAATTTGATTGTGCCACCATATGTGAATATTGTAGCTTAATAAAATGTAATAAGAAGTATTTACCATCTGTTTACCATTCAAGGTGCCAACTTAGTTATATATGCTTAATTGTAATATATAGTATGTTTTATACTATATCAAGCCTTCAGTATAATATAATTAACTTGATTATTTTATTTAAAAATACCCTATATTGAGAAATCGACCACTGAGGCTCTGAATCTTTCAAAGTGGCAAAGCAGAGAGTTTTTTTAATGATGTCAGAAGTTAGCGAAGAAGAAGAATTGGTCCCTTGTTAAATTGGGATACATGCTGCTGCATCAAAGTGCCAAGTTATCTTCTATGCTAATAAGACTGGATTCAAACCTTTTAGTTATTTTGCATAATGTGACCAGAAAATACTTTTGTTTTGCATTCAGAAGCGAAACTTGAGAAAAATTCCATCATTTGCTTCCACCATGAAGCCCTTTTCATAACTGAATATTGATCCTTTCTAATATTGAAGCAAGGCAAAGTTCCAAGCCATGTCAAATCTTACAGACCCATAACTTTGCTGCCATGCATTGGCAAACTTTTGGAAACAATTGTACATAAAAGGATAGAATGCCACAATGAAATCAACCATGCACAGCGGCCCACTCAAACAGGATACCAGTATCAGTATATTATTTTCTTTCTTGTTTATTCTTATAGGAGCACTGAAAACTAGTCCGTAAAGCCCCTTGTCTAAACTGGGTTTAACTGGTACCTAGCAGTTTTACAGCTCTGAAAATTTGAAAATCTCTCTGATAACAGAGAACACACACACAAATACAAATAGTAAAGAAAACAGAAAAAGAAAAAAATAGTAGTAAATAGTAGTAAAGAAAAAAATAGTAAAGAATTTTTTTTATAATAAAATAATAAGGAAGAAAGTGATGAATGAAATAAATAATAGGAGTAAATAATTAAAGAAATGCGGTAAAAAAATTATATAAATAAAGTGCAGTGATGTATAACATGTATACATTACAGCACAAAATGTCTACAAAATTCAAGATATTGTCCACAAAAGGCAAGCCTCCACCATACTCCAATGGGTGTGAGGACACTCTGGGGTAAAAGGAAATGAGGTTGCAGACCAGGCAGCTAATATTGGTCATCAAAATCTCTTTTCTGCTGTGAGCATCTTGAGTGAAGAGGAGACACTCAATATTGTAAGCAAGAAGTTTTGCAAGCACTGGACGATGACTTGAAAGGCAACTGTCACTCACACTCAGAAGGGTATGTTTATGAGTGACCTCTTGACATTGACAACCCAGGTTGTGCTTTAGCTCTGCTTAAAGTCCTGCGGGTTTGAGTGTACAGCCACAAGACCCAGAATTGGGCAGGCCGGCATCAAGTCTTATCTATATAGATTCAAAATGAGCAACACTGATCAATGTACCCACTGGATGCACTAGCGCATTTTCTTTTGGATTGTCAATGTCCTATGTTTTAGATTGTCAACCTATAAAATATTTATTACTCTGGAAGCAGCAGATTTCATTCATAAGCAGGAAAATTGATAAGTTCTAAATTGATAAGTTCTAAAATATTAGCCAAAAATGAATAACAATTTTAGTTACAGAATTTTAGATCCAATATAATATGAACACTTGTTTATTTATTTCCTGTTCTCAATTCCACAATGAAACACATATTATTCATAAATTCTAAGGATATTATTTGTTGCATTGTGATAACAGGACAAAACTTACCAGAATAACTTGGGAAAGTCAGGGTTAGGGGCCTTAGTGCCTAACTCAAGGCCAGATTAACGTAGAAATATTTAGGCAATGTTTTTCCTCTTATTTGTTCATAAGTTTGTGTTTGAAAAAATTTAAGAGCTTGAAGTGGCTGAGTAATTTAAAATCACCAAGATTGGAGCACTTTGTTTGCAAACTTTGAAGGGCTTGAGGTAGCTGAGTCCCTGACTAAACTGGAAAATCAGGCAGAAGTATCATTTTTGTATTTATGTATCTTATATTCTTCTGTTATGACAACCAGCAATTTTCCTTGCCATAGAATGTTTTTGTAGATACAAATTTTTAAATATATAAATAATTTCACACATTGTGTTATTAAAATGATTCAATTAATTTTGTTGCTTTGATTTTAACAATACACTAGAATTTATTTATATATTGTTAACATACGTATAATATAGTTAAATAAGATACATTTAAAAAGATTTCTATACAAATTCATGGCAATCAATGTGTTGAGCTACCAGAAATTCTTGCAATTATTTGCTAATTTTCTGCTGACTTAATTTTCAGACATGTGTTATGTATGATAAGTATTGAAATATATATAGTAGGGAGTGCTATGAATGATGGAAGGCTTCTTGGACACTTTGGAGGATTGGCTGCTGGACTGTGGGGAGGCTTATCCATCTGGCAATGACACTGCAGGCACTGTTGTGCACTTGCAGGTAAGTGTACATATTCATGTCATATCCTTTCATGCATTGATCATGCTCTTCTAGTTATTGAGACTTCCAAGAATAGATTTCATCTGTTTTGATACAGGTAGGAATTTTCCTTCGATTGTCAAAATGGTGAATATCATGATGTATTATAAATAAAATCCTACTATTGTGAAATAACCAAATCTGTTTCCTAGTGCTGCATTTGTACAAGACTGGGAATTATATATAATTCTAAATTCTGTATAATTATCTCTCAAAATATTTACTTATCAATCAATCAAGTCAGCTGACATAATTTTGCCTTTTGCAAGTTTCATGAATTGAAAATTATGGTGAAAATATTATATAGATATGGATGAAAATAAATAGTATGTTATAATATTTATTGTTGACAGGCTCCTTCAGTGCTGCCCTCATTGGCGGAGACAGGCGGTCTGACTGAGCAGCAGGCACAGCAGCTGCTGGCCGTGTGTGACACTCAGTGCGAGAAGCTCCTCACTGCCATCTTTGCTCTACTGGAAGAAAGGAACAAGTACATACCTATAGGATATGTTGTTCAACTTATTTATTGCATATGCTCTGCCAAGAGATATAGGTAGGTGTATCTTTCAGACATATGCTCACTATGGTCACTTAAGACAAATAAATGTATTTTAATTTATCTTGGAATTTTTGCAATACAGGGTTTCTTCCAGTATGGGAAGTGAAGACAGTTTTGTGGAACTTTTTGTGACACTGTGAATGACAAAAAACTGTCACTGGCAAATCTTATGGCTTTTGATTATTCACCTGTAAGATTTTAAATGTATCACTGTCTGGATCACTTCTATGTACAAAGTAGCACGCATTGGGTGATCACGCTATTTACTTTGCGTTAGGACCTTTGAGCTGTGCCACATCGGCTGGTCGTGACCAGTGGTAGCATCGTGAGCACGATGATCATGATCATCGTCAATCCTAAGCAGTAGCTAGTGGATTGCCCACTGTCAACCCGAATGATCTAGTTCAGAGGGCTGTACCTGAGCAGTACAGTTGCAGCATAGTCTGCTAGTTCAGTGGGCTGTCTGCACCTGAGCAGTACAGTTGCAGCATAGTCTGCTAGTTCAGAGGGCTGTCTGCACCCGAGCAGTACGGTTACAGCATAGTCTGCTAGTTCAGAGAGCTGTCTGTACCTGAGCAAAAAAAATTATTAAATGACATTATCAATTGATTAAATTAAGTGAATGATATTAATTTGTCGTGTGTGTGTGAGGTACTGCGAGCTGCTGGACCAGGTGCTGCGGCAACTGTTCCTGCTCTCCCGCTGCCACCTCAGCAAACTCAGGCTCTTTGCGTTGCAGTTCTCGCCCTCTCTTATATACATAGATCTTCTTTCACTCTCAACTGGCGATGCAAAAGTGAGTGAAATTTTTCTTTTTACTACTTACTACTAAAAATTACTAGCAGATGCAATGATTAGCACATTCTAATGATGGAAGTAGAAGTTGATATTTATTTTGTATTTGATAAGTACCGTATACAACAGACTTGGCATTGCTTTATGGTAGCTTGGTTCAGGCTCATAATTCTCAAAGTTGCATTTACTGTCTGCAAATTGTCATGTCTTTATCGGCAATATTTTACTACAAGCTAATCTATAATTCTGAACAAAATTTTTTGTTTTAAGAAAGTTTTATTGGGCAATGGTTCTTCAATATGGCAAGATGTATACATGTATCAGCTTTAATTGTGATAGTCCTAAATATTGTGATAATGTACATTATTGGTGGTCCTCATATCTTGTGCGGACGAATAATATTCAATATTGAAAGGATATCAGATCATTTCACTTCTCTTTGCAGTTGTACTAAATGTTTTTTGCATAGCAAAGCCTCTTATTTCTGACTAACATCGTAGCTTGAAATCTTCCCTATGTTCTACAGTTCTATGCTAATTATTTATCACTAGATCAACCTATTAAACTTAATCAAGTTTATCATCTTGACAATGTTTATTGAAGAAACTCTATTCTTTCCATATATCTGTAAGAAATATTTAAAATATTGACAATTTTGATTAAAGAAACACGATATATTTGGTGCTTGAAAGATGGTGTCGAGCGTGGAGCTGGTGCTGCTGGCGCTCTACAACTGCGAGGTGCTCAACGAGCTCGGCCAGTTCAGGCTACCTCACTCCAGACTGCCTACACTCGCACGCCACAGCATTTACCATGACGTGCGTACAACAGCAGTGATGTCTTGTTACGCAGCATTTACCATGACGTGCGTACAGCAGCAGTGATGTGTCTTGTTACGCAGCATTTACCATGACTTGCGTACAGCATCAGTGATGTGTCTTGTTACGCAGCATTTACCATGACTTGCGTACAGACTTACCAGTTTCATATGAGCTTACAAATGAGCGTTGTATCCATACGGATCGTAAGTTATATTCAGGGGCAACTATTCTATAAGAATTTCCAGCTTCATTTAGAGCCACTCATTATTTTCATTTGAAGAAAATTTACCACCATTTTCACTTCATTTAGGCCTTTCTAACAGATTATTTGGGGCCATAGCATAAGTGCTATGTTTGAGATGCACAAAACTTATGATGTCATAGCTTGTAGGTATTCATTTGTCATCTCATATTTATTTTCTACATCTGGCTCTTACTTTGTTGAGGAATGTTCCAACAAAACTTTCTCCATTCCACCACCATATATACCAAGCGGAAGCAATAACCGCAGAACTCGTACGAAAAATACATATGTACCTTAGGCGTCAGGTACATAAAACAGGTGTCTCAACGCCTCGTCTCCTGCATGCCTAGTACTCGTCCAATGCACTCAAGTGAAGAACTAACATCAATAGTTGGAAATTCATGCTAGTGTAATCATTTAACAACGTCACGTTTTAGGTAAAGGGGCAAATAGACTTTATAAAATTACATTTTTTTTGCCGTTCACAAACGAATCATCATTCAACCTAAAGTGAAAAACTTAGTTCATCGTCTCACAACTTGTAGACTCATTCGGTCCCTCAGCATTCTGAGCTATCCCATTATAAGTATCAAAACACAATATTATATAACTTATTATGAATAAAATCAACCCACAGCCTCAGTGGGTTAGCCAGAAACACAGCCATAGTTGATCTTCTGAATATTACGTGCACAACCTAGTAACTATTTAATATATAATTTAATGAAAACACAGGCTAATATTATGGCGTGTTTGGTGAGACATCTAATATAACACGTAATATCCATCCTCTCGCAGCCGGCATCGCTGGGCCCCGCGTCATTCAGCGCGGACTCGCTAGTTCGGTACGAGCGCTCAGAGGAACGTCTGCCGCCCCTGCCACCTGCCACCCTGCCTCTGCCTGGCGTTGCTCCTCCGCCTGCACACTCCGTTGCCATCAGAGGTCTGATCCCCCTACTACTCCCTACTAGTACTACTACTCCCTGGGGACTTGTATTAACATTCGTATTATCTTTTTCACTCTACTCATTTGTATTATCTTTTTAGCGCATTTTCTCATTTGTAGAAAAAATGCACTATTGTGCTCGCCATGTCCGTTTGTCCGTCCGTGACCACGTTTTCGTCGACGAGAAAATGTGCTCTCTGTCACTCACTGCAGTGAGTACTGAGTTATATTTTTTATGCTGATCCGCTATAATGTTCCGCGATTTAGTCGCGTATGAATGACTTAATGTTTGCCGTAATCGCAGAAGGCAGCATGAGCAGCAACAGCAATAGCAGCGGTGGTGGGGCCAACAGCAGCATCAACAGGAAGAACAGCACTGTTAACAACAGCAGCAGTCAGCACCTGTCTAGCATGACAGCAGCTACCCGTCCCGTCGTCCTGTCTTCTGTCATGGCTGCCTTCAACGCCACCGTCTCCTGTCTGCACCGAACTGCGCTTCTGCAACTCTGCAGATACACATCCAGGTGTGCTGCAGGTACAGGCGTGTTGCTGCAGGTACAGGCGTGTTGCTGCTGGTACAGGCGTGTTGCTGCAGGTACAGGCGTGTTGCTGCAGGTACAGGCGTGTTGCTGCAGGTACAGGCGTGTTGCTGCAGGTACAGGCGTGTTGCGCTGTCATGTTACGTCTGGCTGTTGCGCATGCCGCTGTTGATGTTGTTGGTTCTAGTCTCGTTTAGGCGTAAGCACGCCTCCCCTAACCTGCGTGCCCTTGCGCAGGCTGGTGACGCACGGCCTGCCGCGCTCAGGCGCCCACCAGCAGAGGTCGTCCTGGTCGGAGGGCGCCAGCAACACGGGCGCCGTCCCTGCGCTGCCCACACCTCGCCTCGCTGCCTCCCCTGACCTCCTCCTGCAGCTCGTGCTCGCTGCCTACGCTGCTGTGTCAGTACACTAATGTTCCTGTAATTAATGCTCCTCCAAATATCTCATTGCCAGTGCCGTGTTCAGTACACTACTGCCTCTCTAACTAACGTACCTCTAACTGTTAATTTCAATAATAGTTCACGTCTTCGTTGCTGTGTTGTTTACGAATCATTTATGTACAAAGATTGTATCATTGTGACTATCAAGTGGGGCTCATCGTTGAATATTAGTCGAACAAAGTTTATTTATTACACCTTCCTTCCCATTTGTTGAGCGCTGTGTGCATTTCATCAATATTGTCCTGGAATCACATTAATTTTCTCTCTATTTTTACATCCGTTGAGGCGCCCTAATAGATTGTCATAACGTCTTAATTTAACTCTCCCTTAATATTGAGTGCAAGAAACGAACTTGCAATTGGCATTAAAACACATGGTGTAAAGTAAGAAGCCATCGAGCTGATGCCGTTGAGGTGTTGGTTTGCCTCACCAACGACTGACGTGAGCTTCTCGCTACAATTGTGTGTATGGTTTGTTGTGTGAAGTGATGTGTTCTGTCAATGGCCATTATTATAGCCTCATGTTGATTTACGTTGCGTTTTAACTTTCAATATTAGCAATTTCTTCCTTTCTCTGTACGTAGTATTTGTTGAGTATATCATAAGTTTGTATTTAGTCTATTTACACTACATTCTCTTGGTGTGTATTTGCACAGTATTTCTCCTTTTTCGTATTTGGACAGTATTTATATTTTTTTCGCATTTGCACAGTATCTCTCTTTTTTCATATTAGACAATATTTCTCTTTTTCGTATTTCCGCTGTATCGTTTTTATAGAATTTCCACAATATTTTTCGTATTTGCACAGTATCCCCGTGGTTTGTAATTACAAAGTTTTGAATTGGTTCGTATTTGCCTAGTATCCCATTGATCAGTTTTAAAATGGCTGCAAATTGCTTATACTGAGGATGTAATAAATTATAATTTTTCCGTTCACACTTTATTATCTATCACTTCATGCCTGCTCCTTTGATTGCATCTTGATTTTACGTAAAACTCCTTTCACAATTGATTCATTGTACACAATATATTGGTTTATTGCTGTCACGAACTCCTTCTCTGGATGCACTTCATGTCGGCACGATGTTTTGTCCTCTTCAAACTGCCATCGCAATGCCATCATCCGCGCAATGTTGCCAACATGTGCACGCAATCGATAAATTCTTAAGTGCGCGTGCTATATTGGGGTAGGTCATCTACCCTATGAAATTGTCTATTTAATTGTTGCTAATGGCTGTCTGATCCGGTAATGTCTGTCTGGTCCGGTAATGTCTGTCTGGTCCGGTAATGGCTGTCTGGTCCGGTAATGGCTGTCTGGTCCGGTAATGGCTGTCTGGTCCGGTAATGGCTGTCTGGTCCGGTAATGGCTGTGTTACCGGTAATGGCTGTCTGGTCCGGTAATGGCTGTCTGGTCCGGTAATGGCTGTTTGGCCGAGCGCAGCGACCATCATGAGGCTCAAAATAATTTTTCAGACACTAGAAAAACCGTTTAAAAGAAAAAGTATTTTAGCGAAATCGGTCAAGTGGTTTGGAAGGTAAAAATCATACTGGCGGAAGTAAACTAGCTGTCTTAAACTATTATTGATGACTGATACGATAGTTTCAGGTTAGGTTAGGTTGCTCCATTGTCTTGAAGTGTGATAAGTTTGAAGGGTGTTCCTGTTTGACGAAGGTAAGGGTATTCAGGCTGGTTGCTTGTGCTGCTTCTCAAGCGAGTTACAAATTCCACACCCAGAAATGTATGGATATCTTCGTTTATCGTGCGCGAGGTTTGATAAATCTTCTGATGCTTTTCACTGCCGATTTCACTCCTGCCAAAGCTATTTGCGTTTATGCTCTGTTTGTTCAACATATATAAATTGTGTTTGTTCAACAAATACAAACTGGACTGCAATTTTTTTCTGCTCGTTTCTTTAATTTTAGTGATCTGCTAAAAAATTATTCAGAATTTTCCGTTCCGAGTATGGATTGTAAGCCGTTTTTTGTGCCTTCTATATTCTTATAATCTTTGAACGCTCTTGTAAGACACGCTGTACATTGTTTGAGTGGAGAAAGACTCGTAGCTTGTGAGGTAACTAAAGTATTTGGGGCTCGTGGCGTTAACGTTCATTTCGTGTCTCCTTTGCATTCCGCTCTCATGGCTACACACACGCCTTACATTTTGCCTGCTTCTTTACTGCTGCCTCTCTTGATGCTGGTACTGCCACCACTGCTGGTACTGCTGGTACTGCCACCACTGCTGGTCCTACTGCTGGTACTGCCACCACTGCTGGTACTGCCACCACTGCTGGTACTGCCACCACTGCTGCTACTGCTGGTACTGCCACCACTGCTACTACTGCTGGTTCATGGCTGGTGGTTACCCTGACGCCCCCTGTGTTCGGCTGTCCTCACGCCGTCGTTGCGCAACCCTCGCGCTGGGGCTGCCAGCCACAAGTTGGGCGAGAGCGAAGTTCCCGACGAAGATAGTTCTCCTAGCAACGGTACTGTACCTAACCCTACAGCTAAGAAGAAGAGCAACAGTTTGCCTTCTCTGCATCACCACCATCATCATCATCACCGTCATCACAAACGCTCCAGGTAATGTACAGAAAGCTTAAGCAACGTGTCTCTTTGTTGCTTATTTATGGCTAAGCTCTTCTCTGCAAGATGGCTTATTAGCGACCACTGGACGTTGTTTTCAACGTCACTAGCGTCGTTTTTATGTCAATCATGACGCAGCGTCTTGGCGTGGCCTTGGTCATGAAAAAAGGCAATCGTTGAAGTAGGTAAGTAATACGTTTTAAATTATCTAAGAAATTATTAATATATAACATAAATAAATAGACTTTTATTATATACAATGTTAGCTGTTAGCTAACTTGAATCTTTTAGTTTTACTATAGAAAAGAATCTGGGTATTATTTTGCTCACATAATAAATAATGTAATTGTATTGTTAAAGTGCCTAGTACTTGCTATAGTGATGAGTGTGGAATTATAAAGCGTTCGTAGTGGTGGTAGTCTGCATTATGGTGATGAGGAAAAGGAGATGACTTAGCAGTGGGCTCGTAATTCGTAATATGTATATGATATATCTCTGTTACGTTGATAATTAATAAGTGTTGTGAAGTTTCTAATGTGAAACATTATTACGGTTCGTTGCGGTTCTCGTGAATTGCTGCATGTGAAATAATGGCATGCGAGCGCTGTTGATGCCACGCATCATCTTGCTCCTTGCTAGGGTTAATTTGCTGATTAAAAACTCCTGTATTGTGTACATATTATTTTTTGCAACTTTCCGTGTTTGTCTCACCGGGTACTGAGTTTTTCTAACATACTATGGTTATTATTTGGAATTTTGAATGTCTTGTGCAAAACCGAGGAGTTTGATTTCATGGTCGTTATTTTGGAAGAGAGAATTACCTAAATATGCAATATTGTAATAATATCTTATGAACTATCAACAGTATTAGATTTATACGTGTTAATACTCAACTTAACCACAATACAATTACTAGCCACATTGTTTCGCGACCTGTCTGGAAGAAATGAGGATAATGACGTATAAGGAGTTTTGTTTAATGTGTTTCATTTTAGTCCGCGCAGGAGCGTAGTTAATTTAAAGACTTTTTGGTTGCCGATACCCTGACTTACTTCCTGCTATGTATTATAATTCTTGAGTGACTTCTTAGTATCTCTCAGTTTGCTTTTTGTAAATTACCTATTCTGCAATCTCGTTATCTTTCTATACATAATGCTGTGTGCATGGGAGTCATGGGTGGCGTTGATACTTTTGCTTTGAATTATTTGGGTTGAGTAGCGCTCGGAAAATCGATCATATTACTTTGCCATCATTTCAATGGAACGACGAAATAAAATGTTCTGTTATACTTTTATATCTCTCAGGAATATGCGAATAATCCGGGTACTTTTTAAATAACCACATTACGAATGAACTTTAGTTATTATTATAATGTGTTGTAGGTCATCGGGTGGGAGCGAATGCGTGTGCGTGGCGATACAAGCGATCGAAGACATTCAGCTGCGCTGTGAGTGCGACCTGCTGCCTGACATGCTGCACCTCTGTTATGCTGTCACGCACAGCCTCAAGCATGACAACATCATCAATGGTGAGTGTGCTCATCACACTTGTGAGACGCACTCTATGTACGGGTCACCACATGTGTGTCACGGGTCGCTTTACACATCACACTCACCACCCATCACACTCACCCCACACATCACACTCACCCCACACATCGCACTCACCACTCGTTACCCTCACCCTTATGACCTTATGACCTTATGATGAGTTCGGGACTTCCTAGTTCCCGGTCACGCTGATGCGATACAAAAAGTAACCCCACACACCTCACTCGCACCACACTCACCTCTCATCACACTCACCCCACACATCACACTCACCCCACACATCACACATGACACTCCCCAAGTTCGTACGTACTCGTGCAGGTGAAGGCAGCGACGCGTCGCCCCTGGTGTACGTGCCCCCGCCGCCCTCCACGCCCCTCGCCAAGACCTGCATCACCAACGCCTCCTTCAGGACCAAGAAGCTCCCAGGTACTGTCATGGTTTGGACCTTATGGTCTCCTAGTTCTGCTAGGCGTGGCTAGGATCTTATGGTCTCCTAGTTGTGCTGTCATGGCTAGGACCTTATGGTCTCCTAGTTCTGCTGTCATGGCTAGGATCTTATGGTCTCCTAGTTGTGCTGTCATGGCTAGGATCTTATGGTCTCCTAGTTCTGCTAGGCGTGGCTAGGATCTTATGGTCTCCTAGTTGTGCTGTCATGGCTAGGATCTTATGGTCTCCTAGTTCTGCTAGGCGTGGCTAGGATCTTATGGTCTCCTAGTTGTGCTAGGCGTGGCTAGGATCTTATGACGCACTTCTGCTAGTTGTCGCGGTTGAGAGCGTTCAGGGATTTATCCATTCGTGCCGTATTGTTTTAATTTCATTGCATTAATTCTTTGTTGTGGTTGCTGGAAGATCGCAGAGAAGCGGGTTTTGAAGAATGTCGACTCATTATATTTCTTTAGACTCTGTAAGGTCGGAAATCTTGTGAGCTTTGAATTTCTTCCGGCAAATTTGAGTTATTTTTGTTTCTAACGCGGGTAATAAAGCAGTTAACTTGAGTGGCCTCCCTCTTACCTGCTTGGTATTTGTAAGCATTGAAAGTATTTGTAGTTGAGCGCCGCAAGTAGCGTTGTTCAGGCATCGGTTAGTGTGATCCCTCGCGGCGCGACTGCCGAGCTCGTGTCTGCTGTAATTTGCTTCCGTAGCTCCAGGAGGGATGGACATTACTCGCTTGAATCTACCTCATCTGCCTAATGTTCGAATTCTGCAATTTTCCAAATGCTACTCAGCCTAAATGTACTAAATAAATGACCGTTAGGTTATGCTTTGTTATGAATAAAATGCCCGTTATCTAGACTACATTAAATTCGAAGGGACTTAAGTGATATAAGGAATTTTATAGGGCCAACAACCACTCGGAGACCGGAAAAACGCCTATTTAAAATCTATCTGCATGTGATTTTGTTCCAAAGCAAAGAATCTTTACTTGGTCTGTTTAGTGGATGGTTCGAGAGTCACTGCTTTGGTTCAACTTAAGCTGGTACCGTTATTATCACCATGTTTTTTATCATAGGTATCTGACTTCTTTAAGTTAAATGTGGAGCTCTTAAGTTTTAAGAACGCTGGTCCACTCCTGCCTCAATTTGAGCAAGCTTTGCCAACCAGTAAGACTTGTTCCATTAGTTAGTGAAGAGTTTTACGTGTGATAAGTTCTTGTGCTCGATGACGGGTTTTTCGTTGAACCTTTGCTCTCGCTTGCTGTCAGACGTTTATTGTGCTGTACCTGTACAGTTGTCTATAGTGTACTGTTCGCTAGCTGAACACAACTGTTCTTGACGCTTCTATGTTCCTATGAGATCTCCCTTATGAGTTCAGGTTCAGAACAATGGAATTGAGAAAAATCAATTCATTTATTAAAATTCCTGAAAAAATGCGCCATTGCATCGAATGCAAACGATGCATTTCATAATGTTTCTTTGTCTATGTCGTATTACCTTAAGAATATTTGCACGCGTATACATATATAATACTGTGTTTTTGTTTAACAGTGATCAAATTAATGGCTATTCTTCCTGTTTCTCTTTACTTGATGGTTTTCCATTGGGATTTTTCTTAGAATGTTGTACTCCTATAATCACGCGATTCATTTTAATGGTATTTTTGACGTAGAATGCAAATTAGTTAGGCCATGCAGTGCCCGAATTTCCTTAAAATCAGAAATTTGGAAAGAATGCCTAATTTTGTACTAGCTCACTCATAGTTCAGACTATTATAGTTCCTGTATACTATTATCAGTAATAGTGGCAGCAGTTAAGGTGTAGCGTGTTGTTGTTGTAATTATTGTACAGTGCTTGTGTGGCTTTTGTATGCAGTTCTCTTTAAAGATGAAAGTTCCATGTATTAGATAGTTTCAATGTCGTGGTCTCGTCTATAGTGTGTGTTGTCTATGCTTGCACTTGGTGTGTTGCAAAAACATTATAGATTGCCTGTTTCATTACAAGTGAGTAGGTTTAGCAAGCAAGCTTTGTTCATCCTCTAACCCAAATCCTGATTCTTTTTCTCTCTGCATGCCGCTGCTGCCATCTCTGCTCCATTGATGACCGTTACTCTCATGGACGTTGGATGAGCGATCTCCATGGTGCTCCTCTATCTCTCTCTCTTTTTGTAATATATTATTTCACTCTCGACCTATTCTTCTATGATCATACTCTATGCTAATGCTTCTGTAACGAATCTCATGTGTCCGCTAAACCAAATGTTTCAACGCACGGGAATAATTTCTTTGCCATCAATTCCTTGGTAATCAATGTATCACTTTACTTCTGCGTACACATATTGGTTCATTAATTCCATCTTTATCACTATGAAAGCGTGCGGTCAATCTTTAATAATAATGATCTAAACTAAACGTAATGTTAACAAAATTGTTCAAATCTTCCATTTAAGCTATCAACATGAATACCCTTGTTGAAATGTATGTCTCTGTGGAAATACACAGACGACTTACTATCTGTGAGCGAGCAGACGTCCTATAATCCCTTCACTCCGGAGCACTACATGCAGGCAGAGGAGCTCAGCTGCACCGACCCTCGTGTCAAAGTCGTCGCTGCCAAGAAGCTCGGCGTGTCCGCGATGTCCTCGGACGCCAAGAAATACATGCGCGGTATCAGGTTTGCCATGGGACAGGAACGGGCCCATGGCCCTGTACACAATCCTGATGCAAGGACGGGTCCTAGCAGTGCTGTGGCACGCGTATCCTTCCGATCCCCTCTTCTGAGGAAGCTGCATGTCACCAAAAATAAACTCGGTGAGAAGAATGCTGAAGTTGCTGAGCCTGAGAGGCAATACGAGCACGCGAGAAATCTCCTGGCAGATGTCAGGAGCATCGCACCAACATTAGATAGTGACCAAGCGAACGAAGTGTGCTCTTCTCTAGTCATCCAAAATATTAAACAAGATTATATTACTTCCGCATCTGCCCCCAACAGCTCCCGATCTACCCCTCAAATGGGTTTAAGTTCTCTCAAAAAGAAACTCAGTCTGGTGCCGGGCTATAAAATATCCGCTGATAATACGACAGCAAATTGTGATGTATCACTTGACGATGCTGCTGTGGCAATGGTTCACCGCTTACCTGAACAGAAATTCGATGGCGTGGAATTGTGTTATCAAGACAACATTAACACTACAGCAGAAGGTTGGAACGCTACTGAAGATAAGTCTCATGTAAACTTCTCTTACTTCACGAAACAAAAACGGGTGCCAGAAAATCCCTCTGGTGTTGGTGTGCACTCAATGAGCTCCCCGAGTGCCCGTTTCTATATAGAAGTTAACCCCACAAATCTCGCTGAGCCTAATATGACCTACGATAACAGTAAGAGCCCTAATCAGGGAGGAATTGATCAAGGTGAAAAGGGTACTCTTCTTAAGAATTTCAGACCCTTCACCGCGATCCGACACAAGTCTCAGCGAGATAAACTTAAAGACTCCAATACGACAACCAGTGAAAGTTTATCGAGTCCTTCCTCCCCTGGCATCCTCAGAAATTTGTCTGCCAAGTTGCATTCATCGCCAAAGAAAAACTCGTATATTAAGCGAGCTTCCTTAAACCTGCCCATTGATGTAAGTCATGTTGCGATGAATGAGTTTGGTGATTTTTACGATGACTATTCAGAATATCCCATTACATTAATACAGGATGATATTCAGCAAAATATCCTCAAGCTTCACCGAAACTCTGTCGATGAACCCATGATATGCAAACCTCAGGGCGATGGAAGTGCTACCGCGGCCGTCGCGGCATCAGCAGCGGCAGCAGGGGTTGCTGTAGGTTTGGGTTCGAAAGAAGACGTGAGTTTGAGCTTGAGAATGGCTCAGCTTGCCGGCGTCAGCGCTGCTGCGAGCGAAATGATAAAGTTTCGAAGCCGTGCCAAAAGTGGGCCGGCGTCAGAGTCGTGGTATGCGGCCTCAGCCCCTGCGAGTCCCAGCAAGACAAGAGCTGCCGCTGCGGGGAACAGAATCGAGCGACCGCGCAGCGCTGTGTTCGGTGACGCTAGATCACCGCACATACAAACGTGGCACGTCTAATGCGGTGAATTGTCAGACATTCATAGTAGTGTTCAGACGTGGCATGTCTAATGCGGCGCATTGTCAGACATTATAGTAGTGTTCAGACGTGGCACGTCTAATGCGGCGCATTGTCAGACATTATAGTAGTGTTCAGACGTGGCACGTCTAATGCGGCGCATTGTCAGACATTATAGTAGTGTTCAGACGTGGCATGTCTAATGCGGCGCATTGTCAGACATTATAGTAGTGTTCAGACGTGGCATGTCTAATGCGGCGCATTGTCAGACATTATAGTAGTGTTCAGACGTGGCATGTCTAATGCGGTGCATTGTCAGACATTATAGTAGTGTTCAGACGTGGTAAGTCTAATGTTGGCACATTTCCGGACATTCGCCGGAAATATTTGCACGATACACGTTTATTTTATATATATATATAGATCTGAGTTATATATCCCTGGTCATTTATTGTCTGCATTCAGACGATGAATGTTTGAAAACCTGTATCGCATTTCAGGAAATTCACCATACAGATATTGAATGTTAAAGCATGTTTACCTTCAAGCGCCACCCCGCGTCATCTTCGTATATCACGAGATTATGTGTGGGATTTCCCATGCCCAGAAATTTGTAGAAAATAGTTCATAAGTTTCAATTACGAGTACTATCTGTGTGTCTTTTTTTCATGAAAATTTGTATTTTTGGGACACTTTATGTTCTGCCATTTAACACGTTGACTCCGATTGCTTCATCTTGTACTATTATATCATTTTTTGTACTTTTTTTAAGTAGGGTTGCCAGACGGTCATTTTTTCCGGACAAATTCCGTGATTTAGTTTTTCTCAATTGCGTTGGCCGGCTAAAATTTATGATAGGGGTAATTCCCAATTAAATTTAAAATACTGCAAAAAGAAAATGAATGGAATTTTTATAGTGGAACCTACAAATAAACTAGTATATTTTGAGTTATCGGCCTTTTATGGCCTTTTTTGTTCTCGGATTTGGCCAATTTTAAGCAACCTGAATTATGTACCACTACGTCCTGGAGAAATACATTTCGTGGTACGCATATGTACCAATACGTAGTCAACGTGTTAAGAATGACCACATACACCCGATCTCTACCCTAGGCTACCTATTTTCCACGTTCTCAAGTTGGCCGTTCATCGTCCTCGAACGTCCCTATGTTTCTGAACCGCGAGTTACACGAAGCTTATTTGCTAACAATAAAACTTCTCACCGTTGCGCTCCCACTAATCAGATTGAACCAATTATCTGAAATGAATTCCGATTTTCTGAAGCGATGTAACTCCTAAACGCTGTTACCACAACTCAATAATAGATGCTTAGCAATCGTGTTAAGCTAAGTTGTTGGCTGAAAAAATCAATAATCTCAAAGAACTAAAATACATTTTTTTATCTATAGGCCTAGAGTATAACAGGTTCATGATGAAGACCACAACTACTCGAACTGTCTGTGGGAATGCTATTGTATTGATTGATCGGTGTTATACTGGTGTAAGTCAGAGGTAGAATATCAGTCACGACGATCGTCCTGTCAAATATTTACTACATTCAGCGCAATAAAACTTTTTGAAATTTGTTATTGACTCTGGTTTGAATAGAGTCGCTTTTGATGTATTGTGTTGACGAACCAGCTATACTATATTAATTATTTGTATAGCAGTTCGTATTAGAAGCTAATTACAAGAATCTTTTTTATTTATATGATGTTAATGGAGTTCTAAACGGTGTAGTTGTGAATAGTAGTCGATGGTTTGCTAACGTATAAGACTTAATGAAGTACTCGTGTATATTACTCAATGGAGTAACTGAGTTCTTATGCATAATAGTCGACGGAGTGTTTCTTGAATGAAATTGAAGCTCCGGTCAGCTGCAGTAATGATGGAATCTGAAGAGGAGATACGTAGAAGAACAATTGTAAATCTAGAGCAAATTCATACAGTGAATGAACATTTGCTGTATATACATTTGCTGTTTATATAGATCAGGCAGTTCCGAAGTGCTGGCTAAATGACTTCATTTATTGTGGATAGGGCCTCCATAGATCCGTACCAACCCATCACAAATATTCTCTTGTTTGATACAAGCGTGAGCCAAGAGCTCCTAAGCAAGCTTAAGAGCTTGTTCGTCTAATCTCTTTTTAATGATTTCGTGCGAGATTATATATGGTTTTGTAGTATTGCTTGAGTATTTAATGCTAAGAAATGAATAGTTGGATTCCCCCGTTGTGCATGTTTCTGCAAATTGTAGAGCGAATTCCAGAATTCAATGTACAATTAATTGTTTCCTTAGTCTTGGCAAATGAGGATGTAAGATAAGCGCGTTATACTTATCTCTTGCCCTCACGTGCTTGCTAACTGAGGGAAAGCTCTCCGTCCGCTTTTTAACTTGTGTACCGTGTCGGCGCTTACAGTATGCAAGTCCAGCTCACTTCATCAACGGCCAAGAATTTGAGTGCCACTAGCAATAATAAAGTTAACTTTTCTGTGTTTTATCGCTGGTTACGCCTACTAGTGTTCCTTGTCAGCCAAACCTGACATAGTGTATTATTTGGACCCTGCCTTACATTTTTAAAATTATGATTTGCGGAGCTTTACTGTCTATTAAAAAAAATAGGACACAAGCCATAGCTATCAGTATGGTTCCTCGACAATTGCAGTACTAGAAATGTCTTTGAATCTCAGCAGGTAAACTATTTTAATATTTTTCATTGACTTGATCCGTAGTTAAGCAATCCTCAATAAAGAGTCGCTTACTATTATATCAGGCCAACAGCCACACGTCTGACCGCCTCGAGTTGCCGCAATTGTATAGAAGAACTTGTAAAATCTCAGGGATTTGAGTTACTGACTGTTTACGCTGTTGTGTAGTCCGTTTATATGTATCCTGACGTTAAAAATGTTAATTAATGGTCAAAATTTTGGAGTTTTTAAATGTTAACGGAATGTTATCGTTCTCGTACGCGTGGCTTGTTCCTTAACTCAATTGTTATGTTGCTGCATTAAGCGCTAATGCCAGTTTACAGAGCGAATTCGCTATATAGACTCTGACAAATTTTTTTTTGTACTCAAAAATGTGTTTAGTTTCGTTGCATTTACTTACGTTGAACCTCGGTTATTGTGTTTTAGTATGGTTTAATTTTTATCTTGTGTTTTTGGTATGTTTTTCTCTTTATCTCAAGTATTTGTAGCCTTGCAGTGTACGTATGTAATACCCCTAGCAGCAGTTGAGAGATAATCTGATGAGATTTGCATTCCATGTATAGAGACTCGAGTATTTCTTTCCTCAGGTTTAAGATCATCATTCTAATTATTCGATGCCTGGTACCTCAATATATGTAGTATTGTTATCCAAGTTTGGAATCCGTTTGTCTGTATTAGAACCTACTGAGCGGCAGACTATTTCTTACCTAAATGCATGTTGAGGTATTAGTCTGACCTGCTGCAGTTACCAAGAAATTTCTTTAGAATTTATTATAAATATTTAGTCTGTGCATTGATATTCTGACGCCGGTTAGTGGCCAAAGCCTGTCTTTGTTGCAGTGGGGGTTTCAAAATTTATCTTCATTTATCAGGCGTAAATTTTCAAGTTCCTCTCGTTATTCAAAATTCAAAACAAAACGTTTGCGGGTTTCATGTTATATTTCAAACGCGTGATGAATTCCAAATCGTTCTGTAGTTTATCCTCTAACTTCGTATTTGTCTTGATCAAAATAATATTGAGCTGCTCTGCTTAACGGAAAGATAATTTTCATAACCCAATTTAATTCAACAAGTTATACCACACGGAGGTCGCTGAAGTCAGAAGGGCATGTTACGTATAATCCACAGGCCGTGTCAGTCTGCTTTAGAGATGACTTTTGTTATGAACAGTAATTTTTTCTTCTTTTTGCACGCGGATGATTTTTCTACATCTTATCTTGATTTAAAAAAAACAGTCATCTTATGCTACTCACAACGGGTCTTACATTTTTGAAATGATTGTTGTTATTATTCATTCAGCATTAGTGCATATTGTCTCTGAAGATTGACTTGTATTATACGGCCACCTCTCCTATTGGTCACTTGCGGCCAACTCGAGCTATACCCTTAGGTGAGTTTCTACAATTTTTTTCGTTTTATTTGGTTTAATTGCACCTCATGTTTGTTTGCGCATGCACTTGTTTACTTAAAAGTTCATTTTTTTTGTATTACTTGGCATGATCACAACTTGTGTTGTGTTTTACCGGCCATTGCGCCTGTCCCCATGCACAGCCACTTGAGCCTAACTTATGGGCTTTTAAGCACGCAGAGAAATGAGTGAGACTTTGTCACAATAATTATGCACTTTTTGCCCATGTGTGGGTCATCCAGACCCAGTTTATCCTGACCTAAGGGCGTATCGGTGCTACGTGCAGGAAGTGTGTTGCCATCTGAACACCGTATGATCCTTTATCATTATTCTGAATGGCTCCCCAGGATATGCTCCGCAACCGACTCTCAAATACAGTTCTTTCGGCACCCTATTTTGCTCTAACGTGCACAGCGTGCAGGATTCGGGACGTGTGACTCCTAATAATGTCATTTCCAGTTCGGTTTTTTTTTGTTGTCTTACCTCCCTCAAAACTCTAACCTTCCTTTATTCTTACTTACTACATTGAATTATTTACTACTAACCTTACTATTCTAAGACATTGATGAAATAATTTAATGGTTAGAAATAACATTCTGACCGCTGCGCATTCTATTGGGTGATTACAATTCAGGAGCCATATATACAGCATTTCTTACTAATAGTGCAACAAAATTTGAATACTTTTTTTTGTAACTCCCGTGATACGGCTTTCTCGTTGTTTGACTCGAGAAACGCTATTTTATACCTGCTTTGCTCTTTTCTCGTTTTTTTTTTTTGCATCTTCATCCAGCTTTGCCTGATCACAGTTGTGTCGCTCTCGCTTTTTGGGCCAAGTTTCTCGGTCCACGGTTTTTTTCGGGCGTCGCTGTCGCTCTTTTGTGTCTATACTGTTGCAGTCGACCTTTGGGCCGAGTGTTGCGGTCGCTCTTTTGGGCCACGCATCGCGGTCGCTCTTTTGGGCCTATAATGTTTCAGTCGCTCTTTTGTGCCGAACGTTGCGTTGCTCTTTTGGGCCGAGCGATCACGGTCGCTCTTTTGGGCCGAGCGTCACTGTCGCTCTTTTCTGGCCTTTAGTGTTGCAGTCGCTCTTTTGGGCCGAGCGACGCGGTCACTCTTTTGGGCTCAGTGTTGTTGGGCTATTTTAGATCGAACTTGGGCTCTTTTGGTCTGCCCACATGTCCGGCTACGATCCTTATCACAGCTGGCGCCTAGCCCTGCTCATAACTGACACCGCTCACGCCTATCCTTGCTCGAGCCTAGCATTGCTCTCCGCGTATTTTCACATCACTTCACCGTTACCGACTTGTTGCACATTTCCTTAATGATGAGCGCTGATGTTATCACGTTAACCAAGCAAACTGAGAGCTCGTTTGATTGAGCGGCGTGTGAGTTTTTTTCATTATATCTATTTGGTCTTGCTTTATATCCGCTTTTAACATGGAAATTGTTACGGTCTTGGCTGAACGCCTTGATTTAACTTCTATGAATTAAACTCGTGTTTGAATTAAATTTGAACAGCAATTGATCATCCGTAAGCGTGGTTGTCTTCACGACAACAAAAACCTTCCAATTGTCGTAAGACTCAAACTCGATTGCAGATTCGTAGTTGTAATTCCATCATCTTTCTAGAATAAGATCTCGTTAACCTATGTAATATGTATTGATCTATAGGTATATATCCCTAACTCCGATAATTGATTAGTTTATAATTATAATCATTCATTAATTAATTATTGACAATGCCATGATTTTGCAGAGGACATCCCGGTGCAGCCGCTGGAGGGCGCCGCGGTAGGCGACCCCAAAGTTCTGGTGTCCATCAGCGAGGACACGGACGGGGAAGGTAGGGAGGACGGGCCCGTCCCCGGCGAAGGGGGGTCCTCGCTGGGGGCTGGGGCGAAGCTGGCTGGAATTCTGAGGAGGGAAGGCAGAGATTCCGGCCGCAAAGAAAGTAACAGGGACAGTGAAGGCTCCAAGGAGAAGTCCAGCAGCAAGTTCACTCCTACCAAGTTCACCTCGAGTAACATTGTCATCCCAGGCCTTAAACGCAAAGACAAGACCAAGAATGGCGACAAGAAGGACAAGGAGAACGTGGATGAAGGACGCAAGAGTGACAGTAAAAGAGACCGGATGAAGGAGCGCAGCAACGGCTTCACCAACGGCAGTCGCAGCGGAAGCGGCGTTCAGAGCAGCGTAGATGGCGGCGACGCGACAGACTGCAGCGGCTCAGAGGACGCGTCGCCTACCAAAGGTGAGCCCTACAGAGTAAATAAGTTTGAAAAATAAAACGGCAAGTGTTGTGTGTTTTGTGTTCTGTATTGCCCGTATATAGTCTTCCTTAATTGTATCTCCCATTGCACCCAAAGATAAAGCGCAACAAGTCATATTAAAGGCCGACAGCGAAGTTGGAATGGAAGTTTACTCGAATAAAACAAGCAGTAGTCCGTACTCCTGTCCTCATCGCTCTCTGTAACTGAGTAAAGTGTTCGGTGCTGCAGGGGCGGGCAAAAGTAGCAGCAAGTACCACAAGGAGCAGGAGCAGCTGCAGCAGCTCATCGAGATGAGGATAATCAACAGGCCGTCCTCGGCGTCCTTGCACGACCAGCCGCAGGTGCCCTACCCTGCCAAACACAATTTAATTTTTTCTAGCACCCGAAGTGTTTTAAAAAAATTAACAATATTGAGTGTAAGAATTCTATGGAGGCACGCATTTGTAAATATCTTCAAGGAATGTAATGCTAAGGTATGTGCAGGGCTCCCCACAGCTGTCGCACAGCGGGCCCCCGCCCTCCGCGGTGCAGCAGCTGAGGCAGCAGGACAGCGCCAGCCTCTCCGACTCCTACTCGTCCTCCCCCGGAGTCGCGGAACACAACAACTCCGACGGGGCGTCCGAGTATCGCAAGCTCGACTCCGTTGATTCTGGAGAGGCTTTGGGTTCTGTTTAGGTTTATATCAACTTTAATAGAGACTATAACTTCACACGTTAATAGCCATTAACCGCACACGTTAGTGGCCTCTGACCGCTCACGTTGGCGGCCGAGTTCACTGTTGTTTTGTGTCTTTTAGGGAGGCTTTTTGTGTTTCTGCTGTTGAAGGATATTGTTTTTACCTGTGGCTTAGTTGGCTCTAATTTTACCAACGGTCAAATTTTGATTTGGTCACATAAATTTATTATAATTTTTATTTAGATATATTAGAAGCGTGATTTAGATATGTTGGAAGGGTGATGATTCAGACCTAACCTAATCCACGTCTGCGTGTGACTTATCAACAAATTTGTTCCATCTCAAGTGGCGCCAAAGTTCGGTTCAATTGAATTCAAGTGCATGAATTCGCCTTATCGGGTGTTTGTTGTAATAATTTTTTTTAATTGTACAAGGTGGTTAAGGTTCTGCTTGTTAATATCTTGAGTTCATGCAGCAATTCCGTTCAAAGATAAATGTATTTTTCAGGTTGTTCGTGTCGTCTATGCAATAATGAACATCATCTTATTAGTCCTTCATTTCATTTCACCACGATTATTTTCATATTTTTTAAGTAAGCTCGAATGTGAGTTACAGTGTAACTCACATTCGTGTGAAATACACATGTAAGCTTTGTGAAAGTTACATAAGGTGTTCACCAAATTTCCTCAGTAGACTGTTTCCAATTTTTGTAATGCAACTTATGCTATGTTTTATACAAAGAGTTTTAAACATCCTCACTGAATGATGTTTTCATTTGAGCGCGTCTGTAAAGTATTAATTTTGCGTATATCTGCATGAGGAAAATTTTTATCTGCATGTCATAAATATTTTATGTGGAAGTTGTATGCTCGACGTTATTCCTCTTTCTCGATTACCCAGAGACACTTCGTCTTCTGGCGAAGATGAGCTATTCGCTGCCCGTTGCCGCGCTCGTATCTTTCTTTCTATGTTCTTCTATTGCGTCTGTGTCACAATATAAATCAAAGCGAGCTCGATTTTGTGTCATGAATTCTAGGTTAACTCCGAACATTTAATGAGCTATTTGAATAATCGTTCATTGACATTTTTCCTTAGCATGAGTGGCATTGTCCATTATTACTATGGGCATTTACTGCATGGGTTCATTGTTTCGTCCAGCATGTCTGCGAAACTTGATGTCACGCTTTCCTCTGACGTCTGTGATAGTCCTTGCAATCAACCGAACAAATTCTGTACGCTGAGAAGGTCCTGGGGCGGAACTATCAAAACTCGCTTGAGTACACAGCGGCTTGAAAACACATCGCGACCTAAATCTACGTAGCGGCTGATTTCTCTTCTGAGGTTAGTGGGTTTACCTTGATAAAAAAACATCGGTAATTAGTTTGATAGTACCACCCCTGCAAGATTAGCAATGCTCTGCAAGTGCCGAAAGCATCGCAGTTTATGGCTGACGTCTTCCGTTGTAAGAGTTAAAGTCCCCTATAAATCATCAGGGATTTTCCACGAACGTTTTCATCGAGCATCATCATTTTTCGTTCTTTCCACATCTCCATCGTCTATCGCTGTCATGAACGTGACATTATTTGTTTCCAAGATTCGCGTTGTGCGCAAGTAATGCTGAAAATTCAAGTTCTTCATTGTTATTCGGCCAAAATAGTGAAGTTATGTCTTCCGATTTTCGTCAGAGATTCTCAAGTATATAATATTTTTGTGAGGTGCACTCAGTAGTTCTGAAGCTACACAAGCATTTCATGACGACGCCTGGGCTCAGGACCGCGTTGTGTTGTCCGCACTTCCGTAGTGACCGCCAAAGCTAGGCTGCTTCTCTTAGCAAACCTTTTGTTAAAATCTTACTCTTAAGAACGATTTTATATATTTTCTTTACCTTGATTGTTCACATTCATTTAAAAGCTAGTTAGATTATTAATTTAATCAGTGGTTACGTCAAAGCCTGGGTTTGATAAGTTTTATATATATTGATGAGGCCGCTTTTGTTGCGGTCACAGCATTGCCAGGCTGCAGGGATGCGCTGCTCTCTTAATAGCTGGCGTGGCCTCATGATTGATATTTTTAACTATGCTTAGCTTGTAGTTATGCTTCTTTAGCCGCGTATCACAGTCACATATTCTCTAATGTCATAGCCTTATCTTGTCTTTTATATTTGATTTCTGCAGATTGAACTTTGCATTTCTAAGTTTCATTTAGTAGGTGTTCCAGGATAGAGGGCTGCCAATTATATATTTTAGCTAATAAATTGCTATTGAGTTCTTACCTAAGCTCAGTATGCGCTCATATACGTATCGCGTATTGCGTACGTGATTTTTATGAAGTTGACCCGTCATTAATTGGAGGTAAAGTGTACATTTTATAATTGTCTCAATGAAACACTTGGCCGATTCTCTCGTAGGCACAATCGAGCATCAAGACCATATTTGGCCAAAAGTGTCGTGACACCAGAAATGATATCGCATTGAAAGCATCTCAGTTAGAACGGACGAAAGCTTAATTTTTAATTACCATCTTTCAAAGAAGTAATTCTTGCAAACAGACCAAATTTCCCCAAAGTTGTCCAGACTGCCACCCTCGTTATGCAAAATTCACTCGCTGAACTAGAAACTAGCATCGTTATTCATCGGTTGTTCATGCAGTGGAATTATTTGCCCATGAGTGTGCCGTAGTATTAAAAGTGTCTTCTACATGAACAGTAAACGTCTTTTCCTGTACCTTAGCTGTTGAGGTGTTGATGTCAGTCCGTGGTCTTTAGATTGATTAAAGAGTTTGATTAGAGTAGTGATCGTTGTAGACTTGTTAGTGGCGCTGTATGTTTGTGAATAACTTAGACAAATTTAGCAATGTTTGATGAATCCTATTTTGTGGGTAGATTAGTATAATTTTTGAATATATAATTAGGATATACCATATTTTGTGTAGAGTACCAATATAACCGACGTAGCTCTAGCCCGTTATATGGGGTGCAAGTTGGCAATGTTGTTGGATCTATGACTGAAATGCTACTGCTTTAATCATTTCTGATATTGTTGATCTGACTGCCCACATAAAGCAAAAAAAAAACTATTTCCAAACTTGCTTCGGATTTTCTACACCTTACATTTTTATTTCGATATATTTAACGAAAACTATCGCAGTTGAGACGTAAACCGAGCTCACGTTATGCATCTCTTCGCCATTATTCTTCCTCTGTGCCATGTATTTAAACCTTGCTAATAAACCTATTATTTGTGAGTAAATTATTGCACGATAAAAATTATTCTAGGTGATATAAATAGATTGACATTTTACCAATACATCTTTTTCGTATCGTCTACATTAAAAATATTACAAGCCAATAATCCTTCAGGTCTCTGCCTTTCATCCCCATGTATGATGTCGTATTTCCTGTATATTTTTATTATTGTTATTCTGCGAGATGATTTATCGTGTTATTTCTTAAGCAGCATTTATCTTTGAACTCGTACTAAGATAACATCTGTATATACATTTATGATAAACCATTATTCACGAAGTAAATTATTCAGAGTGCACGATGTATGAACATTACCGCGATAACGTACAATCGCAATTCATTCATTCCATATCTTTTGTTTCTTGGATGATAAAAATGTAATAATTAACAGTGTGTCATTTCTTTTATAATATCGTAATCGTGGTTCTGAGACTCGAGTCTTTTTTCAAGCCGTCCTATGTCCTTGATTCTGGGGGGGGGTCAGGTGGTGGATGAGCTGTCTCTTATACACATCTAGATGTGTATAAGAGACAGGTGGCTTAGTTGGCTCTAATTTTACCAACGGTCAAATTNGGCTCAGATGGTGGATGAGGGAGGCTCAGGTGGTGGATGAGGGAGGCTCAGATGGTGGATGAGGGAGGCTCAGATGGTGGATGAGGGAGGCTCAGATGGTGGATGAGGGAGGACCAGGTGGTGGATGAGGGAGGATCAGATGGTGGATGAAATGGGGCCGCCAATAGTGGAGTTAGGTAAAGGTAGAGGGGATGGCCAGAAGGTGGTCGCCTCCATGGGACTGTCCCGTAGGGAGGAGACGATGAGAGTCGTGCTAACCATAAGGAAGGAAGTGCTAACCATAGATGATGTGTAGATAGTCTCTACACCATAGATGATGTGTAGAGTCTCTGTAATCTATGCAGACTGTACTTGATGCGCGCTTCACTACGCTACAGGGATTGGGCTTTTATTTCACTTCAATTTTAGTTGTCAGCTACGATGTATTAATAATTAATAATAATTTAATGTGAACTAGTTGACGTAACTGAAAGCATGTTCTCTAAATGTTTTTCGCTAGGATGTTTTTTTTTAATGATGTGAACTTCCTACGAGTTTATCGTCCAAGTTAACCCTTATATAACCTATCATAGTCCTTTCTGACGTGCACCACTGTTCATCGCTTGTTTTTGGTGGATTTTTACTCCTCTTCCAATGGATGAAGCTCGTCGCGTCCGACTGTATGTTTCATTTACGGCGCCCAGTTTTTGAATGCGGCCATGTTCCCTGCGAACGGCCGACGCCTCGCATACGCGCTGTCGTATTTGTGTAGCATTTCATGTGTCTCTTCCTAGCATTTCGTCTCTTTGAGATGCTGACGCTGCTCCTTGTCCGCCATCTTTATCGCGCTGGCCCCATTCTTCCACCTCCCATGTGAATAAGGAATGATTTTTTAATTTAACAAATTTATAACCATGGAGACCTTCCGCCTTGATGAATAAGACTAATTCTGACTTTATGTGCATTGCAGCTTCATGACAGATGAGCCAGCAGGCCTCGTTTGTATTTTACTGTAACTCGTGCCATGAGTTCTGTTCAGCGACTTCTCCCCATAGATTTTCCTTTACTTGAGTAAGCAACTACCATCAAAATTATACTGTACAACATTGGAATTTTACTGGTAATATTACGTTCTAGTAATAATCGCTACAAATTTGTACAAATCGTATTCCATTCTTATGCAGTCGTTAAGAAACCGTACGAATGGTTACTGTAGCGCATCGTATTGCGTGTGTTTTAGCCTTTGTGATGATTGGTTTCTTGTTTATCAGAAGATTATTGTATGAAGGCTGTGTTGCGAGGTATTCGGGGTTGGTGTTTCATGTGATAAATGTACTCTTAATTCAAATTTATTTTTCTTTTCGTCTCTCTGCTCTTGAGATTTTCTTCGTATTCAGTAGTACAACCGTGTTCGTTAATTACTAATGAAGGAATAATTATGTCTTTTAATCTTGTCTGATAGGATGCAAACTAGCCATCCTACCCGATAGTTTGAATATCAGATTTAGGCCCTTCATAGTATCGGGTGGGTACTCCTACATAATCTGCTGCGTATTTACATTTCTATTTAATCTGCTGCGTATTTTAAATTAATCTGCGTTTTTCAAAATCAAAATTTATTATGCCTTGCTATATCACATCAAACAATAGTATCAACATGAATTTTCGATTCAGACATCAATGACGCGAGACAGTGAACATCATCAATTTCGACATCAAAGACGCGACAGTGAGGCGTCAATGACACGTCAACCACATGTCGGTTACAGACGTTGACACGTCGGTTCGTCTCTTAGCTTTTTACCGGAATCTTTTGTGTAAAATTTTCGTTCTCTGCACGTTTAAAATCTAAAGGTTCGCTGTCGTTTGTGCCTGCATAAGAGCGTTGAAATGTTCATCTTATAATTCAGCCTTTCCTGTTGTATACTTGATAAGTGTTGACTTTGATGTTATACCAAAAACTTTATGATCTTCTCCCTCGTTCTTGTGAGGTGAATGGGACTGGTTTTCTTTCTCCCTAACCGTAGTTAGCGTGGAACCCGACACTTCAACATTAACATCAATTTACTAATTTTCTATTAGAGTTTTTTATTTTATATGCAAAACCATCGACGACAGTCAGCACTTTGGTTTGTTGGTTTGAAGCAAACAACACTTACGACGAAGGTCTGCGATTTTTATTTAGGGAATAAGCAGGATTCTAAATCATAAAATTCTAAAGTAAAAAGTTTGCACAACTTCCTATACAAACAAAGCTTTGCTTTGCTTATTCCATGCGTCGCAGGGGAGGAGCGTTGCAAGCCGTTAGAGCTTCCAGTTTTCGCCTTCTCTTGTGTGACGTTCACTAATTCTGTATATTTCATTGCATTTGTGAGTTTATTTTATTTCAAATTCTTTCAAGTTTATTATATACTGAAATTCTAACGAAGCCCACATGCTTGCACCGCTCCAGGGGTCTGGCGCTCCCCCGATCCTCGAGTCAAAAAATGTGAGCTTTCTGAGACTGAACTCATTTAGGATTAATGAATTATAGTTTATTTGAACCTCTTTTGTCAAGGCCTTTAATGTAAGTTTTGGGAATGATAGTGTTCTCTGCAATGCAGGCCATGCAGCGCTCTCGTAGTATGTGGACGAGCTCCTCGTAGTCAACTTCCTTGTGTCATCATCTTACTTTTTGATTAGGTCCTTTAGCTTAAACTTCTAATCATTTCTTCCAATTCAGTTACTAAGAAGAAGTAGATGTTTAAAGCTTGAATACCGTTTCATTCAATGGGCCACTCAGAGGGGACTTCTGCCGCGTGTCTGCGCGCGTCAGAAGTCCTATGGGATTTCGCGTTCCTATAGGGGGATTGTACCTGAGCGCCCCACTGCTGAGCTCGCGGTGTCTAACTGTAGGTCTCAGTTGTGGGGTTAAGTTATTATGTAGGCAGGATTCCTTACATTTCCCTTCTCTGTCTCTCTCGTGCGGGCGGCCGACGTCCCGTGTAAGCGACCTCTTGTTCGAGTGTCTTCGTTTCTGTTAATTTTCAGCTGTCCCTCCTTGTCACTTCGTCTCTTTGAGCTGCTAACGCTCTGCTTCTTTCGAGCCAGCTTCAGCGGGCTGGACATCTTAGACCTCCCGCCTCTTGTGGGCGATGAACAATTTTTGATTTGAGAAACTTCTGATAATTGATACCTTCCACCTCGTTGGAGATGTTCATCTTGACTTTCGGCGTGAGATAGCTAAATAACTGAAGCGCTAGTAAACATGTGGCCAATAAATTAACTTCATTCAATGGGAAGGTTTCATACCTCAGAGATGTGAGCCCGTACAGCCACACCTGGGGCTGTGAGGCAGGTTCAGCTTCCATGCCAACAGCAATAGAACATTTTGAGTTTTTTTACATTCATTAGCTCTGATTTAGATTAGTACTGAATTTCATCACTGTACAGTGTACATGTCTACCAGCGTAATATGAAATTTAATGAAAATGGCATTCATCCTGACAAAAAATAAGATGTTAATCAAAACTACCTTTGAGGGATGTTCACTTTTGCAATTTTATCTGAGACATAGTTTTTTCCAGAATGGTCGTGCTTAGAAATTCAAGAAAATTTGTGAAAAAAAATTCACAAATTCAAGAAATTCAAGTGAAAATTTGTTTTCAAAATAGCTAGTGATTATCAATCACATTCTCCTCACTATAACGCAAAATAACCCTAAATATCTCTCAGTTTTCTTATACCACGCATTAAGAAACTACCGTACACAAAATTATGTATCCCATTGGATGTAATTCTTTCTTTTACAGATAAAACCATTTTCCAAAAATGCAGACGTGGTCTCATTGGGTGTAAACTAGACATGTAAATTTCTATATTTTCTTACTCGTAAATCTGTTTATATTAGGATTGACGAAGCATTACTGGCCAGATGTTGCGCGTCGCCGCTCTGACTTTGTTTTCTAGAGCACCGAAGGATGTCTGTAACAAATCCACTCTTGAAGGATCTTAAAAGTAAGTCGCTATGTGTTTACCAGTCATTAACGTATATTTTGCATGTATTGAAATATTTTGAACTTATTTCAGTTGTCAATAGCTAAAAATGATTTGACATAATGTAGTGATATTAAGTTAATTTTTTTTCTCAAAATTATCTATGATCAAATAACTATAATACTTTGCTATATCACTGTTATTATTATTATTATTATATTTTTTGCCTATCTCGGAAGAAAAATTCGTTTGCGGAAATGGGGCCAACTAGGGAAAATTTGGACCGTAGGAATAAGTTAGCCTTTATTGCACTGCAGCACCGAGTAATATTTGTTTATCATTTTCAGAATACATCTTGGCGCTATCCCAGCCGGTGAACAGCTATGCCATTCCACTTAACAGCCGCCCCTCTCCAGGATCGTCCTGGACCGTTGATCATGAGGCCGTTACCTCCATCACCCCGGGCCTCGGTGAGGGCAATGTGCGCGGTCATTACGACTCGGCCGCACCGAGTGCGCCGCAATCTCCAGCCATTGCTTCTTCAAAAGTCACCAGCCGATGTGAAGACACTCGAGATTCTCTATCTTCCTCTCCTGAATGTCAACTTACCCTCAACCGCTTGTCTTTTGAGCCATGCAGTCACTGGAGTGCCGAACCTAGCGAGCTTACGCATCACCAATCTCAGTCTGTTGGTGCGTGTAAATTATCCACTCCTAAGACTTTGCCGTCAGATCATCAATGTTTATTATCTCCAACTCCTTGTACTTCTCACCCACTTTCCCCTGTCAGTGATGATCCCATTGCAGGCAATACCTCACCGATCTCTATGACAAAGTGCCCTGCTATTCCACACAACCAAGAACTCAGCCCCGCGCGAATATGCAGTACCAATGTAACGACTTTAATTGATACAACCGCGCGTGTAGTGTTGCCAAGCATTGCTGATTCCCACCCTTCCTTAGCTGCAATGTGTGAGACTCTAGAAGCAATACTGAATGACGGCCTGCAAGAAGGAATATCAACGCCTTTTGGATACCACAAGATCTCATATTGGCAGTGGATGTGTCAAATAAAAGAAAAGTGTGTAGGAAAATTTCCGCGCGCTATTGATGAAGTACTTCAGTTTTCGTCTCTAAGAGGCTCCAAAGCTCGAGGTCGTTTGCTTATCCGGTATTGTCTTCAGTATGGCTGTCTCCAAGTGCCTATAATTACCAAAATGAAGCAAGATTCTTTTCCAACGTATTATTCCTCCGGGTCCATTCTTGGTCATGAGATTTTGAGTGAGATTTTCCTGTCTTTAGTGAGGCAATTGGATACTCTTACATTCGACCTGAATTTAAGTAACTGGGCGTTTTTAGACTGCAGCTGGCACCTGCCAGCCACTTGTTGTGTGGACCTGAATCCCTGCGTGGGTTTGGGGATGCACCTCGGTCACGTGGCGGGCAGAAGTGTAGTGATGAGAGTCGAGCTCAATGGTGCAGCGCACAGGTCGGGCTTGATCCATACTGGAGACGTAATTTATGCAATCAACGGAAAAGTAATTCATGGATTCAATAGACAAAATGTTTCACAATTATTGAAAGAAGCCAAAACAAGTTCTGCAAGTATTCGACTCAAAATTGCGAAAGGCTTGGACATGCATGGACGTGTCTACCCTCCTGTGCTATCGCTATTGATTAAACTGGGAGTGGATCTTGAAGATGCGAGGGAAATGAGAATAGTTGAAGAAGAAAATCGATCGGCATCCGCGGAACTTTTGCAGTCCCAAATCAGTTCTAAATCTTCTGTGTGCGATTCCCCCATTTCTGGGAAGCCTAAATTCCAAAGTGGACGTGATAATGGCTCCAGCATCACAACTTCGCCTTGCCGCTCCTCGACCGTCGAAGCTTGCGACCGCAGCTACAGGGCCATCGACGCGAAACCTTGTGACGACCTACCGAGTGTATGGCTCGTCGGCAGCGTCGAAGTTGGTAACCGCGGAGACGTCGAACTGATAAGCGATGCAATACTGACTGTGTTGCGCACGTGTGAGACTCGTCAGCACATTCCCGTGAACTTCAATACTGGCGAAATAGGAGTGAAAGTGTTGTCGCTGAAAGGAAAAACATTGCTCCAACACAGCTACACTGAAATATCTGCCTGTGGAAGAAGGGAATCGCACCCACATTACTTTGCATACCTGGCTGGGGACACGACCTGCTCTTTATCTGCCCAGTTCACATGCTTCGTTTTCCGAGCAGCCACGGTCGAAGAATGTTCTGAAATTCTCCTTACTTTGGCTGACGGATTTCACAGAACGCATTGGGCTGTGTGAGTGTCATTGGTGTGTTTTATTTTACATTAATCTTTGTAAGCTAAGATAGGCAGAGATAAGAAATTTGTCTTTAGTCAAGTGTAGTAGACATAAAATTATGTCTACGCATTTGAAATTTACACGATATCTGCAATTTTAATGCAATATTATTGTATGCCTATTATTTGCACTTAACACTCTTCAAATAAATTAAATAAGATTGTGAATTTATTGGAGAGGAACTAGAATACCAAGATAACCGCTAAAAAGTAGTATTTAGCCATTAAAATTTGAATTTTTAATTCGACAAGTCCCATTTTATGTGACTAAACTATTACATAAAATATTAGGCTCCAATTTTTACTGTGCCGATGCAGAATTTGTTTTCTTCCTTCGACGGATTTGAGATCCACGGATGTCACTGATAAGTATGTTTTGAAATCCTTCCGTTCCTTTTTGTTACAAAATTAGCTTTAAAATTCCATTTATGGCTCTGGTTTACGATGGCCCATGCTGAAAAATTCAATTGAAATGAGAATCACTGAAATATTTGGTGCATAATTATTCAGCTGATCAAACCAACTAATTTGTCTTGATTTTAATGCAGAAAACACTATAGTTCCGCGCATTCAAATATTCCAATATGAAGGAGTCTAAACATGAGGTTGTAGGTGAGAATTATGTCGGAGGAATATTCGATTTGTTTTTTATATAAAAAGACGATTGCTTATTATTACGCATAATGTAGCGTACTTTTTCGGTTATACAGAGCACATGTATTGTATCATCTGCCTGCAAGTAATACTGCTCCGCAAATTATCGTAACGTAGGAATTAAGTTTCTTGTAAGAATAATTGCGCACGCTTCTTACGTACAGTACCTATATGTAGTTTTACTTTGCTTCCATGCGCATTTCTATTGGACATTTCTCGCGTACATTTACGCACTCAGGCTCTGAACACCTCACTTGGCAGCGGCAGACCGTTATGCACAATTTGTGAGATAGAAGATGCTTCTTCCGCTATTATTTGTCGCCTCCATGTCATTATTTACAGGTATTAATATTAATTGATCAGAATAATGATGAAGCTTCTTATTTATGCTTGGTTGGTTCTGTTGATGCCTGTTTGTCTTTATGGTAATCGACGACTGCTTGTAATTATACTAATTAAATCTTTGCTATGTTTTTGCTTGGCTCTATTTTTGATTAGTTTTTTATGATGAGATACGAGTGATTCTGATTATATATACAAATGCTTTGCAGCGCTTATGTTTGGTTCTGTTTATGCTTCGTCTATGCTTGGTGGTGCTCATGCTTGCTTGTCTTTATCTTTATCTATGCTTAGTTGTGATCATGCTTCTTCATACACAACTTGAATATATTACTACATCGTCTGATACTGAGGCGGTGCGTGGCAGCTTGTCGGTGCAATCATACTGCATTATACTCGAGTTGTTATCATGTTCTATGCTAGTCGTGTATGCAAATATTCTTACTATTCAGACGATAAGATTGAATTTTTACTTGCAATTAATGGGCGTTAGCTCTGGCTACCAATATTGGTCGTTTGGGGCGTGTTTGTTGTGGATAGTAGATAATTGTACTTACTAGGTTGGCGAGGCTGGAAGGTATCGGCTCCCAAGGCCACTGACTGCGTTAATAGACGGTTAGCCTCTGCTATTATTATTGAACATTTTAATCGGTATGGAAGAGAACAATATATATGAGATGAAATCTAACCAATAAGAACACATTAGCTTCGTGAGGAAAGAAATAAAAGTTCTATTCGTAAATGAGATTTGGCATTTGCGTGACTTGGTCTTTAATGAGCTCTCCCCGTTTGCCCCATCATTGATGATGCTTGTAAGTGTGGCGAGTCCGAGGGTTTGTTCTATCTACGCATTCCATTCTCCAATTTGTTTCATGTTAATAACAATTTCGTTTGTTATCCTCTATCTTAAGAATACCATTCTTCTCTGAGCCTCTACAGTAACCGCACTGTTCAATTGAGTATGTTGTCCCAAAAATTACAATGTAAATGAAGAAAAACGTTCGCGAAATGCGCTAGTCCTTTAGAGGATTACTATTTGGGTTCATGACCTAATGCTGTAGCCTCACATATTTGTTATTGAAGTAATTCTTATTTAATAATTTGTAGTGAGATTCTTGTTACTGGGTTCTTTTGGATATTTTTGCAGTTGGCCTACGCATTTCAATTCCAGTAAATAAAAAGCTACGAATTTTGAGGAGTAGATTTTTTAGCGTTAGTTGAAGCATAATATGTTAATTTTTGCAATTAATGATAATATTATTCAATGTTGTAATTGGAACTCGACACGTTCCTTAACTACTTGTTTTTCATTTGCAGTCCTTGTATATCACAAGGACAATCGATTGATGATATAATAGGTATTTTTGTGACTACATTCTCCAACGTTCTTTCTAGTCTCACTCTAGTCATTTCCTATATGCATTATGTTAAAAAACTAGGTAATTTTACAAACAGCGTGATGCTTTTGATACATCAAATTCTTATCATAATTCTCTGTCGTAACTCTTGACCGAGATTTGATCTTTGAACGATGTGCGCTAGTAATGCAGGCATAATGTGGAGTACACCAGCGGCGTGTTCTTGACATGGTGTCGTCGTACTTGGTGTGCGCCAGGTAATGTAAGGCTGCTTCTCGTTTCTTTTCTTTATTTATAAATAATGTTAATTACGATCAAACTTCGTTTGTCAAAAATAGCTTCCCTTGTAAAAATTGATTGAAATTTCACCAATGTGTCACGTTGTCCATGAAAAGAATTTACAGTCTATTCACGAGTTTGATATAAGGAACCTGCTGAATAATTAAATGCCAGCAACTAAATTAGACTTACTCTTGGCGATCAGATACGTGGCACGTGCACTAAAGTGCTGACGATGTTAATATATCTCATTTACCTTCAGTCTGGGACACTGCAGCACACTTTCTCAGCGTGTGAATAAAAGGCGTGTCGAGGTGTCTCATTTTGGTCGGAAACAATATTTGCAGTTGCGCCATGAATTAATAGCGTTAAGGAGGATAAATTTGTGAGTAGCTTTTTTTAAATTAATAATTATATCTTTAAATATAGCTAACCTCATCATCCATGACTTTTAACCTTTTCGCGAGCAGGTTACCCTACAGTATAGCCCAAACTGACGTAAAATTATGCTCTCCTACGTCTCCGGTTCAAGGCCGCTCCATCATGCCAATTACCAATGAACTGCCAAGAGTGCACTACATAACATAGCCCCCTTACACCGCCTAAGAATAGCCAGTACAAATCAACGTTCCGTGAATAACGTAGTGTTTTGAAGGTATTAGTGAGACCAACTAAGCATTTACATTATTTCAATCGCAAGGTTAACAGAAACGAATCAGTTCTTGAAATATTCCTTGTTAACATTCCTGTACAAAATTATGATTCATTCCCATTTCTTTGATACGTCCACGTATTCGCCATCAGGTCCGTCATAGCCTGCAATAGGCAAGCTGCTCAGGGGCCCGTAGCTCCTGAAGGGCAGGGCGAATTGATCCTCTTGGATGGCCTCGAGCCACAGCGACTCTGACACTCGCCTCAGCTCCTGTAATGATGGATAAGTCAGCACTTAATTCTTAAAGGGCCTCGAGAGACAGCGGCTGACGCTAAGTGTTCGTAGCAGAGCGCCAAAAGAAGCGTAGGTGATTTTGGCAATGTCATTGGTCATAAAAAGTTCAAAGTCCAGCAAAATGCTGTGGTTGCGGACCGATGACGCAGGCATGACGCACTTGTTGCCAATGCGATGTGGGTTGCCCGGAAACTAATGCTAGCGCCGAGCAGGCGCAAGCCAAATTAAGTCGGTTTTTGATGCATTGAACTGGAGCAGGTTGAAGCGCATCCAGTCTGAGACGACTGGATGCGCTTCTGAGACGTCCATGTAGACAGACATACGGTCCTGCAATGCTGCAGCGTCAGCCGGCGCACAGTAGCCATAAATTTGGGCGTCATCGGCGAATATATGGGGCTTCAATCTATGTGAATCAATTATGTGCAAAACGTTGACAGTATATAACAGGAAGAATATTGGCCCGAGGACTGATCCTTGTGTTACACCGCAAGTGACCAACGATGGCGTAGACCAGTGGTTCCCAAACTTTTTCAGGCTGGCGCCCCCTTTGGCTCCCTGGTGAATTTCTAGCGCCCCCCACAGACACATATAAAATCATGCGCCTCTTACTAAAAAATTGTGTTCGCTGCAATTTTAAAAGATAAAGGTTAAACACAAATGTGTATTTCACAAATAGGACCCCTTTTAGTGAACCATTGTGTTTTTCAGCTGTTCTAACTGCTTCAGCACTAGAAACCTAGGACTTCTCGGGCAAATTTACGGCCGGACTCGTGGCCGCGTGCGGTCTCATGACCAATCTCCAAATTCAGTTATCAAGGAATATTACCCAAACCAATGAACGCAGCTCAATAAAACTTGGAACATGTATTCATCAGATCTTAACAGTGACGTTAAGTTGCGAAATATTTTTAAATATCACCTTCATTCGTGAGTTTTGAACAAAATTTTGAATATACATTCCTAACTACCAAACGGTGTTTTTTAGATTGAAAAATTTTTATTTGACCGTCGTTTGCGAGATTTTTTTCCTTTTACCGTCATTCTTGGTTTTACACTTCCTTATTCGCTTTCGTTCGCAAGTTATATCGATATAGGAGAAACGATCGGCTTGAGCCGTTTACGTATAGCCGTATAACTCACAAACGAAGGCAAAACGAAAAAATTGTAACGAGCTAAACATCACCGATGCTGAGGTTGGGTATTAAAATACTAAATTTCGTTCAAATCTGTTCAGTAGTTTGGAAGACATTTCTTGATTACTGCGAATTTAAGCACGTATTGCTGTTTAAATCACGAATGAAACTCGCGAACGAAGGCACAATCGAAAAAATTTTCACGAGCTAAACATCACCGTTCGGTAGTTACGACTGTAAATTCAAAATTTCGTCCGAATCTGTTCAGTAATTTGGAAGAAATTCCTTGATCACTGTGAATTCGGCCCGTATGCCATATAAATATGGCAAAAACAATTGAAGGCAAAATAAAAAAAATTTTCACGAGCTTTACATTACCGTTAGATCCTAATGAATACGTGTACCAAATTTCATCGAGTTAAGTTTATTAGTTTGAGAGGTATTCCTTGATCATTGAATTTGGAAATTGGCCGCAAGTCAGGCCGTTAATTTGTCGGAGAACTAAACCCAGGAGAGGTTAAAAAAATATAACTCAGTACTCACTACAGTGAGTGACAGTGAGCGCATTTTCTCGTCGACGAAAACGTGAAGTCACGGACTGACATGACAGGCGGACAGACGGACAGACAGACAGACGGACGGACATGACGAGCACAATAGTGCATTTTTTCCATAAATGAGTAAATGCGCTAAAACAGATCTGGGTGAAAAAACCATCGCTGGGAGTCATGTGCTGCACGTGTTGTGTACAAATCGTCAAACAAACGTTCGAACTTCTGACTTCGACTTCGGACCGCCGCCCCCCTATCGCCCCCCAAACGCCCTCTTCTTCTTTACCGCCCCCCAAAATCTTTCCATCGCCCCTAGGGGGGCGATATCGCCCACTTTGGGAACCACTAGCGTAGACGAAGAGTTCCCGCGTCGAACGCATTGGAATCTATTGCTAAGATAGGACTCAATCCACCGCAGAACTGTGCCGCGCAGGCCAAATGATGCGTCAAGTCGACGTAATAAAGTGGCCTGGTCGACCGTGTCAAATGCAGTCGACAGGTCGGATAAAGCCATTGTCGCCGCAGTCTACTGCTCGCAGAATATCTGAGAGCACCTTCAGCACAGCGGTTTACGTTGAGCGGAGATGACGGTATGCAGACTGGGGGTGAGGCACGAGACCGGACTGCTGAAGATGGTTGTTCTGCTGTCGAGCCACAACGCGTTCCAAGAGTTTCGACAAAATCGACAGGTCGGAGATGGGTCGATAAGATTTGGGATCAGTAGCGTCAAGGTCTGTTTTAGCGCATTTTTCCATTTATGGAAAAAAGGCGCTACTGTGTTCGTCATGTCCGTCCGTCCGTCTGTCTGTCCGTCCGTCCGTGATTTCACGTTTTCGTCGACGAGAAAATGCGCTCTCTGTCACTCACTGCAGTGAGTACTGAGTTATATTTTTTTTCAATAGAGGCGTAGTGTAACCCGATTTGAAATTCTCTGAAGTTCTCGCTGCCGGTTGAAAAGTTCGACCAGAAAAGGTGCTAGGTACGACATTCCCGTTTAAGTAACGACATTGGCAGCGGATCGCTGCCGACGCACGCGCATGCAGCGATGATATCGTCACTGCTTGCTAGACAGCGCGCGCATGCAGCGATAACATCGTCAGCTGTGATGCACGCGAATTCGTGGAGCACGCAGTTGAACGAGCACAGCGCAAAAGTTGCTAACAGGGCATCGGCTGACGACGCTAACACAGCAAAAATTTTACTGTGTTGGGCAGAAGGAAAAATACGCTCACCAGAACAAGCAAGGGCTAAGAAACTAAACTCTAAAGTAAATGTCTGAAAGAGGCCGTCGAATTCGAAATAAATTTCTCAATGATAACCCGACATTGGAGAGGCCACGCTCATCAGGATGTTAAGACCATCGCTTCTAAAATCCTGGTTAGGTTTAATGAACACTTGCAGAAAACAAATTCCTCAACATCGGTTAATAAGGCAGATTCGAGCCAATCTGGCTTCAACAGAATCTAGATCTCTCAAAGACAATTTCGCCTTCTGCTCTTGAAGACGAATCTTTCAAAACTTTTGGCGTGGGCTGAAACAGAAACAGTTGTAAAGATCCTTTGGAAACAAACAATTTGAGTGTACGATGGCTTCATCTGACACGAGGGGTGGCTTATGCAATAAAATAATATATCGACCTAATTATTAATGTTTATACTATTTTGTATTAATGTGGAAAATGAAGATTTTTCAATGAGCCTAGGAAACTTACCTAATTAAAAAAACTACAAATTATTATTCAGGAACGATAAAAATAATCATTAAATGAACTTGAATGAGCTTAATTTACACTGATTATCCACCTATCTTGAAGCATTATGTTCGCGTCGTCGGTAGCGCTAGTTTAAATTTTGCGCCATTAGAAAAATCGGGGCTCATTTAGTTGGAGAGAATAAACAAATAGATGACTTAAGGGACACATGCCTTCAAGACACAGGTAACCTCAGCTGGAAATATCGTAGTACCTCCTCATTTCACTTGAAACACTAATTATTATATAACAAACCTGCAGGGCTCTGTGCTGAGAGTGGAGCGCTGCAGCGAGTATGGAGCTCTCATGGCACACCTGCCTGTGCTTATAGCGCGCCCACTGCAGCTCTACGTTGCGACGCGCGTGTAGCTCTTCACTAGGCAACTTAGCAGCTGGTCTCTCGCGCAGTCTGTCCATACATACGTTCATACTCACGCATTCAAATGAAATCTCGTTTCTCAAATTATCAATAATATGGAATAGAGTACCTTTATAGCATTCAAAAATTGCTTCTATAATTGAATTTATTACAGAAAGACCATGATAAAAAGTATGTATGGTGGCCAGATTTCAAAAACTTGTTTCCTGTTCAGATTTGTAAAACGTTTTTATTAATAATTCGAATTCACTTATGATATCAGCAAAAATAAAATGCAAATTGCTTATTGATTCAGTTATTTCTAATACCTAATGATGTTATTTAATAATGATATAATTAGATGTCTAATGAATATAAAATTTTCATAAAATTCTAACCATGTTTTGTTAACATTTTATTTAAAGAGGCGAAAACAAAAAGGCCATTTTTAATGGGACAAATCTACAGTTTTAAATTTCTTCTATCAGAAAGTATGTGCAAATAATAAAAAAATATTCACTAGCTAAATTTATTAAATCACTCACTTTGCTTCCTGTTTGAGTTTCATGGAGATTTCAGCTTCTTCAATAGGTTTGAGCTGCCCTTCATTTTTTTGAAGCTTGCGGATGGCCTTTTCAAGACGCCTAATTTTCTTCTCCTCACGGGCTTTCTGGATGACTGGATCTGTTTTTTTCTTCTTCTTAAGTGGCTCTGCCCTATAAATTATCGGGCCACATTAACATTTAATGAAATATGAAAATGAGCACACAAACAAGAAAGCTTTGATGTTGTGTCACAGATTATTTTAAATCAAATAAGTAAAATTCCTTGTCCAAGCTTCCATTAAAAAAGATTTGGGGCGTTTGTAGAGGCAGGATCACAATTTAGTACAAAAATCAATATAAATTTACATATTTAAGCAACACATGAAATGGTTTTTCATTCATGTATCATAAGTGCAAAATTCTTAAGTAAAATAATTGGTTATAGTTAGTTGTAAGATTCATTGCAAGCAAAGCATTACCTGAGTGCAGATGTGAGTTGCACACATAGAGGTCCAGATTGGGTGCTAATGAAACGCACTCCCAACCTGCCTACAAGAGACTGGCATCTGCAACAGTAAGAAATGTACAACATTAAAGACTAAAATGTTCATTTAAAAAGCATGTTCTTACATTTTGTTCTTCATAGGTGACCAGAAATTACAGAAAATAACAACAACCCATGTCCAGACACCTGAATGTGTCTGCAATATTGTTTGATGTCTAAAAAAGGAAAAAAAAGAGAATTTTTAATAGAACCATTTTCTGGTCTTCAAACTACTGTACTGTATTTAGAAAATTAGCACTACTAAGCCAAGAGATGAGACTAAAAATTTATCCAGAAATAGGTACATTACTTTGGAGCAACAGTATTTTAGTAAGAAGTTAAAATTTTCCAATCCTTACCAAGCCAAAAACAAACAGAAAATTTGATTTACCATCAATGCCCTTAACTTTGGCAATAAGTTAGTGCCTGCCTTCAAAAGAAAATCTGTTTTGTTAACAGAGCTGAATCAAAAATTTCTGGCGTGATCAAAAATGCTTCATGGTTATTATGCAGCAATTGAACCCTTTTAAATTGTAGTGTTACCAGTATTATACATTTTTTATTGAAGAACAGCTAGTTAAGTGCAGTAGCCGCTATGTGCATCAGTGACAAGATGAATTGACAAAATTGAACTTATCCTCCTGTCTTCCAATCAGGAATGTCAGGCCAAATTTTCCAAAAATCACAGATGTAAAAGATCATTTTACAGGAGCTTTCTAGAAGTTGAAAGTAAAAATTTCCATTTTTTCTTGATTTTTACTTACTTGATTTTTTTCTTGATTTTTACCCCTTTTTGTAAGACTCACCCCCTGCAGAGTTTGGTAATTGTGTTACCAAGATAAGGATTTTAGGTCTAATATGTGCCAGTATTAATATGGATTTGTGGCAAAAACTACCGTCAACCGGGGCTACTTGGGATGATTTCGAAAGTTTTTCATTCATAACTTCTTACCATGAAACATTCCATAAACAAGTTTAGGCTCATTTCAAAGCTCTTTGCAAGGGCTATCACATGGCTTCTCCAAAAAAATTCCATATGCTATTCGTAAGGTGTCAGAAGCAAAAAAAGTGTTTTGAGTAGCCCCGTCAAATGGGGCTACTCGGGACACTTGGAATAAAACTTCATTTTAAAACATTTGAAGAGGGCAGAGTGTACTCATCCATTACTAACAGTACTCTGAAGTCTTCCTATTCATTGTAGATGATGTAGAGGTAGAATAAATGACCTTTTCTGTAATTTTTATTTTTTACTTGTTTTTCCATTATTGATATGATATTACCATATACATTAATTGCCGTATTATTGATGCAATATTACCGTATCCATGGAGATGCCATTGAGCATTTACAACAACCTTGTCCACTGCAAGCTTCATATCAGCAGCCTTATAGCATTTTTCTGTATCTGTAAGCATACAGGACAGCTTGTAATTTCACACCATTTTAATTGGGTTAAGTGAATTTACTATAAAAAAAGATCATGAAAAACATACCTGAAACAGAAAGGAATGTTTTAGTGATAACCATCATATGTTTTGGAGAAATAAATCATATTTTAGGTCAATTACTTTTCATTCTATGATTCCTGGTGCACAATTCTATATATGACATTCTATGCACAATTTTGTGATGACCATGATATGATGCACAAATTTTTTGATAAGTGAATTTTTTTCCGCTGAGCAAGGTAAATGTAATCAATATTCTTTGTTTTTAATCAATTTTTTTCTTAACTGGAGCCTTTGCTGAGGTTCTACTGTAAATGCGTTTTTGGGGGTGTCCCAAATAGCCCCGGGGGAGGTGTCTCGAGTAGCCCCGCCATGCGGAAATGGCTGCCATTTTCTTTGGATTGAGGTATGTAAATTCTGCAAAAAAGTTTTCATACTGACACTTTTTTTAAGCAAAATTTTTTAATATGGCAAATATTTTTTTTACTACAGACCTTAGCAGAAGTAACTTTTCAAAATATTGTTTTTCACCACTTTTTCAGGAATTATTCAAAGCTAGTAAATGTAGTATTTTTGAACTTCCTTTATACTACATAGATGGGAAAAATATTGATGTTTACACCACTATATTTAGTTTAGCAATAATCCAATTAGTTTTGATTTTAAAAAAGTTTTATGCCATGTTACAGGACTGTCCCAAGTTACCCCGCCCGTCCCGAGTAGCCCCGGTTGACGGTATTATCTACAACTACAAGCACAGGCATTTTTTTCACCTTTATGCTTTTTGAACAGCTTCTATCTAATTTTCCAGCTTGGCCTGCTAGGCAAATGAGTTTACAGTTAAAAATTGTTTTTTAAGGCTCATAAATTCAATCATAGCTCAGCCTAAACGGCTAAACTCAGAGTCAGAGCAGGCTGCAGGCTCAGCAGTCAGCACTCAGCAGGGCCTCTAAATGGAAAATTGGGCAGGTATGATCACCTTAAATTGGACAAAAATGCTTGTAAATCTAGCTAATTTAACAAATTCAAACAGCCTTTCTCCAATTTATTTACAAAAAAAAAAAAAAAGAATGACTATTTTTACCTGCAACTTTAGAAAATAACTAGAAAACAATTGTTCTTACCTACAAATCTGTAATTCTAGGAAACTTCTGCCCAATATTACAAATTAGTCTGGGTGGAATACATATCTCAAATAATCATAGAATGGCAATGAAAATATTTAAGATTGATTATTGCATTTTAGCCTGGTCACTTGCTCCTTCTCAGTTTAAATTGTTTAATCACTTGAAAATATTAGCAAAGTTATAAACTACAGAGACAGTCTGCTTTTAGGGATTCTTGATTAAATCTGTATGTCAGTAATGTCACTATGTGCAATTTGTACCTGTTGGCTGTTAGAAATATTAGTATTAGTAAGTATTAGTACTACCCTTCAAAATTTACACCCTAGGTCCGGGGTCCCTAGCCAGTGGCCAGGCCCAGGCTCGCCAGCTAACCCTAACAGTCCAGACAGTCAACAGTGCAGTTGCAGTGAGTGTACAGTAACAGTTCTTATACACTAAACCTGAGGCAGATACTGAATTTCTAACCATTCATACAATCTAAGATGAAAATTATACTACACATTTTATTACTGGCCTACCTACCATAGTCATAAGTAAGCCTCTGCCTGACTAGCCAAGTTGGGAACTTGGGACTTGGGAGTGCTGACCTCACCGCCACAGGTGATAGGTTTATCATCTATGCTGCTATGCATATGGGTCATAATAATCAATCATTCTAATGGGTAATGTTGTTGTGTCAAATAAATTTATTAGTATTAAGATTGATGGCCGGTATTTAATAATTATTTAGGAAATATAGCTAGGCTTGCAGCCAGGCTTACCGGTGAAATGTACAAAGAAATCCCGTAGAGGCTAAAGACATTGCAGATTAGGCAGCTAGATTTAACTTGTTGTCGTCCGTACTTTTGTAACTTGGTAAGATTCCTTGCTGTCGGTATGACGGATTCTTTCCAATTGACTAACGATCGAATTTAGAAAACCGTACTTTTTCTGACAAAAAAAGCTAGCTTTGGTGTATTTTAGATACTCCACTGCAGTGAGTTTACCAAAACATATATTTTTTAATTTTAATGTTCTTATTATTTTATTATTGCGACGACGGTCATGCACGCACGAGGAAGCATGGTTGAATTAATTAATTCAACCATGCTAGGAAGAACAGGTGACGAACGAAATTGAACCATCGATGATCTGGGGAGGAGTTAAAGTGTATAGATGAGCAAATGCAAAGAGGATGACAACGAAAGCTACCACCTCCACGTCCACGGGACTGATCCACAGGGAGAAAGCACTGAGGGTCGTTGCGAAGGGTAGGTTGGCGAAAAGATGCTGGGTGTTCAGGAACGGATCACCGAACTCGAGGCAAGCGGTTATCGGTGAACGTTACACCATTTACTTAGGGCCAGGAAATCATTGTGACCCGAGCGTAGCTGATAGAGGGCGGCGAATATATAAAGGGAGGGAGTGAGACTACTTCCGAGGCGATCAGAGATGGTGGGGTAGCCAGGGCACAATTTATATCGGCCGTTTCAGCCATGCAGTTGGAATTTCTTAGCAAATAATGTTATGTCGCCACTTTTGATTCGAGGGAAGGCCAAATTTGACATGAACTTAGTCTTCATAGGTCTTCATTGAAGAGCACTGGTAAGGAACTGTAAGCATGCAAGTTTCAGGTGCGCGGACAGAGAAAGATCGCCTGTTTCAGCTTTGTGGTGGCCAGGTTTCTTTCTTTCTTCTTTAATTGGAATTTATGGGAGCCTCTGAAGACTAGTTCAATGTGGCCCCATGTCAGAACAGTTCAAGGAATTTGACTGAATTTTGTTTTCAGGTACAAAATTCGGTGTCTTGAAAAAAAACTCAAGATTTCTCAATGGCTAAAAGGCTACAGAACGGGGCCACCAAAATGGAGACCACATCGGGGCGGAGAGCACCACTCCAGGGCAGCCAGCCCCACTCCAGGGCAGAAGGCCCCACTCCAGGGCAGCCAGCCCCACTCCAGGGCAGAAAGCCACACTCCAGGGCAGATTAGCCCCACTCCAGGGCAGATAGCCCCACTCCAGGGCAGAAAGCCCCACTCCAGGGCAGAACCTGGGGACACTAACCACTACCTGGGGACACTAACCACTCACCTGGGGACACTAACCACTACCTGGGGACACTAACCACTCACCTGGAGACATTAACCACTCACCTGGGGACATTAACCACTCACCTGGGGACACTAACCACTCACCTGGGGACACTAACCACTCACCTGGGGACATTAACCACTCACCTGGGGGCACTAACCACAAACCCGGGGGCACTTACCACACTTCGAGGCATCTTAAATCTTTGTAAAGAATTTTGCAGTTAGGTGTCGGGAGCATTTATAGGTGTTCAGGAGTTAAACTTCACTTTAGCTGGTCGTAACTTCCGCCGGCTCAACACCTCGGAGCGGGACAGCACGGCAATTTCAAAGTTCGAGAAAGATAGTTCCAGAAAGGTGACGTAGCAGCCGGCCGAAGCCGGCTACTGTCACGGGAGCTCAGCAAAAAGAACCTCTTGCCTCAACGGTTAGAACAGAACCCCCGGTGGCCAGGTTAATTTTGAGGCAATCAGTCAGAAGTCCGTGAGCTGAATAATTAGCAGGATTGCAATGGCGGTACAAGAGGGGATGGGGTGACGTATTGTGACGAACGAAGAGCGCTTTGGTCAATTTCTTAGCGGCGGATCAGTCAGAGGCACTTCTTTGAGCTTCGTGAAAAAGACGCACATGGTTAGATGATGGCAATGTTGAAAAATCCGCACCAGGAATTCGAATAACAAAGTTGTTGATAAGCGAAAGGATTACAACAAATCTTTGGGGACAGATTGGATTCACGGTAAGTTAAGGCAGGGCGTCAGCCTGCCTTTGCTTTGCCAAAGCCAGCGGGCCAGGATGTGGTGGAGATAAGGGGCAGCAATCATAGTGAGGAAAGCCTACGCATACCTCTCTGGTGGTACGCGTAATTTAAACCATTCTTGTGCGTGAGGCTAAGGAGGCCTTTGCATGAATAATATTGGCCAAGTACGATGTTCTTTGGATCCCGTCACTATCGCCAAGGCCTACAACGAGCTGAACATTTTCCTTCAAGAGTCGACTCATTTGCTGGTCAATGAGACGTGATCCATGGCCAAAGCGACGCGTTATGCTGATTACACATAGCGTGATTCTCACGATAAAGCCTCGTCAAGCGCCATCTTGAACACTTAAAGCATATGGAGCGAGGCCCGATTCACGTTCAGTTAGTGTTCAATAATATTTGGGCACCATGGAGAAGATATAATTGGCATGATTTGCTAATCAGGAACAGGTGGGCAAACAATTTACGGGAGTTCGTCGAAGGGCTCTTCTGAACATAACTCTGGCCCATTGATGCCTTGAAGACGACATACAAGTCACGACTGAGTCAGTAGTCATTCTAACCTGACGTTCAGAATTTCAATTTAATGCCCGTCGTTCTTCTGACGTGTGGAGGGTCATGGACTACCCACTTGATGAAGCGCCAAAAATAGCATCCAAGAGAATAATTTAAGTAGTTATTTCACTAGCATCGGTCAGAGAGACGAAACTCAACAATCGTACGAGTCGTGGTCGCATCTCGCTGCGTAAGACTGAACTAACTGGGCTGCAAATGCACCTCTGCGACAAACTAAGATTATTTCCAAGTATTCAAGGAAAGAGGTAAAAATATTCAAGCGCTGAAACTTTTTTAATGTTGTCATAAACTTTGCCGCCACATTTACAGTGACATTCAAACGTTGACTTCAGGTAAATAACGTAACACGCCGAGCGAGCATTTTCAAAGTACGCTTCATACGCAGTATCCAGACAAAATAAAATAATATTAAACATGCAAAAGCTTTCCAAAAACAAATGTTCGTTTCATAATGTAGCTGCTGGATTGAAATTTCTGAAGCTATACTAAAGTAAAAGGAAATGACATTCGCTAGGCTTGAATCCGCTCTCAGAGGCTCCGTTCATATTTTTGATCCAGGATGAATGAAAAAAAATTACAAAACTCGCAACTGGCTAGCCCCATATTTCCAAAAGATGAATAAATCATAACTTCATTCATCGTTATGATCAAATTTTTCCTTCATGAATCATTATAAATATAATTACTGTTCATGGCTAATGTCTTGATTGGATCGTGCCAGCAATTGAGCCTTAATGTGAGAAAATAGTAGCTTTGAAACAAAACTTATTTCACAGGAATGCAATCAAGCTTCATATGAAGTTTCTTGATTAAACTAAAGAACTTTTCAATTAGTGAGGTCATTTTCTATTCATTGATTTATATAGTAGCCACATAAAAGTAATTTTTATCTCGATTCGCATTCAATGGCCTAATGATTGCATGGTATCATACAAGTTCTCAAAAACGAGGATATGAAGGAGGCGCAAAAGGCATGGGTTCCTGCTGTTGTGGGATTATAGGCAGGTTGGAAAATGGGCGGCGAGTAGCCTCCATTTCCTGACGAGGATACGAGTTTGGAGGGCACACACGAGTGGCCGGCGTACGGGAGTGGCCGGCAAGACCGGTCTGCAACTCGCCAGTATCTGAGGAAAAGTTTCGGGCATCGGAACGCTGCCCGGAAGTTACACCAGCTTTGGTTAGAAACGCCAGCGCTGATGCAATGCACTCCATATTAGGCAGAGACCCGTGAGAAACTGGTCGCGCTGGTGCACCTCCGCTTTCACTGAGAGTCATATTCCCTCGAGTGTTTGGGTCAATGCTGCTGCTTGCGGCCATCGACGTAGTAACCGCTGAAGACAAAAAAGAACCGGATTCCCAGTTGGCTCCTGTCAACGCAAGAGGACGAGAAATCCGGCTTTTCTTCACAACCGATTGCGGTCGTAGCTTTTGTACCTGGATTACACCGTCAATAATTGCGTAGAGTTTCGTGTCATCCACTTGCAGGCGTCCAAGAATCATGAGCTGTTCCACAACTTTTTGAGCAATTTCTGACAGTGGACATTGATGGTTATTATCAGCGATGGCTATGATGTTCACACTGCAGAAGTGTTCGCTCCAAATCTTAGAGAGCAACCAGTCCACCGACTGCAAGCAGACACTCCCGCTGGAGTCGAGATCGGTGCATCCGGGATCTTTTAACATGGCATCTTCGATCTTCCTCTTGGAACGTTCAACAGTATTGATATTGGGAATATCTTTGAAAATAGATAAGGGGTCTTTTCCTAAAATATTTGCATTGACAGCAGCAAAGAGTAAGTTTGATATTTTTGGGGCCAAATCTGCCAGGTGTGCCTCCAGTTCATTCAATAACTTGAGTGTGCTGATCACGGAATACTTGAATTCACAGCCAGTATCTGTGCTTGTGGTGGCTGCAGGTGTTTTAGGATGGCTCCGAGGCAGACTAGAAGCAGCCTTTGTGATGAAACTCATAATCTTCTTGGTTTGTTCACTGCCGTGGGGCGTCTGGTCAGGGCGACCGTCCGTTTTCAAAGTTGTTGAAGAAGAATGCGGTGGCGCCTCATCTTGGCCATCAGCGCGAGCCTCTTGGTCTAAGCCGTGCTTGCTGCGCAGGTTCTTGCGTTCTTGGTCAAGGTGGCTTTTGGCGCGATCATCGATAATGGCGCACCACACCTTATACCATTCAGGCTGAAAATCGAAATCCTTCACCGGAATATTTTGACTCTGAAGTTCCATGCTGCGTCGTTGATAGAAACTCCTCCATTCCTCGGCGTAATCGGGGTGAGCCATTGGGTGATCCTTGAAGTAGGTCTGTACAAATATCAATTTGCATCAGTGAGTAGCTCAGCTCACGATATTTTCATACTTAAGCATGTAAACGTAAAGAAAAAATTCTTGAAGGTCCTGACACTTGGTTCTCAATGCGTCATATGTAGAATTCAGTGAGAATAACGACGTTCCGTTTTCATAACATTTAGGTTTACTCAATGAAATTAAGATTGAAGTGGTCCTTAAATACTGATAAGGCTGGTGCCGGTATCCTAGTCTTTACAACATTCTCACGGAAAATAAGTTATTTAGAAAATAACGAAGAAAAAATATTCCATAAATGGCACTGCCAAAGAGTTCAAATAATTTATAAGACATAGTTATTAATTTAATCTGACCATGCTACCTCACCGGTATAAAAGTCTTAAATGTGGCATTCAAGTAATGGAATAGCATAAACCATCGAATACTGGCACCAACTCGCTAAAAAATAAATCTGAGAGCAGAATTATAACTCAAAAGATACCATCAGAATTTAACAATTCAAATACTTTTCACTTAGCGGCAAATTGCTGGATGTAAAATAATAAAATTTAATAAATCTCTCATGAAACTACAATGATGTACAATGATAATTCGAGTGATCTTACCTTCATCTTATTCATGTGCTCTTCAAGCGCGAGCAATTCATTCTTGAATCGAATGTGAGCTGCGGAAGTCTCTTCGGAGAACCTTATTCCTTCGCCTTCTGTACGGCGATCGCCGTAAACCGACCTCAAGGTCTTCGCAGCGTAACTCTGGTTGCGCTCAGGAGTGTGGCTTCGGCGGCGAGGAGTGATGCTGCGGCGACGAGGGGTGATGCTTCGACGGCGAGGAGTGATGCTGCGGCGACGAGGGGTGATGCTTCTACGGCGAGGAGTAATGCTTCGACGGCGCGGAGTGATGCTTCGACGGCGAGGGGTGATGCTTCGACGGCGAGGGGTGATGCTTCGACGGCGAGGAGTGATACTTCGACGGCGAGGGGTGATGCTTCTACGGCGAGGAGTAATGCTTCGACGGCGCGGAGTGATGCTTCGACGGCGTGGAGTAATGCTTCGACGGCGCGGAGTGATGCTTCGACGGCGAGGAGTAATGCTTCGACGGCGCGGAGTAATGCTTCGACGGCGCGGAGTGATGCTTCGACGAGTGGTGATGCTTCGACGGCGCGGAGTGATGCTTCGACGAGTGGTGATGCTTCGACGGCGCGGAGTGATGCTCCGACGGCGCGGAGTGATGCTTCGACGGCGAGGGGTTATGCTTCGACGGCGTGGAGTGATGCTTCGACGGCGCGGAGTGATGCTTCGACGGCGCGGAGTGATACTTCGACAACGAGTCGAAAAATTGTCGTCTCGAGGTGAGATGCCACGCTCTCTGAAAGTTATGCGTTCCTGGGAAATACTGCGACAACGAAAATAGATTTCTTCCTCTGCATTAGCGAGAAAGCGAGAACCCCTTGAAGGATTGTCCCGAAAATATGCATCCAGGACCTCTTGACGCCAAGGACTGCCGCTACGGCAAGTCTCGTACCCATGCTCATGGCCGTGTCCATGATGTGGAGATGACAAGCCACGATAAGAGCTGCTATGATGAACGGCCGGACCAATGAATGAAGGCGGTTGACGATTCCAGTCATAATTTGAGCAGCCAGCGCGGGTTAAGCGCTCTGGAGTCGTCGGTCGGTGAGCGGCACTAACGACATTGCGCCCTTTGTCAAAACAATCAACTAAACCAAACCAATCTGACGCAGAATGGTCGATACTTTCATCGACGTGCCTACGGCTGGATGATTTATGTCCCAGCTCTGAAGGAATCGAGAAATCAAGACGTGACGCCAAACTTGAACTGAGTTTCAGACCCAGTCGACCACCCAGCCTGCTAGCCATTGGCCGGCGAGACTGGTAGGGCGTCGCAACTCCATCATCCCGCACCTCAGAAAACCTGGAAAAAAATAAAATACATATCTTAATTATGGTTAATGTGACAGTAACACACAGTCTTGTTAATTTGCAGATTATATTACATTGAAGAAGTGATTAAACCTTAGAGCAGTGGTAAGTATGAGTAAAATTAAGTCTTTATATTTTTCGGAAGACTTCCACCTTTTCCCAATCCTGAATGCAAAATAACATAATAGTACTATTCATCGTAACCGAAGCTTTACAAAGCTTGTTAACATGTTTTCAGAGTGGCCACTGCACGCCAATTACTTTTCAATTTAAGACCGAGTTAGCCTACCAACGAACAAAATTATGTTACAGAACAGCAAACAAACTGTTTCTTCAAATGAACATCGATCGTGAATAAATAAAATGGAATGGGTAAAATTTAGAAGGTGTGTTATCTCAGCTATTATAATGTCAATTATTAAGTATGCTATTTTGGATACTAGCGTTGCTTGACTTTCCCATATGGAAATCTTTTACAAGATGGCGTTTAAGAAACGCACACATAAAACGCACTATTTATGCAGTATATCCGGACTCGTACCGATGTCTGCTAATGTAATTCTACGATTAAATCATTTAACTCGAACGTTAACTTGTCCCTTCAAATAACTAACTATATTTGGAGAAATCAAGAGCACGTGGATTTTCAGGTATCCATGTTGCGTCACCATGTCTTGAGCTTACTTTGTGTGGACGTAATGAGCGAACGAACATGGACGTCCATTTGGCGGTAACAAGAGATCACGAACATGGGGTTTTATCTAGTCTCGGACCAATATAATATCCAGATTCGTAGTTTCGAAGCTCACGCTACAAGTTTAATTGGAATTAGAAGAAACTTGTGACCTCTAATTTCGCTCATTCAAATTACCATAGAGGGGGAAATTAGATTCACGTATTGTTATGACAGGCTCCATTTTTGCGTTTTTTGTTGAACTTCTACTGGGTCATCAAAAAGGAATTGTTATTCATACATTCCATAAATACCGAGTTTAGACTATAATAACTCTCCATTTATCTTCTACAATTGAAAGAGCCTGATTTTTCTCATGCATGCGATAAGGTGCCTGTACACAGGGATAGTACTAGCCGCTAGTTCATCCGCCGCTTGAACTGTCCACGCTACTAGCCTCGTGTATAGGTGCCTGTACACAGGGACAGTACTGGCCGCCAGTTCATCCGCCGCTTGAACTGTCCACGCTACTAGCCTCGTGTATAGGGGTTCAGCCGCTTCAGAGGCATGCGCCGGCAAGTGCCCGAGATGCAGCCGAGAAGGACAACGATGTGTTGATTTCTGCGCTGGAGATTGGAGAAGTGGCTAGTAGCGCTGATGCTGCCATGGCGAGAGCATTTGTGCCGCTCTTGTGAAGTATCTTGGGTCAAGTGAATCATGGATTCTTTGAACGATAATGTTTCTAAGAGGAATCCAACAAAATGGATTCCAGACGAAATTCAATTATTCTTTGAAATATTCCAAAAATACGAATTAAAGTGGAATGTTTGCCATGACGGTTACTCCAACAAAATGAAGAGAGAAACGAGTATTTTGAAACTGGAAGGAGACCTTATTAGTCAGGGCTTAGTTGTTCCCGACGTTGCATTTTTAAAGGTTAGAATAAAGAGTATAAAAACGACGTACAGACACGAGTTGTTGAAGGTGATCCCACTATCCATCTTTGCAGAGCTCACTCGATGGCTTCTAACGACGCACTAGCGGGCGCGAACGAGAAGATACTACTCTCATCGTGTGTACAGGCTTACTTGCCGGATAGTCAACAAACGACCGATACTAGCCAGATTTACCAGCAGTCTGCACTATCCCCGTGTACAAGCACCTATACTTAGATAGTGTATACTGTTGAAAACACACGAGGACTTGTTCCTATTTATAAGTGGGATGTCTTGAGTTTTTAGTCTTAGATTCAACCTCTAACATTCCATCAATACTTTCCCGCAAGTCGTCACGAATCTCGTTTGCCCATTATTGGAGCACACAATCCTCATACCTCACTTCTTTACCATTGTTTACGTTTATTTTTTGGAACTTCAACGATTTTTACTGAACGATGTACAACGCTATATATCAGCGGTTCCCTGCTATAAAAGAAGCCCACATAGTGCGGCTCCGAGATACCGATGACAGGTGAAGCGTGACGTGTGGGAAGAATTTTTATTTCCATCGAGAAATTTTCTACCTATTCGTTAAATTCTTTCTAATTATCAATCTTGATCTTTTTTCTATGAACAATTTTAAAATCGTTTTTGGAGTGTCAAGATATTTTCCCTACTCATATGATCGTGCGAATATAAATACAGTTGTTCGCGATGCGCATCCGAGTACGTTGGTATGACGTCACGCAATCTTTATTCTTGACTAACGGGGCATAAAGCGACAAGTTGGAGGACTTGATACTAACTAACGCGTCCCCTTATTCGGCAGTACGCATTCCTGTCGAGCAGCGGAACATAACGGTATCCTATAGTGACATTGACTCTAGTTTCCTCTTCCGGGGTTTCCAATTTGCGTATTTTAGGGTCCATGAATATTTTTAAACAGAGGCCTAGTTTGAATGCAACTTTCAACTCTTATCAATTTGAAACTGCGAATGGATAGGTTTTGCCAGATTTTCTTGCTTTCCCTTCTATCTTCAAAATTGAGGTTTAACTTTTTCTTAATTTTTTTTTAATTGAACAGTGCTTATTTTCGTTGCTTAAATTAAATTACTATTGAATTTGCGATTCAGGCAATCGAGTGACATAGTTACATCTATAAAACACGATCGCACACTTGTCAGGTTTGAATCCATCTAATACAGCGGCTGGCATAGCTGTATACTTGAAATGTTAGCATTGTATTCTGAACGAGTATTTACCCGATTTTCACTGCCCTGCTGAATCCTCATAAGCAATTCTGATATAGAGAAATATTCAGTATAGTGCAGATTCGATGGTCTCGGCTAATGGAAGCTCTGCCTTATAATTCATGAACTAAAGAGTGTTATCAAGATAAATGATTGATGTCTAATTTTCAATGGCCACTGGAGAATAATTATCAGAAGTCGCAATTCGGAACGCAGGATAATGCTTTCACTTTTCAGTCAGAGTCATCATTGTTTAATACTGCTATAACTGCAAACCTGACACGCCAAAGGGAACAAATTATTTCAGTCGACATCAGAGTTCACCGCGTTGCCATGGTTTGCTTATTATGCATGGAGGGAATTCGAGATGGAGCGAAGAATGAATATTCTTTTATTCAGAAAAGAACATAAGATATCCTGCTTCCATTTGCCGCGCCCATGGGGCGTCCATGTAACTTGGGCTCCTCCGCTGTGGTGTCACTAAACCAAAAATTCGGGTCAAAGCAGAGAATTTATTTTGACACAAGATCTACTACTTCAGAGTAGCAATAAAATACTGAGATTGCATATGCAAAACTACACAGGTCTATTATGGCTAGTTAGGTAGGGAATTTTTTTATTTGCAGTTTCGCAGATTGCGAAAGGAGCAGCTTCATCTTTGGTGTACACAAGTTTACACTCTGTTTTAGCCGCAAGTAATGAGAGCGAAACAGCATTTTTATTTTAACCTCTGGAACTTGGTGGTATTTTATTTTATTAACTTCAACTCACTTTAGCACATTCATGTATTGTCACGATAGTCCTTCACTGTAACTTAATACTATGTTACCCCCACTTGAAGAGTGGAAGCTTGAAAATTCCCTCGGGTCAGAAGTAAATAGCGACCCGAAAAATTGTACAACTCAGCAACTAACACTCAGAAATATCTTAGGCTCATTTTCTAAATAGCGATGCACTATTTGCTCTTGGGTGACCCAGTTTAGCCCGGCAGAAAGATATATCACAGCTACGACGCTCGCTGCATGTGTTGTGAATATATATATATTCACTATTATTAAACAAATACACTTTTCGGACATGGACCTATTTATTTTTATAATCGTACATAGTAGGGAGTAATACTCGATAGAAAATTTTCAATTCAGCTCGTTTCATAAACCAGCGTTCAATTCGCGTTTCAAGTTGTTTCATAAACCAGCGTTCAATTCAAGTTTTCGGCTGTTTCAGCGAGTTTTATAAACCAGCGTTCAATTCAAGTTTTCAGTGCGTTTCATAGAGCAGCGTTCAATTCAAGTTTTCAGTACGTTTCATAAACCAGCGTTCAATTGAAGTTTTCAGTTATTTCAAGTACTAAAACTGATAAATTCCGATGAAATAAATCAAGGTGTTCATAGAATAGAAGTGTAGGCACTGAAGAAATAGGCCCATGGCCTGTTGCCGATTCTTGTTCTTTTCGTGACTTGATTCACAAGGGATCCGGCCTTTGAGACCCGATCTTTCCATAACTGACGATTGGTTGAGATAGCTGCTGGACTTATTGCCTGGTCCATAAGTTGCTAGGCATTTTAAGACTGAACATATGCTCCTGCATAGCTTCGTCTAGTCTGTTCTTGAAGGCGTTCTTCCTCGGAGCGTCACCGATGGCATCAGGGAGGCTGCTCCACATGTCGGTGACTCGAAGAGAGAAGAAATTTTGTCGCATGGATGTGTTACAATGTAGTTTTTCAGTTCATAGCCGTGGCCCCTGGTGTTGGTTCTTGTTTCAAATAGTAGTAATCCTTCTGGGACATTGTATAAGCAATGAGGATACTTGTAGGCTTCAATGAGGTCCCACTCAGACGTCGATAACAGAGGCTCGATAACTTCATAATCTATAATCTTTCCTCATAGGACTTGCCTTTCAAGCCCGGAATTATCCTCGTTGCACGTCTTTGAACACTATTAAATTTTTGTCCTCTTCAAGTTTCGGCGACCACACGACGTTTTCAAACTCTGGGTTCGGGCGCACGACAGCAACAAACAACTGCTTCATCGCTACTGCATGTAGGAACTCGAAAGAGCGTCTGATCAGTCCAAGTCGTTTATTGGCTTCATGAACTTGACCTTCAATATGCTTAAAAAATTTCAACTCACTGTCGATATTAACTCTTAAATCTTTTTCCATTGTCGACTTCGACATCATCACACTTTCGTTTCAACCGTGTCTTCTCATACTGTAATCTTGCTGTTCATTATTCTTGCCAAGGTGGATTACTTTACATTTGTCAGCGTTAAAACGCAGCTGCCACTTATCAGCCCAGTCAACCAGCCTGTCAAGATCAACTTGCAACTGTACTTTTTGCACCGTATTCTTCACTGTATTATAAATTTTTGTGTCATCAGCATACATCGAGCACGCGCTAGACACAGCTTCTGGCAGATCGTTTATAAACGCAACGAATATAACAGGCCCGAGAACGCTTCCATGTGGCACGCCGCTGCGCACTGAAACCCAGTCTGATACGGACCCATTAATACTGACACGTTGTCGTCTCCTTACTAGAAAATCTCTGATCCATTCGAGTACCTTACTCTTAATTCTCAAAGACTTCAATTTACGCAACAGCAGCTCATGCGGGACACTGTCAAACGCCATGGCAAAATCGAGGTACACTGCATCAACTGGCTCCCTTTCGTCCAGCAGGCGCATCCATTCGTTTAGAGTAGGCAGGACGTTAGTGGTGCAGGATCTCCCGGCAATAAAGCCATGTTGACAGCTGATAGGAGATTATTAGCAGTCAAATGATCTATCAATCGATCCCTCACAACAGATTCCATTACCTTGCAAACGGCACCCGGGCAGCTTAATTTTTTGAACAATGGCAGCAGCACCTTTTTGCACCTTTTGCACCCGGGCAGCACCTTTTCTGAACAATGCTGTCACTTGAGCTTCTTTCCAGTCAGCCGGCAAGATCCCTTCGTTCAAAGTTTTTCGAAAAATGGCGTCAAAGGGCCGGCTAGGACAGTTGCTAACTCTTTGAGTAATCTGGGGTGGAAGCTGTCCGATCCACATGACTTGTTTGGATTAACAGCGATAAGGCGCTTGAGAACCTATTTTCTTGTATTTCAAAACTTGGTAATTTAAAGCTATTGAGGAGCGACTAGGCGCTCCTCAATAGCAGGAATACTGTTCAAATCCTCTTCAGTGAATACGCTACTGAAAAACTGATTAAGAACGTTAGCCTTGCCCTCATCAGAGGATATCTTTCGTTGATCTACTTTCAAATCAGAAATACCGTCCTTTATCTTGCACTTCGAGCTAGCGTACAAAAAGAAGGCTTTCGGGTTCTTTTTTGCATTTTTAGCAAAAATTTTTGCGAGGGTTCTTACTGCGGTGCGATAGCTTTCTTTAGCTTGATTTCGAGCTCTTGCGTATAGGTAGTAGTCAGCATCGCTACGAGTCCTTATAACGCTGGTAGGCTTCCTTCTTTGTTTTCAGCTTAGCGAAAACTGTACTGTTCATGCAATGAGTTTTTTTTTGCCCCACCAAGCTTAATTTTAGGTACACACGCATCAACTGCAGACATAACCGTGTCCTTGAGAAATGACCATGACTCGGCCACATTCATGTCATGAATACAGTTCGAAATATTCACTGCTTCACGGAGTTTATCATAGTCGCCTTTCGTAAAATTCAAACGCACACGCTTTCGAGACGTCTTTTCTGTACAGCACTTTAGACTGAAAAACAATGATTGGTGATGGCTTTTGCCCAAAGGAGCCTCGTGACGAAGCACATCTAACATCGATTCATCACTAGTAAACACCAGGTCTAGAATATTGGGAGTCTGTTTACTTCTATAATGGGTTGGCTTGGTAACATACTGGACTATGAAGAAGTCTCTCACAGACTCCATGAACAAGGATGCTTGGCGATTCTCATCCTTTGGAGAGGATCCATCTGTCCAGTGTAGCTTTGGAGGATTAAAATCACCAACGATCATTGTGTTTGACCTACGGAAAGTCATGCCCGGTAAAAGACTGTTTAGCGCTTTATCGTTATCAGAGAAACTGTTTGGTGATCTATACACGACGCCTATGAGGAGGCTATTTTTGCCTTCGAGAGAAAGTTCGCACCACACTGATTCTCTAGCTGATTGATGCTGTGCAGATAACTTGATTTTCTTAACCCCATAAAAGATTCTAACCCACAAAGCTACACCTCTACTGCACTGCTCTTCAATTGAGTTATGAAAACAATCAAAATCTCGCACTGATATTCAACAGGTACAAATTTCCCCCCGTAATTTTTAGGGAGTGTTTCTGTAATACAAATAATGTCTATGCACTCTTTTTCGATCACAGTTAACAGTTCACTTTTTTTGTTCAAAACAGAATCCAAGTTCGTATAAAAACATTTTAAAACTTTTTGTGCACTTTCACTTTGAACTTTGATGCATGCGTTTACTTCCTACATTATTTACAGGCCTGGATCTATGGATATGACTTCTTACTTGTCTTCCAGCTCCGCTGACTGACCGTGTGCGGCCGGTGTTATCTTGACATCGTGAGAGTGGTTGACCCGAGTCTCCGTGTTTAAGATAACAATAGCGCCAAGCGGCAAATCGCATCAGTTCATCATCTTTCCCCTATTATACTTAGGGTGAGCAATACTCAAAATCGTCGTGAGAATGTTGAGCTCACCGAAAATAACTGGCACGTACAGAGGACTTTGAGTAAATGAATGTGCATCGTGAAAGAGTTGTGTTATTTTAAATAATTTCAACCAGCAAGTGTGACTTCCGAACCAGAGAAAGAATACAATCAATCAGGTAACTAGCAGTATTTCGACCACACAAACAACGATTCAAGCGCGATTTACATATTCGAAAACATTGCCATTATAGTCGTGCAGAGATTTCCACAATTTACCTTCGTACCGAATCTCAAATTCATACATCGTTGGTTCATCGATTACTCACGCTTACAAGAAACAATGATATTGCCTCTAAAAATGAATAAGTAATAACCAATCAAACGTGAAGAACATCGCATAGCTTAGCATATATAAGTACACATCAAAGACTAGAAGCTCATTGGATTTACGGATTGGATTGCGCAGACCAAAATTATGTTTATAATTTGTTTATTTTCCGAGTCAAAATAATGTCTTTCCACTTAGTTCATAAAATTAAACACGAGACGTGGGCGGTGCTGCTGTGCGATGTTTAAAAGATGACAGCAGCGTTCACGCTCCCGCTTCTCGGCCACCATGGAGCTTGTTGACCACGATCCAAAACTTGCTTCGCCTGGCAGTTGACCTGAAATGATTGATACCATAAAAATTTTCCATCGAAATGAATCTGTATTTTTTCTTCAAATATAGACAAAAATTTTAAAATATGAACATAAGGACAATAAATTTAGACTATGATCGAGCAATTCACCTTGAAGAATACGTTCAAATAGCCGACCATGGAGGGCTTATTTTCTTCCAAGGATGTCCTTTCTGTCGTTGAAGCGGCTTTTCACAAGACACTCTAATCAATTTGCGTTAAAAAAACGTTTTTCAAGCAGAAAGCACATGGGATAGAAGATAGTCATGTTTGCTTATCAACTCAGTCTACCGCAATTGTTTTTCCAATATAATGGCAGATCAATTAATTTATCGTTTCTAGATAGTTTTAATTCTAATATAATACGGATTAAGGTTTTCCGCATCGCAAGGGAGCTCTTGATCAACGACCGGGCTTAATTTTGTTGCAGTAGAAATATCTTCACCCAGTTTTCGTAAGTGATGAATTAGAAAAGAGCGAATTTCTTTACGTGGTACACCGTTTTCTCGTTTCTGAAAAAAACGAATAACGTTGGTTTGTGCATACGATACCGTTGAGATCTGTGGCACTATCGATAAGCGTGAATGTGCACCATCCTGCAAGTTTAGAGTGGTTAAATGAGGTTGAACGTTTACAAGGAAGATATTTCTTTAACACAAAAATTCCAGGAACAAAATATCGATAAAAAACATTGTCACGGAATGCCAGTACCGTACCAAGCGGGTGTCGAAAACTGATTAGAATTGAAGCTAAATGCAGCTTGCGAATAATTGGTTTCTTTATTAAAAAAGATTCAGTAAAAGGGTATACAACGAGAAGCCAAAATAAAGCTGTAGTTTTTGGAAAAGTTCGAAACACGAGTACGGTAAGAGATAGAAGCCAGACGGCTGCTATGCCGATCGAGGCACACTGTAACCGAATCGGCGTAATGAGGTTTGATTGAGGCGAGAAATCGACATATCTTGAAGCCGTTCGTTGACACTTTCTGTTTTCATAGAGAGAAAGAGAGAACAAGTACGAATTCCAAATTTCCTATAGAGAGAAAGAATCAACAAGTACGGTTGAGTGAGAGAGGAAGAGATAATAAGTACGGTTGAGTGAGTGTGGAAGATATAACGAATACGGTTGAGCGGGAGAGGAAGAGATAACAAGTATGGTTGAGTGAGTGAAAGAGATAACAAGTACGGCTGAGTGCGAGAGGAAGTGATAAGTATGGTTGAGTGAGAACGAAAGAGATAACGAATACGGTTGAGTGGAAGAGATAACAAGTAGGGTTGAGTAAGAGAGGAAGAGCAAACAGGTACGGTTGAATGAGATAAGAAAAGCAAACAAGAACGACTGAGTGAGAGAGGAAGAGCAAACAGGTACGGTTGAATGAGATAAGAAAAGCAAACAAGAACGACTGAGTGAGAGAGGAAGAGCAAACAAGTACGGTTGAATGAGTTAAGAAAAGCAAAAAACAAGAACGACTGAGCGAGAGAGGAAGAGCAAACAACTACGGTTGAATGAGTTAAGAAAAGCAAAAAACAAGAACGACTGAGCGAGAGAGGAAGAGCAAACAAGTACGGTTGAATGAGTTAAGAAAAGCAAAAAACAAGAACGACTGAGCGAGAGAGGAAGAGCAAACAACTACGGTTGAATGAGTTAAGAAAAGCAAAAAACAAGAACGACTGAGCGAGAGAGGAAGAGCTAAAAAGTTCGATATAGTAAAAAAAATCCACTATTGATCAAACTATCAAATTAGGTTGTGCTGGAACACAAAGGGAAGCTTTAGCGCAAAAAAGACGTCCGTGCGCGAATGGTCACGCACCGTATATTTACGTTTAAAATTTAAAGAATAATACGAGCAAGAGTCGAAAACTACAATGGCAGCTAGACATCAACAATACCAATTCGAGAATGTTAGAATTCTAGAATCCACGATACGCGTGGACTAGGTGGCTATACCTGCAAGTAACGTGTGTCGTTATAAACGAGCTGGTCACACGAGTTTCGGACAGGGCGGTCAGGATACGACTCGAGGTATACCAGGCGTGTCTCGTTGGAATACAGATGAAGATTCATATACAAAATTGCTAAATATCGATTTAAATTTACTCTATTACAAAAAAGAAATCGATTACATTCCCATTGATTTATAACTAATATGATCTCAACCCGGTTCTTGATCTTGAACCCGATTTGATCTCAAAATACGAGTTATAGAACAAAGTAGTTCATACTTCTCATTTCAAAATTTGGGATTTTTTGGTTGTTTCGGAATTAATTTGTGCATACCAATTGCATAATCATGTTTCATTTTTTCATACAATCCTTTCCTATTTACCCATTAATAATAAAATTTCATGTTTAGGTAATATACTATACCGACTATCGTCCGTCCCTACTCCCTACAACACTACCAGCGACGAGAAGCAAGCAACAGCATCGTGCATCAGCTGACCCAATGAGGGCGGATCCGCGATAGTTAGAAGCTTAGAACCTTGAATGAGGGCAGATCCGCGATAGTTGCGCTGCGATCCATCGTGGCCTGGGACTGCTACGCCCGGTCCAAAAAATATACTAATGATACTACAGCCGTGTAGTAGCTCCTTGATCTTTGCTTTGCCAGACTTCAAACACACACACAAAAGATGGAACGCAAGCAGCCATACATTCAATACATGAAATATGAGCAGTTGGGGGCCACGTTCAGGCGTATCGAGGGCACAAGCGTCCTTGAAGATTTTAGTCTTCAAGGACGGTTTCAGATTCTGGAGCCACGAAGTCTTTCGAGGGCACTCGTGTTCCAAAAATATCTCGACACTTGTCGCTTTTACAAGAGGGTAATATTAGCTATAAGATCTGGCTAATATTACCTTATAGTATTTTTTGGGGGGTACGCAGCCGTGCACCACTAAATTTGTGCACCAATCAGCCTTGAAAGGAACGCCTAGCATATTTCCGGATGACCACCAATCAGCAGCGGATTAAGCCATCCGTCGGTAACCAGCCCGTGACATCATCTTGTTTTTTTTTTTTTAATATTAGGAGCTTTACGCCACCACATTCTGAAGCGAATAGCCCAGAGAGTAATGGTTATGCACCACTGAACGTTGCATCGAATCATCACTTCATACCCCGACTTTAGCTCGAACTGTAATTTGCGGACAACGGACTGCGACCAACCAGCCAGGTCGCCAGTGGAACTGCATGCATCCTGCCGTGCACCACCAGACCGTCACTTTTAGCTCAACATCCGGGGTTAGGTTTCAGAAAGCACCGTTCTGTTCCAAACTCTATCGTCCGCCAGCGAGTGACTTCCGCAGCTTCGCTAAATTGCGTAACTTTTAGCTCACTGCATCTGGGGTTAGGTTCCAGATAGCATAGTTCTGTTCCGAAATTTATCATCGTACGACGCGTGGCCGTTCGACCGTGGGTTGATTCGACACACGGGACAGATACGGACGGCTCCGACGCGCTCCGTCCGGGTGGTGTGAATTTTTTTCTCGCGTTGACAGACGACGCTGCGCCATACGACGCCAGGCTTATTTTCCTGTGGGCTGATTGATCTAATTCAATGGATGTGGTCTGTCTGGTGGCGTGCGGCTGATAATGTTAGGTCAAGGTGTGTTGTAGGCTACGTTCTTCAGGGAAGGGATCATGATAGTCCATTCGAAGCACGGCAGTGGTGGTCTCTGACAGGAGTCCCTTTTTTTGGTTACAGTATAGTATTTGGGGTTTTTGGTGTCCTTCACCTATCGAGTCTTACATTCTAGAGCCGGACGCGATTGGTGAAATACGCGGTGGGAAATTGTTCGAATGAAAATACAGTATTTATATTGTAATTGTTTGGTTAGTGAAATCCGCAACGGGCAATTCTTCAACTGACAGTACAGTATTTATATTGTAATTGGTAGCTTTTCTTTGCATAGTAAGTGATTACAAATCCTAACCACGCTCTTACTGCCGACCGAGTTTGACAAGTCGTTTATATCTGCCGATCGAATTCCTCAGAAACCCGTGAACCAGCGCACAGTCGTAAATAATTCTTCTCATTATGATTTATTGGAAACCCGCGATCAAATGAAGCCACGCTACCTGCAGCACGATATGGCGATAGATCACTTTACTTTCCTAGTGTAGAGCCGTACTAGCTGGTGTGAGTTAGGTCCTAGCGGTACTAGCTGAGTAGAGAGCAAAATACAGCAGCGCACGCATGAAGTACAAAAATTTTCGTTGTATGTGCCGGAGCTGGGGCTGAATCAGCCGTTGTGGATCAGCCTGCGTCTCTAAATTCACGAAACAAAGCCGATTATGATCCAAAGTTATCTCTAGGTCCTACCCAGTTTTCCCCCCTTCACTATGTTGATTGACAAGCTGCTCATCTACACCGATAGAGTAACGACAATTTCACCAATTGCTTTTTCCTAAATCTTCTAAACCAATAATTGTTTGTTATGGCATATTATTTCACCGAATGCAGACTTCACTCGGGGGCTTCTAAGGAGACACTGGCGGGAACGTATGAGAAATACTGTCAGCTAATTCCTGCCTAGTGTATAAACCCACTCACCGGTAACGGCAGAAGCGGAAAATAATAGCCGCTAATATCCAGCTATAAATTAAGGGTGGCGCATCAATGATTATAGGTGGCGATGGTAGATTACAGGTGGCGTAACGGTGTGTGGCCAGATCTGCCAAAAATCGGCAATTAAACACCAATTAAATGAATAAATCCAGAGGGTGCCGAGCATAGGTGGCAGTCATCGATGATTTAGAGGATCTGATTCATCGATGGCGCATTGCAGGCAAATATCTTGTAAGCCACCGATAACAGTTTGCTAAAACTGCACAGTGCACGAAGGAATTTGCCACTGTGATTTATCCAACGTAGAAAGGAGTTATTGGGTTGCGGTTCATTCGACATCCCGACGAAACTATGATTTCGTTCTGCATGTTAGGCTTGCAAGATTTTGATTCAAGAAAATTGAGCAGAAATCGGTAGGTACGAGTAAAACTGACAGACAGTCGTAGGGTGTTCACACATTTTTAATGCTAAAGTGAAGCAACTGGGCACGTATCAGAATGCTTCTGATATAAATTGTCCGGGGAACAGTGGAAAATTTTGTTGCAAAAATAAAGTTTTCCAAAATATGATGGCGAATCCAATTCTTCATGTTCACTTGATATATTGCGTAAATTTATTGCGAAATGTGTATGCGCCAATTAACTTGCTGTGCTGGAAATATTACGATTAATTGAGATTAATTAATTGTATCAGTAAGTATAAATTATATGGTTTGATTATGCGCGTTTCATAATATATATGTTACTCTCAAGTTGCTGCGTGTACACGTTCATAACTGTTGAGTTGGAGCGCGTCGACGTTGAACTTCTTACTCATTAATCTTTAACACGTACTGCTTTGAATGTGTGCTTTCCACGTAATTTGCTTGCCAAAATAGTATCCTCTTTACGCAGAGGGATACGAGTAAAAATTCGGTTTTCTGTCGCTTACTTCGATAGTGTAATTTAATTATTTTTTGGAGATTTTCTTAAACCGTCAGAAAATTATTTTGAGTTTGCGTCTACATTTCTAATCAAGTGGTGGTGTCTTTCCTCCGAAAAATATGAACCCTTTAACGACCAGGTGTACTATACGGTCGCCTTTCAAACATGCTCTGTAATATTGTCACGATAAGGAATTGGCGCTAGTTGTTTTGAACGTGTTCGGTAAGCGTCACTGCTTCGTTTCGGTGGTGCAACTTGGCCAGTGCATGGAGACATAAAATAGGTAAACTGAATTAGTGAAACACACGCCTTCATCACGTATCACGACGTATCACAAAGACCGCCGAGAAGAAACGAACGCCGTACCCAATTACTGCCAGGTTTCGACTGAACGAGTCCCGGGGAAGTCTGCCGACGCACGCCTTCGTTCCAGCCGGTGATGTAACCCCTTTTGGACCGATTGAAATAATAGCATTCTCATGTTAGCCACCCTTAATTGTTTCTTACTGTGTTAGCCTCAAGTAGTCACTCTGCCTGTTAGTAAATAGTGCCTAGCTCGATCGTCTCAATTGACACGTTGGGATTTCTGTAGCCAGTACGGTGTCCCAAATGCCTAGCAAATTACGGATCAGGCAATAAGTCCAGCAGCTATCTCAATCAATCGTCAGATATAGAAAGATCGGGTTCCAAAGGCCGGATCCCTTGTGAATCAAGTCACGAAAAGTTCAAGAATCGGCAACAGGCCATGGGCCTATTTCTTCAACGCCGACACTTCTATTCTATTCTAACTCTACTCTTTGCCGTCAACTACACAGTACATCGCTGATCTTGTTGGGAATCCGTGGTGCCATTCCCTTGTTGAACTTTCCCAATCTTTATTGGACTATGGTGGGAAAATCAGATAAGTTACAGCATTGAAAAAATTCTACATTGTTTCTGGTACAATAGTGAGTACACATGCAAAATTTGAACATAAAATAAAAATTACATGCATATATCACATTGTGTTTCTAAAGGCGACCGTTCAGTACAGTTGGACTTAAAACTGCGTTGTTTGAAACGCGACCGTTGAGTCATGTTGGTCCTACGACCATACAAGTAGGGAATTACGATGTAAAATAATTGTGTTTTCATTACTATTCTATAATTTAGTGAATTCTACAATATTTTTCTCACTACTAGTGAGAAACACTAATTCAGTTTACCTATTTTATGTCTCCATTCACTGGCCAAATAATCGAATTATTTAAGTGTACTAATATTTTTTGCCTTTCAGAATCCTTCAAGGGCTTTAGCATAAAAACTTTTTCTTCTCCAAGAAAACGTCCCAGTCTATGTGAACAGCATCTTGCTACTTTATTCTCCCGTGAATCTAAAGAAGACTCTGCGGATGAAAAGGACATATTGGATACGATATTGGTTTCACCAATACACCTGAAACCAGTTCTAAGAGCAAATTTGAAAAAGAAAATGAATCAATCATGATTGAAATTAACAGAATGAAAGGTGAGAACCTGGCCTCTCAACCTGGATTCTGGCTTGGCAACCTGGACCGCGGCCTCTCAGCCTGAACCCTGGCCTCTCAATCTCCATCCTGGCCTCTCAACCTGGACCCTGGTTTCTCAGTCTGGAGCCTGGCCTCTCAACCTGGACCCTGGCCTCTCAGTCTGGACCCTGGCCTTTCAACCTGATCCCTGGCCTCTCAACCTGGACCCTGGCCTCTCAGTCTGGAGCCTGGCCTCTCAACCTGGAACCTGGCCTCTCAACCTGGACCCTAGCCTCTTAACCTGGACCCTTGCTTCTTAATCTGGACTTTGGTCTCTCAGCCTCCACTCTAGCCTCTCAAAATGGACCCCGGCCTGTCAGCCTGGACCCTGGCCTCTTAACCAGAACTAGGGACTCTCAGCCTTAACCCTGGCCTCTCAATCTCGACCCTGGCCTCTCAGCCTGGACCCTTGCCTCTCAACCTGGACTTCAGTCTCTCAGCCTCCACCCTAGCATCTTAAAATGGACCCCCGGCCTGTCAGCCTGGGCTTCTCAACCCGGCCTGGTTGGACCCCGGCCTGATCCAAGGCTTCTCAACCTGGACCCTGCCCTCTCCGCCGGGACATTGGCCTCACAACCTTGGACCTGGCGTCTTTGGCCCAACATCCTTGATGTTTTCTAAACATTGAGAATGTTGAAAAACAAGAAATTTCTTTGAAAATTTCAATCTCGAATAAGGCATTTTTGCTAAAATACTGGAGTTTCTTGCAAGTTTCTTGGACTTCTTATTGTTGCTAGCAAAAGTAATGTAAAAATGATAATTAACTATGCCTGCTATATAATATCATCCATATTTTGCGCTCAAAGACTAAATGGATCATATGGTCGCGTTTAATGTTGGGTTCTCGTAAGACCGAGTGGACTGAGAAGTAGCCTTTCATTTTATTTTCAATATACAAGTTTTAATTTTCCATACTCATCTATACACTACTTAGTGACCATAAGCACTAAAAATCGTACGAACATTTTTTTACGTGATTTAAAAAATGTGGTCGTTAAAGTGTTAAACATTAGGCTTGAGAAAAATAGTGACACGAAGTGATGAAGGCATTTCACGCCTAACATTTCAAAATAACCGAGTGATGATTCGTTAGAACACGTAAGAATATTCTTGGTGAAAACATTTCGCTGTTAAAATATGTGTAATGTTCACATTATGAAACTTCGCTATTTATCAGTTTTCCGTGGCCTTTGCTCTGAGCCAAACCATTGTTCGTTATGGATAAACGAAGAATCTTCCAGCCGCCGTTTTCTCGAATATAGCAACATGTTCATATAAAATGGCTAATAGAACCATCTAATCATCACAATGGTAGCATTAACTTCTCTCATTTGATGAAAATAATGTTTGCAATACTTCAATCAAATCTTTTGAAATTACTGGACTACCATGTCCTCTCCAATGGCTCAACGGTTAACGCTTGGCTTTGCGTGGGGGAGATCAGAGTTCGAATCCTGCAGGCAGGGACTTTCTTCAAGTCGATTTCTCACGAGGCATGTGTATGGTACTCCGATAATTTGTTCATGCTACATGTCTGACATTGCTACTTGCACTGCCAGGGTGGATTTGTATACGTAGTTCCCAGAATATGATCGTCTGGAGCAATATCAGCAAATTCATCGGATGTGAAGCTAAATGAAAATTTTGTATCGACTTCATTTTAAAGGTGGCCATCGGTGGCTTATCGATGCGCCACCGGTGCCTGTGAGCAGTTATTGGTGGAAGAAGTTTTTCGGGTAGGGTGGCCGTAGGCAGGTTACAGGTGGAACATAGGCCGAACACGCCATCGACGTCGCATCGATGCGCCATCGGTGCTCCACCTATAGTCACCAATAATCATCGATGCTCCACCAATAATACTGTCCGCCTGCACAGGCACCTTTAGGTTAATAAAATTAACGTTACTAGTGCTCTGTCTTTCTTTCACTCGAGAACCTTCATCTAAGCTCTGCTTTTGTTGTGACTATTGTTTCAGGAGCGTAAGGCCATTTACAGAATTTATTTCTCAAGAGTTATGATATTCATAGGTTTGCGGCAAATTCTCTTTTTTTGAAATGCCTTTCGTCTAAGAAGCCTCGCCAATGAATGTAATGAAGCTTTATAAACTTAGCATGTGTATAGTGAAGAATAATAGCAGTTTTCCTGATGTTTCGTTAGTGTCGGCCAATAATATTGACCAAAATTCCATTTTCTTCCTACCTAGGCACATGAAAAGATACTATAACGATTTAGATTAGACGGATTAACGAATAGGAGGAACATACCACATCTTGCCACACGCCCTTTCAGCACGGATATATTCGCTATTTTTCATATAGCAGCTGAATTTTTTCCGTTTCTGCCAACCAATGGGTTTACGAACCATATGTCAGCGCTGTTATCACAGAAATATGGAATGTTCTTGTTCTATATCTTATATTGGTGGCGATCATAGTTTTTCCGAATGTTTGCATTTGGGCTGATCATGAGCAAATATAGGGTTTAACATCCCGTGAGGGAAAAAATGTACGAAGCAACGCTAATCGCAGGATGAAAAATAAAAGATAAATACGTATTGCCTGACGTTCAGTCCAAGAAAATATCAGGTTATGGAGAAACATTCAAGATTGCACTCGTGTCCTACAAGTTGTCAGTATCGGTATCAGATTCTTTAGCAACCTCTGAGCGTGACTTTGGTGTAATTTCGTTCTAAATTTTCAGATAACCTTCGCAGAACCACGTATAGAGAAGAGAACACACGAGTCACGTTCGACATTAACCTCTTCTTGAGGTTTATAGCTCAAATAGTTCATGGGCGTCAAAATTAGGGTGATCATGATGGCGCACTTCCATTCTATCTCTTTGAACTCCGTTTGATTCAAAATGGTTTATTTTGAATTAGCCTTAAAAACGACGAAAATTGATGCTTGTACGGTGAAGTTGAAATGTGACTGTTCAACATTCTTGATGGCAGTTCAGGAGAGGGGCGAGAGAAGTCTCAACGCTTCGTTGATTCGTTCCAAAAAATTCATAAAGTAAAGCAAGTTGTGAAAAATAAAACCTTTTATGAACTTTGTGTTAGCCAAGTTTTCCTGTGAGCACTACCCTCAGACAACACGACAGGTGGTGAGGAATATCTGGTTAGGACAGCGTAAGCAGAATACAATTCCAGGGATACACGGCTTGGTAATATTTCAAACTGAACTGACACTATTGAATTATAGACTCGCGGAGTCAGTACAAAAGTTCGAAAACTAATTCGTTTATCAAATTTTATTGAAATAAGCCTCTCACACAAGAAATCAGAAGTGACACAAGCTTTGGAATCGTTAGAAAAGTTAACGATGGAAAATTCAATCCTTTTGCCAAGATTCCCGAATTAACGAGAATGAAGCGAGGCCCTTTTCCCGAATAACTACTTTTATTTTTTCATCTTTCAAAGCATTTTTCATGAAACCTTGAACCCAAATCATAGTGTTGAAGTTCATTCGATCGTCTTCGCTCCTAAGACTTGAAAACTCGAGGCTGTTTGACAAAAAGAAAACGTTCCAGCAGAGTTTCAGCTCGTACGAACACCAATGACTTAAAAGCATAACTCCCATCGAAATCGCTGTTCCAAATCATTCAGACGAAAAACGTGCGAAACAAAATAAAATTAGAAAATGTGTAATGCGGCTTCGGGACATGGTGCGCATGCGTTCTCAAATACGGACATATTTAGGTTAATAAAAAAAAATATAACATAAGTCTATAACCAGACCATAAGTTTGATTCCTTTATTCGTAACATGCCTCTTATTTTTAGTTGGCATGAGTACAGAACAAATTTACCATGATCACTAAGCATCAAAAGTTTGATACTCAGAAAACAATCCCATTACAGACAGATATCACAGAATCGAAGAATATGGTCCTTGGGAAGTATGATACAATATCAAGGATATTAATGTTGTCTACAGTATTTAAGAGGATTTCCGCTAGCTTGGGTAGAAAACACCATTTTGAATGAATTCGATGGCAGTTTTTCTTAGCAACACTCATATTGTATTAAACTGCCAAAACATGCTCATTAAACGGTAGATACAATTGAAAACATCGATCGTAGATTCAATACATGGACAATGTGGGTCACTTCTGCAATATTCTCAAGTACGCTTGAAAAATATTATAATGCGCTTGAAAATAAACTAAAAACCCGCCGCAAATAGTTCTTCCAACATTTTAAGGTTCTGTAAAGAAGTGGAATAGTAAAACAGTGAATTTCCCTTGATTTATTCACAGAAATAAAGTCGAGTACAATCGTGAGAACACGGCTATAACTCGAGCACAAACAGATGAATCTTGATGGTACAAATGACCGAAAACTATTAGGTCATTTACTATGATTTCAAATGCTCCAACCATCGAACGTCAAGTTCGTTATTGGAAAGATTCGTGTACAGTTTGAAATTGTACAACTCGCCATTTTGCGACTAACTTATTCAAAAATACATGCAAAAATCCAGGCTTATATTTACAATAACTTGATTTGGCAGCTAAAGGTGTAGGTCTGCGCCGAAAAAAAAAGCACTAATACGGAGGAGAGTCGAAGCGCCTCTGAGGATGAATTGATCGACTCCATGCCTTCGGTGAGCCACTATTGGAGGCACCATGAGCTCCTCTGTTCATTACATACCTGTCAAAGGGATGGTCACTTTGAGGACCATCTCGAGCGTTAGGTAAGTATCGTAAGCGGTCACGATCCAATTCCAAAGAAGCTGGGTTTTGGACACGAATGTCATAAGTATCCGGTCTCGCGATTGTATGCCGCAAAGGATTCATTCTAGGATCTCCACGACCTATAAAATTGGTAGGACCACGAACGAATTCTTCAGCTTCACGATGATCTCGGTTCGTAACTGGTGGACCCAGTGGCCTCATGTGACCAGCACGAATGTGATCATCTGCAACAGAGCGCTCTAAAGTACGATCACGGGCAAAATGATCAAGCAGCTCATTATCCTGATTTATCCTGCGCCTCAGAGAATCACAAGTACCTTCAATTGGGTCATTTTGATATCGTTGATTGGGATAGTTTATATCTCTTCTAATGTCATTTATGTAACGTTCATCTTCCCTCAAGTGGCCATGTAGTCCAGTTGGTGCGTCTCGGCTGTGATGTGATGATTTGCTTTCATGCTGATGCAATGGTTGTCTTTCTGGTGAATATACCCCAGGCCTGTCTCCTAGGCGCATTCGAACATTCGTCCTTGAATCAAATGGAGGTACATCACGAGGACGTGGCAACTCCAAGACAAGCTCAGTAGGTCCATCCCGAGGGTGCAAGGGGAGTCGAGGACTCTGTAACGTTCTATCCCGGGGATGAGGAAACGGCCCATCCCGAGAATACTCAAGGAGCTCATGCGTAGAATCGACATCAACAGCCAGAGCGGGATGAAGTGGAGGCCCATCACGAGAGTGGAATGGAGGCCCATAACGAGGGTGGAGTGAGAGCCCATCACGTGGATGAAGTGGAGGCCCATCACTAGGATCAAGTTGAGGCCCGTCACGAGGATGAAATTGAGGCCCGTCACGGGGATGAAGTTGAGGCCCATCACGAGAATGAAATGGAGGCTCATCACGGGGATGAAGTGGAGGCCCATCACGAGGATGAAGTGGAGGCCCGTCACGGGGATGAAGTGAAGGCCCATCACGGGGATGAAGTGGAGGCCCATCACGGGGATGAAGTGGAGGCCCATCACGGGGATGAAGTGGAAACCCATCACGGGGATGAATTGGAGGCCCATCACGGGGATGAAGTGGAGGCTCGTCACGGCGATGAAATGGAGGCCCATCACGAGGATGAATTGGAGCCCATCACGAGGATGAATTGGAGGCCCATCACGGGGATGAATTGGAGGCCCATCACGGGGATGAAGTGGAGGCTCGTCACGGGGATGAAGTGGAAACCCGTCACGAGGATGAAGTGGAGGCCCATCACGGGGATGAAGTGGAGGCCCATCACGAGGATGAATTGGAGGCCCATCACGAGGATGGAATGAAGGTCCATCATAATTACGAGAAGAGATTCCATCTCCAGTATGGAAAGTAGAGTCATCTCGACGAAGCGAAATTGGTCCATCGCGAGTATGAAGAGGAAGCTCCTCCCGAGAAAGCATCAGATGATCATTGTGTGGATCCTGAGTAACATCAGACCCAGTACATTGAGGTGGTAAACGATTATCGGATTCTGAGTCAAAACGTTGATTCGAATCATCTTTCCGAATATTAAGCCCGGGCAAATTTTGTTTGCGTTCAATAACAGCGGGCGAGTTACCTTGCCTAGAATCAGGTCGCCTTTCATTGGATGACAACTCGTTGGACCGTTTTTCTAACGAAACATTGGCTCCAGTTTGGTCTGAAAACTTGGAAGTTTCTTTTCGATCAAGCCCACCATTTTCAACAGCAGACGATGAGTCAAGACTTTCGCTTTTTGGGGATGGCATTTCTCTCTTTTTTTGAACCATTTCCCTCAACTTTGTAACTTTTTTAGAATCAGTGGCTTCCAGCCTTTTCAAGTAAGCTGTCAATGCTCGCTGTTCTTCAACACTCAAGTCCTTGAAGTTTGAAAGCAAGTTTACAAGGTCGTCCAGTGACAGCTTTTCCATGTCTCTGACAGGCTGCTCTTCATCATCATAAGCACTCATGAGCTGGCCTAATGCGCCGGACGACTTACAAAGTTCATTTCCTGATTTACCTTTATCAGCAATCGGTCCCGAATCACTCGCTCTGCTTGAGGACTGCTCTTCGTTCGTTTTTCGCAGAACAGCAGCAGCCGATGGGAAAAGAGGCTTTCTGGTACTCGAACTTTCTTGGACTTCAGGTGCTGAACTAGTTGAAGGTGGCTCCAAGTGTGCTCTATCTTTTTCTATTGTCTGTTTTTCGATAAGAAGTCTCGCATGCGAGGCTGAGACAGCAATAAGTATCTTTTGCAAATCAGCTTCAGATACATTTGATTTGCCAACTTTTAATAAACACAGAGCGATTTCTTGTGCTATCTGCACAGTATCCATTCCCAAAGTCTTGGTGGCTAATTGGTTAATATCCAGCCCCAGATACGCTTCTTGTGGCTTATGCTCACTAACTTGAGCAAGCAACCATTTAGCACAATCAATTGCATTCAAGCGAAGCTTATTTAAAGCCGCTCCTCCAAAAATAGATTCCGAACTCAGTTTATCAAGACTTAATTTAATAAGAGTTACATTATCACTATCATCGAATAGATCCCAAGATTTAATGTTTCTAGCTTCGTTGGAAGTAGCTGTCATCAACAGAGTGCCGATGGCGGGCCCGAAAGCACCCAGCAATTTTTCTACTTTGACTAGTGCTCGCAGAGCGCCAATAACTGAGAGATCAGACCTGTGATCGGAAGAATCTCTGAGTTCTGATTCTTCCCACGGACTAATAGGTCGCTTTGTTTCTTCTAGGTCTTCCTTGTGTATTTTATGCTTTCTTAACAGAGCCTCTTTTTTGTTTTCTACCAAATTGTTGAAAATATCTTTCATCCTATCACTCCAAAAAATTGCCCATTCAGGTTTGAAGTCGTGTTTATTGGGGTCCAGACCTTTGGCCGCTAGCTCCTGATAGCGTCGCTCCCAGAACATCTTCCATTCGGACGAGTACTCGGGATGACTTTCAGGGTTCTTTCCGTAGTACATCTGCCAAGGAAAAACAAACTGACATTAGGATACGAACAAATAATTTTATTTTAAAGGAAATAACTAATAAAGTGATAATTTTCGAGCATAATTCAACGAGAGTGCAGATCTTTGCTTTTTTGACGATCTTAGTAACGCCTACTTGGAACCGAAGGTCATTCCTGCTGATGGATGAATCGTCTGCTACATGAACTGAGCTGCCTTTTCATTGAATGAAAAGCATTTATTGGAGATACTCCAAACTCAGAACTTTCATAATTCCACAATAACTCGGTAACTCTTTGACAATCAAATTTCATGTCGTAGCTGAACAGTTACAAGTCGGGAGAAATTAAGAAGACTCCACTTAACTTGAACGGCTTAGAAGTTCTGGCATTGTAACGTCGATTAAGCCATAGAAGTTTGATCAAAAATAATCCGAAAACGAAAAAAATTGAATACTCCAGACGGTATAGTACACTATCGCTATTAATTCCAATATAACTTGTAAGATATTCGGTAAACATCAATATCTGAATACAAGTAACACCATGGTTTATTGAATCGGGTAACGATTCTGCAAATCTTCACTGTATTCATTTCAAGTACATTAGTACTCACCCACATACTTTATATAATGGATGAAATGGTCAATAATTTATTTAAAGACTACTAGAGATGAAACGTAATCGATGTCTTTGACGTCGTTAGAGAATTTTTTAGTTTTGAAAGATGCAATATTATAATCCATCTGTGTTTGCGGCTGGTTTTAAGAGCCTGTATCCCCATGGATGTCTGATGCTTGCTAGAAAAAATATTTTGGTTATTCGGTCATTGCTTTCAACTTTATTATTATAGTTATTCAAACTAGTGAAGTTCTTCGGGCGAAAGCAAGCACTCGAGGTTTAATTGACGATACATCCACTGATTCCACCTTAAGTTGGGTTAATAAGAACGTGAATTTTCCCAGTAAGTAATTAAACAAAGGTTGAATTACGAACGGGCAACGCAAAAATTATAACGACTAATACAATACTTTTGCGATGCTTAAAACTTATCGATATTAGCTCAAGATAGAAAATATGCTATTCGTCTGAATCAACAATTGACCTTTCCTGTCGATTTCGAGTTTACTTTGCATGTTGGCTATAATGAAGACGCGAGTGCTTCAAGGTTTGGCCCTATAATCGTCTCTGGAACGCGAGAAAATGGACTTTGTCGTAGAAAAAACGACTTAATTAAAATTTATTCGTTTTGAATAAACTAATAAATTACAAATTTTCAATAGTCAATGCCTAGCTTTGTAAACTGCCTAGCTCTGATATTCCACAACAGCGGTCGGTTGTCGTCTTTGCTCAATAATATTTCAACTAAATCGATTTATTCCAACTGCTTTCTCGATATTTCAACATCGTTTGGCAATTTAGCGATCACACCTTGAGCTACTCCCAAACCCACCGGCATGTATTCTGTAACGCACCAATAGATTTCTTCCTTTGCGCCACCACTTGTTGATGGCGCAAAAGAATGACATCGATGTCTAATTTTAACCTTTCTGATCAGTGGTTCCCAAAGTGGGCGGTACGCCTGGTGGCGGTGGAATGATCAGGGGGGCGGTAAGAAGAAAAGGGCATTATGGGGCGGCAGTCCGAAGTCGAAGTCTGAACGTTTGTTAGACGATTTGTATGCAACACGGGCAGCACACTGCTCCCAGCGATGGGTTTCTCCACCCGGATCTGCGTTTTTGAACCTCTTCTGGGTTTTTACTTATTAGTGTAATTTTTTTTTTAAATATTCAAAATCTGTCAGGGCACGCTAGGAATTCACTGGAGAGCCAAGGGGGCGCCAGCTGAAGACAGATTACGTTAAAAAACATTTTTCTCCTCAAAACGACCACGTTGTTTGAGATGAACGACATCTAAAAAATCTTTCATCGAATGAAGTGCTGACATCATAGCATCAGAGGTTGCAGCGTGCTGCTAGCATACAATTAAGGTAATAATATAATCAACTACTCAAAATGTATTGTAATTGGAGGGTAATTCAAATTCAATGTTTACTTCATGTTTTTCTGTTTCGACACATAAATTCTACTCAACTTACCAACTGTAAATCGTCACGTCACAAAATTGAAAGGAATCTCACTTATATATTATTTTAAATAATTTTAGGTTTCCAGTGAGAACCGTTTCCCTGCTCTCACCCGCTTGCTTGCGAATGTTTTTTTTTTATGCAGACGCATCATAAGACATTTGTTATAGCGCTTGAACTTAGGCTATTACTAGAAGAATTTGTATTTATTTTTCCCATGGATGTTGGTCAACACGTGCCGAATTCCTATTTTTCTTGCTATTGATTTGATGGTAATGAGATACGATCGTGCTTGTCATGCTGACACGAGTTGTTTTTAGTATTACTGATTTTTCGACCAACTTTCAAGTAAAGAAAGCACCTGCAGACTATCCGTTTTTTACTCAAACCTCTGCTATATGCAACAACTGCTGTATCTAACCAAGACGGATCAGCCGATCACTTCACCTGTAATGCTCTTTTCATGCAGCTATGTATCTTTTACTTGTGTCTTTTCTCAGTCGCGTAACTATTTCTTCACTAGCACACCGTCCAGTTTGACCCTACCGGGGAGGAAGTGTGGGGAGGCCTACCGGGTGCCCCTACCAGCTTGACCCTACCGGGTGCCTCCTCTATGAGTTTTCATGTTTGAACTTCGTTAGGGTATTAATTATGTAGCCAAGGTGATTAAGAGTTGTTAAATTTACTCGTTTCTGTATATAATTAATTAACGAAGCTTGAATTTCCCATTTATTCCTGGAGCATGGTGGCAGCATTGAGGCCGAAAAATTGCACACAGTTTGAAATAATTGGTTGCTCTTAACAACGGGAAAGCAGGCAAAACATTTGTAATACGGGCTGAAGGTGCTTGCTTATACACGGGCAACTAGTCGCGTCGATTAGCTGAGTCGATTACAGGTTTGCCGGCTGAGTAGTAATAGTAGGATGATGGTTTGCTAGCGTTTCAGCTATAATGCTATTTCGCACCGGAGGTCATAATATAACATCGCCAGCAAGGCGGAAGGTCTCAGTTATTCAAAATCTCTCAAGTTATTCATCGCCCACAAGGGGCGGAAGGTCTCAGTTGTCCAGCCCGCTGAAGCTGGCTCGAAAGAAGCAGCGTTAGCATCTCAAAGAGATGAAGTGACAAGGAGGGACAGGTGAAACGCAACAGAAACGATGACACTCGAACAAGAGGTCGCTTACACGGGACGTCGGCCGCCCGCTCGAGAGACAGAGAAGGGAAATGTAACGAATCCTACCTACCGAATAACTTAACCCCACAACTGAGACCTGCAGTCAGACACCGCGAGCTCAGCGGTGGGGCGCTCAGGAACAATCCCCCTAGGAGCGTGAAATCCCATAGGACTTCTGACGCGCACAGACACACGTCCAAGTCCTTCCAGAGGGGTTTTTGCCGGCTGAGAGCCTATACACGAGGAGCCGACTGAGAGCCTATACACGAGGAGAGCGTTTTCGGTACAGTCCGTCAGCGCCAGTGTGACGTTTGGAGTTGTCGAATAAGGTGTGTGCATTGTAGAAACAAGCGAGAGCTCCATAGTTGTGCGGGGTGCGCAGCCGTAGACCAGCAAATTAACGCTCAAATCAGCCCTGGAGCCAACATCAACATCTAAATGCTATAGATATTGTCATCCTGGCACCTAAGCAGCCGTAGTCAATTGACCTATCTCACTACACGAACTTTAAACCAACACGTTTCAGCACACAAGCTGCTACTCCACATAGTTAACGGTCAATACGTTGTTCTCCAATGCTTTATAACCCATACCATCACTTCTTACACATGCTGTTATCCTAAGTGTCCGCTGACCACACTGCATTGCCGCAAATGTGAACTGTACCAAACGGTAATGCGTCATCACCTTACTTACTCCGCAAGACGTTAACCCAGCGTCACTGTTTCCCTGCCTTACTATCCCCCAGCATCTTCTTCCCCTCACACTTACCCCGACTCTCTACCATTATCGCATGGCTAACTGGAGGCTTTTCTGGAAGACCTTTGATGCTTATCCGAATTAGGTTAGGTTGGGTTGGGTTAGGTTACAACTCGTATAGATCCTCTTTTCATAGCGTAATGCAGTCAAGTGAGCAGAAACTAAGAAAAGCCGTCCGGCAGTCGGTGAAAAAAGGCGGGGAGACGGGGTATGCGTGGAGGTAGAGTTATGCCGGGGGAAAACAGCTGCGATGAACGGACGGCTGGAGTGCTGGCTGTGTATCAACAGCGGTATGGCGTAGGGAGTTGCTTACCGAAAATCGTGAGGAGGTGAGACGGCATGGAATAGAGCTGTTGGGCAGTTTTGAATACGGCGTACAGCGATTGTATTGGTGGCTTACTTCTCATTAGCTTGCTGGTTAATTTCCATGAAGGGTATTTGTACCTTTGGCTTTTAACATATAATCCCTTAGTCTACTCTGCCCTTTAGCAGGCTTACGCACGGAAAGGAGGATGAAAGATATGCTGGTCTTGGGCAACGCTGGCCTCTGGCATGCATCCAGTTGTGCGCACTACAGCGGCTAAGAGAGAGAGAGAGCGACGCAGTTGTGCTACGAAGGCCGAGGCTGCTTTGCGTGCAATGCACCAACTAGTCGCCTCTGAAGACGTTATTCATCACAAATATTAGTCGAGTCGACTCAACTAATCCACGCAACTAGTCGCCTCGTGTATAAGCACCTTAATGGGCATAAGTTGTTCAATCCACATGAAAACTGATGCACCACAAACTCGATCGTTTTATGCGCAAACTGTTCATGCGAAAATTATTTTTGACTGCCAGTCAGAGGCAACTGGTATATCAATTCGCTCTTACACATTCTCGAGCCACAGTGACTCCAAACGACATGCAGATTGAAGGATAAGTTTAAAGAGACAATACAGAGAACGAACGATAACAATGTTCTGGTTTTCTTTTTACAAAACAACAAAATAATTTTCCCTTTTGTAACAATAAAGTAGCCATTATTTTTTAAAATTACGATCAACTTACCGAGTTGAAGAAAAGTAATGAATAGATTTCGAATCCTTGTGTATATTGCTCGACTTCCGACGATCGAGATCAACTTGGCCATGGTCATAATGCATGTGTGAAATGTTCAAATTTCATTGGATGATTTTGAAAACGTCTATCGTGTACGGCGCAGCACCGTAGTGCAAGACGGACATGCATAAACGCAATCTAAACCCTGTCAGACTGCAGATTAACCTCTGTCAGACTAGCAACGTTATAAGCATACCGGTTATATGTACAGTTGTATCGAAGCAGCTCGTCATAGGTTAACAGTACTCACTCTTCTAACTATTAATGTTCTATTAACGAGCACTTTTGAAACCAAAATCAGTCTTAGAGAATTAATAAGAAAGATTTCATTTCGGATGTCATTGACTCCACTATCAATGTTTGAAATGATCTCTTTATTTACAAGTTTTCCGTCTCAACGAAAAAGATTACAATACAATTGACAGTGAAGGTTCGAAATTAAATGAAACTATACACCAAGTAAATAAATGAGTGAAACTTAGCCGTGTGGTATACAAGGGAATGGTGCAATTCTCGCTTGTCAAGCTGAATTAAGCAAGAATTGAAGCCGTTTCAAGCTGAAGCCCATCCAAGTCGACGAAGAAGTATTCAGAAATGTAACAGAGAGAACATTTGATTTAGATTTAATGGTACAAATCAGAGGAGAAAGTTCCAAACATTAAACGAACGAGTAGCGTGAATGCGACGGATCAAGTCAGTCGCTGTGGTATCAGGTTTATCGCAAACTATGCGTTTTGAGGCTTGATTAAGCCGAGTCGTAAATAATTAAATTCCATATCTCATTGAACAATCTAGTCAGTAACTTTGATTTTTTTGCCGTAGCTTTCAAAATTCACATGTACCGTTAGAATTTTTTATTAAATGTATGCAACATTAGCTGTTCGCTATAGTTTGAACTTAAAGATCATTATCAAAGGCATATTCTTCACGTTAACAAAATTTTTAGCGCTCTAGCTATAATAAACAAACTTAGTGCGATATTTCAAGGGTCTTTCTTGATGTCATTTCAAATCATTGAGCTTTTTTTAAGGAACCCAACGAAACGTACAAAAATGTTGAGATTCTTCCTCAATTATAATCTCGTTTAAGAAGTTTGGACACAAGAAATGGTTTCTTTCTCCTGGAGATAACTTGAAGTTGCTTTGTATCAATAAGATTCAAGCTTCAGCGAACCTACCGTACATATGCAGGAAACTTTTCAAAACCTTCTTGACGATCAAAGCGAAAAAAATTTGAATAACTTTTTACGAATGTAAATTTAAGAGGAACGTAAAAGGTAACTTCCCGAGTAAACTACTCGCTTTCACCTCGCTCTCAGAGGTGAAACGCATTGCGTTAATTTTGTCAAATCAGTGAAACCATTTGAACATGCATGGCCGTACCCTGAAGAGAACTCTTATCATCGCGAGGAGAAGTTCAGTTTGGTAATAAGATTTAATACAGCTTATCAGATACAGAGCGATCAGCATCGTACATAGTACGACTAGATAATACCCATAAGTGAAAACTGAATGAAACCAATTTTAAATAAGTTTAAATGAAACCAGATGACTTCATCATGAAGTCTTTCGATTTTATAAACGTGATGGCGACATTTTACGTTAAACTTCAACTCCGTCTTCATTAATAAATGACCAAAATAGTTCAAGTCCTTATAACTGTTAATGTGAGCCCGTGGTCATAAACCTTCGATTATAACTTTCAAATTTCGCTACATGGCACAACGTCAATGCATAATTATCACAACATAAATTTGAGAGACAAACGTCTCTCTAATTTCATTACAGATGTCATGGTTAAATAATTAAATATTCATAATAAATATAAATAAAGTGCACATTTGTGGATGTGAAATATCAATGGAGCGCGTATCCCCAGCTAGCGGATACAGAATTTGTGAGCAAAGCGGTCATGATCCAGGTGCTGTACTATCAAAACTCGCCAAGTACACGTAGTAGCTGATTTAGGCTCTAATTGGTGGGTTTGACTCAATTGGCTGACGGATGTACGAACTCTGAACGATTTTTGATAGTGCAGCTCCTGATGTACGGACAACACTCACGAGGAGAGGAAGTTATTTCTAATACGAATTCACCTCAATTAGCAATGATCTCCTCGCACGATCAATTTAACACGTTGACTACGATTGCTTCATCTTGTACTATTATTTCATTTTTTGTACTGTTTTTAAACAGGGCAGGGTTGCCAGACAGTCATTTTTTCTGGACAAATTCCGTGATTTAGTTTTTTCAATTGAGTTGGCCAGCTAAAATTTATGATAGGGGTACTTCTTAATTAAATTTTAAATACTGCAAAAAGAAAAATAAATGGAATTTTAATAGCGGAACCTACAAATAAATTTGTATATATTGAGTTATCGGCCTTTTTTGGCCTTTTTTCTCGGATTTGGCCGATTTAAGGCAACCTGAATTATGTACCACTACGTCCTGGAGAAATACATTTCGTGGTACGCATATGTACCACTTCGTAGTCAACGTGTTAACCCGAGACAATAGCAAAACAGAAAAATTACTTCTTCGTGTGCAAGCCGAAATGTGCAGCTAAGGGTAAAGCGTTCTGGATTTATTCTCCCGCAAGGGATCTAGTACCGAGCTCCAGAGTGAAAAAAAAATCATTCTTCATACTTTAACTTCGAGTCAGCTAGGTTCACTTTCAAATTTTAAAGCTTGGTAAGCGTGAACTGTTATTTATTGTTTCTCGCGTGACATTGACATTGAGATGCAGATGATCAGCGCATCCTCACCATTTGAAAAGACCTTTTGGTGAGCAGATGCTACGCAAGTTACATCTCAAGCGGTAATGTCAAATCATTTTGAAAATGAGCGTCGAAACACAGAGGACGATTATACACTCGGCCCTCCAAGCCATACATAAAAATATAGCAGAGCGGCCTAAGATTACGACTGAAGAAAAATTTCATTAGAAAAAAGAGAAAAAACTATTCCTGCAAGCAAGGCACAATAAATACGTGTTACTCACCTTTGAAGTTCATAGCGATCGAGGACATAAAACTGACCTCTCTTTCAACGTGCCGACTGTAGAAATTATCGAAGTCTTTTTTGAATGCTGCCACGGCAGCACTTTTGTCGCCTCCAAATCGGCTATCAGATCTGAAGGAAAAAAAAGAAACTAAGTGTATCTTTGTTCCATAATACTTCAAAATCGACCCTATAAATATTCCATATTAAGACGATTATAATTTCAATGGTTTTGAGTCAATGTGAAGTAAACAACGAACTACCTGACGAGTCACAGGGTATTGTTCTGAAAAAGAACACGCTGCTTGTACAGGCGCACGGAAGGAGGAAATTTATACTGATCGTTTGTCTTCTGTATCAGTCTGATGTTGCTCTTGAGAAATGCTTAAAACAAACTCTCGAGTTACTCGTGATATCTGAGTACCTTTGCTGCATTCATACTCACAATCATGCCTATCCACTAATAGCAAATATAAATACTAGTTGGTCCTGGAATGGAATCTTTACGCACGCCAAATATACCAACTGACTTCAGTAAGTACTTCTATAACGTGTACAAGACAATGGGAACTGTTGAACGGCAGCGGTCATGTAAGACAGAGAAAAGATGTATGTAAGAGATGAAGGTTTATATACCAAAATAAATAAATTCTCTAATGACGCTAAATAAAATAAGAACCTAATTGTATCCAAACTAACTAAAGCCTTTCAAATATATGAACAATGATGTTAAAAAGCTCAAAATATTCCAAACAATGCTTCATTTCAATATTAAAACAAAGTAACAAAGCCTCAGGAGAAACAGTAAGACAACAGTCGTATATAAAAACAAATGAACCGAATTGCCGCCTAGTTTGTGCACCATGAAACCAATTAGAAACCTAGCCCAGCCAAGCTAGTGAATGTTTAGGTGCTTATACACGGGGCTAGTATTAGCTGTGAGTATTCGCACTCTACATATTGACGATTTATTCACCATTTATTCATATTGCGAGTAGCTGATGCGTTTGCCTCTGTAGCAGTTCATGTTAATTAGCGGTCTAGTATCGGCAGTAGCGCTGCGACAGCTGTAGTATGTATGTCTGTTCCGCTTCGTATCCTGCTTGGGGAAGTGTTTATAATGCTACGAACTGTCTTGTAGCAGCAACGGCGGTTCTAATAACGTCAAGAGATGTTCACATGATATTGAACTGTTTTTAGATATTCCACTTGTACGATCTACAGTAGAATGTACGTCACAATGAATATTCCAACAAAAACTAATTGAGAAAGTAGTTTTGAAACTCAAAGAACACCTTATTGGGTCTCTCTCCCGCACTCTACGCAGATCAACAAAATTTTTCACCTGGTCAACAAGAGTGGCAACTATGCCATCAAATGCTTCATCAAACGTCTCCGCTAACTCGTCATTATATACCGTTACGTTACATATTACGCCATGCGCTGACCTCACTCGATGGCTTCCAACGACGCACTGACACCTGCGGACTTTTCACCAAATACTCTAATGTATAGGTTTTCATCCGGCAAAACTGGGTGTGAAAACTCGCAGCTAATACTTGCCCCGTGTATACGCACCCTGAGCGTCAACACCGAGTTTATAGATACATAGATACGCCCGCATGTCGGTCATCTCAAGTCCAACCATTGCATTGCTAACGGCCAGCGCAGTGATTCATCATAATGAACTACAATAATGAACTATACGTACTTACAATATAACCACGGAATATAAAGGGCAAAATTAAATTGATACAAGACGTCTTAGTTTACCTAAAAACGTATTATTATTACATGTGCGCTAATCGGACTTCATGAGTAAGACAAACCTACAGAGCGTCCTGACAAAAAAAAAGTTTTAAGAGATAAAAACCAAAATTTTTATTGAACAATCGCTCACACACTGCCTTAAGATAACATGATCAAAGATAGGAAAAACATCCACTTAATGATAGTCGTTTATTGTCAATACCAACGTAAGGCATTTTTTCATAACTTGAGCAGAATAATCGTACATGAGAAATGCTCAAGGGTTTTCTAATTGGAGACAACGCATATTGCTTCTACAATAGCATCGCAGGGGTTTTTGGTTGATATCTTGCACTTTCATAGTAATCTTGTCCACAATTCACTAACTCACTAACATACTTATAGATTCCCGTAAGACACGAATCTAATGGAAGAAGCATTGAGCAACAGGTATTGGAAATTCAGAATATTGTGCGGTCGGTAATTCCAGATTGTACGCGACAACTCCTTTGCATGCAGTCGGTTTTACACACGGTAAAATGAAGCTTACTCAATTACTCTGACGTCACAAAGAGGTACTTCTCCAACATCTACCGTCACTTTTCGGCCAAGCATCGCACTTCACAAGAGTCAAGTTTCAGCTTTTCATAATGATTGCGACCTCACAAACGAACGTTTACACTAATAGAACCACTAACTCATTTTGACAATTTACCTTTGATTTCACGATGTGCTTACTTGTTAGGACGTAATGTAAAACCTCCGAACAGATAATATGAGGTAAATAAAAAAGTGTCTGCGAGCTAAAAAGCTCAAGCCAAAAACATCAGATGTCAGTGCCCATAACGAACAAGTAAAAAATTTCAATTTAAGCTAGAATCTTATTTGGGATGACTACCCAAGTGCTCTTCGTTCCCGTTGACCAAAATCAGAAAAAAAACTAAGTGTAAATGAGGGCTGTTTCACATACACAGGTCAGAAAAAATACACCACGCAAAATACGGGCAACGGCAAAAAATATTTTAACCTCGCCCAAATATGCATTTGAAGTTGACTAACATCATGTCATCGGGCAGAAATTCTCACGGCTTTAATTAAAAAATCAGAGCACATGTAAAATTCATCCAAACTCCGAATATAGAAAAAATTAACGTCAGTAACGTTAAAGAAAAAATAAACCACCACTGTGAAGGCGCTACATGAAATGACAATTAGAGAAGTTTCGGCTGTGCTCTGATGGAAATAGAGGCATGGAAAAGGTAATAATTGAAGCGTTCGACGATTGGTCTCTCATGGTGCAGAACGAGACATCCGCCTAGCTTGCGCAGGATTCCATAGTCAGATCTATGACGAATAACTTGGTAAAGGAATCAGTAAATCTTTCCTTTCGTATTTCCAAGGTGTCCTTGATGATTGGGCTTGTAGCTGCTGTCAGCAAGGAGAACGGCTGTTTGGCTTGAGTGCATGTGGTAGCGCATATATTTCCATGTTGTAGAGACGCCTCGACTCTAGACACCCGAATGAAAATTTGCGAGCAGCGCTGCTGCAGAGCCTAGCCTCTTGCAACAAAGGCAGCGCCAAGGTCTTGGCCAAGATTTAAGCAAGATGTCAAATAAAATTGCTCCGTTGTGGGATCGGGGGCTTCGGCTTGTCCAATGCACGTGCAGTTTGTCGCTGAGAACAGTGAAGATTCGTTGATGCACAGAGAGCTCGTGTCAGACGGCCGTGAATGAGATGCCATCATGTTGCCAACCGTTCATTATGCGGTCGAGATGACGACGTGTAGAACTGGATGCGGCAGAGGTTTCTCGAGTAAAGTTATTCAATGTTGAACAATGACCTCTATTGATGGGATACAAGAAGCTGATAAATGATGCGGGAACACAGGATCGTTTATTGACTCCACAATCAACATACAATGAAACAGTTCAGTTTTGAGATGTACTTCTACACTCAAGAGCAATAATAAAATGCTTCTTAGCATTTTTACAGCTAATTTTTCGCTGACTTGAAAGCTCAATTTAAATTACTAATACATGAATCGGATGAACGATCGACATATTACAGAGCTAAACTTGAAGGTGTATGCATCACAATCACGATAGCAAGGCTGGGCTTGAGAATAGCTTACCTTAACACTTAGAGAAATTGAACCAAATGAATTAACAATAGCATCTAAGAATCGCATTTGTTTGTGGGATATCCAAAAGAAACGAATAGATCAATCGATTTATTTGAACATCAATAATTATAGCTAAGGTATTTTCCAAAACTAAAGCCTGTTCCTGAAGTAGCAAGAAAAAATCAATGTACTCACCTACTAACTTGACTGAAATGAGCAACGAACGAAGCCCTGGAGCCAGCTCATGTGCAGAAATTCGTGGTAATGAATGTTGTCACGCCACGTCTTGCTTCATGGCAGAACTTCTTCGCACAACTTGCACACGGCAGCTCGTCCTCATGTCACTTTATCCATTATTATTCACGACTCGAGCTTTGTTCAACGGCATTTTAATTCTACCCGAGGCATAAGTGTAATGTCGGGTACATCAAAATATGAGCGCGAAGCCCGCGTCGTATTAATTAAGCGAAGGATGATAACGCCGCCATTTGTGTCAGTTCGTCAACTGCTTTTCTTGAATGAAGCCTTGATTCAACGAACTTAATTCAAGACGATTCGCCTGTCATTTCAATACAAATTGGTAGAGCACATGAAAAACCACACTGCTATCTCAAAAATCAGATTTTTGTTTAAGCGCGACAAAATCCAGTAAGGACAATTTGACTTCCTTCAAGAGGATAAATAGTGGCGGTTGACCACTAATGAAGACTACTTTATACTGCATTAGGATCCGTCACGGACCGGACGTTGGATGCGAAACGATGCGTCGTCCTGGTTTCACGCAAGGATAATGAAGACAACCTTTATTGACAAATGCTGATGTAATTTTAACATAAAAACTCTTTATACTTAGAACTATCCAATAAATCTCTATACCAATATAAAAATAGAAGAAATTTAACAATAACAAATTTATCAATCAACTCGTGCATGATTTTCTTATGAAAATCTCTCCTAAAATTCGTTGGGGTTTTTCCAGAATGTTCTCAGGGATGGCGGTGCGGGATTTGCTAACACTTGCCTTTATTCATTTTATTGCCAATGACACACACGGGTCCAAATTTCTATTAGAAAAAAGGGGCGAGTCGATACCCGTAAACTTTGTTCAAGGAAAACAAAATGCATATGTGATCTAGTTCAGAGACTTACCTGTCGCAATAACAAGTATAGAACTAGAAAGCCCAGTCACAACTTGACCAGTTTCAAACAAAAACGGCACGGGAGGGAATGCGTATTCAACTAACGGAAATTGATAGAGGAATTATCACACAAATCACGACTTGCTTCACTGTTATTTTAATACCAAACAGAATGGAGTTACGGTCTTCATGGCAAGTCGTCAAGTCGTGAAGGGACTGATGAGCAAAGTTCTGGTAGTTGATAGGCAAGAATAACGAAGCCCTTCCACGTTTTTCCAGATAATTCATACATAAACCACGTGTACCAGTCATGGTAGCCGGGCCGCCAGTACAAGTTGATCTCATTAGAGATAATTTTGTCGCTTGAAAGGCAATGTTAGATTCACAGAAGAATCACAGCATAAGTTCAGTGATGCGAATCGCTGCTTCCTTGAGAAGTGAAATTTTGTAACCTGGCACCATACTATCAAAATAAATTCGCATCAGAATTGATCTGTGACTTGTGGCTTTCGCTTGAAAAGCCGTCAATGATCGTATATTTTTGATAGTATGGCATACAGCTAAAGTGTTCAGTAGGGAGATTAATAGGATGGTATAAACGATTAAAGAACAGCCAAGGAAGTGAGGAGAACAAAGAAAGCACTGACCTGCCGGGGCTGGCGTGTCGCAGCAGGTGAGGTGAGCGCGAGCCGCGGTGGCTCCAGGCGCCGCCACACGCAGAGCCGCTGCTCGACGGCCTGATGACAGAAAGCACGAGACGTATGACTACAACGGTTCTACTTCAAACTGTAAGTTATATTATATATATCACGCACAATGCGAAGAATTTAACCAAGAGAGTGGCATATCTTCTTGATTATATAAATATTATCCTAGTACAAGGAAACGACCATAATGAGACTCCAAACCACGTTGGGCACGGTTGGTGGGATTGATCACCACTCGAGGGAATATCTTCGTGATTATTTAAGTATTATCCTAATGCAAGTAAACGACCGTAATGAGACTCCAAACCAAGTTGCTGGGATTGATCACAACTCGAGTTTGATTCTTGAATCTTGATTCTTTGGCAGCCGATTTCCCCCCACGTAACAACTGATAAGACTGGCAGGTATTTACTGGCCGTTCATGAGCACATAACTACCAATAGCTTAAAGCCATGGCCACAAGATTCCGAGGGACGGATATTCATTACCATATGAAACCGCGCCTTCAATAGATTGGCGTCTCAAGTAACGAGCATAAAAATTAAGCAAGAATATTAAGAATGGTTTGTGACTTCTTGAGACTAATCGTAACGGAGATCATAAGACTTGGTTATTACTGACCTGAGTTTCTTGGGTGATGGACCATCACGGCCAGGTAGTGACGGGGACCTGTCACGCCCTGCACACACAAAGCGTTTCAACAATCAAGATGGCGGACATGATCACGAGCTCGAGGCTTGTCTCGTAGAAGCACAATGAAAATATCTCAATGCTGTCAGACTTTAAGACACTTTTATTTAATTTACTCATCTAAGCGCTAGCTCTAGCAACAAAACGAGAAGCTTCCTCGTCGCTTGAAATGAATTTATCCAAATATATAGTTTGGGTTTCTTATATTTATCCTCGGCTTGAGTGGGAAAAGTAGAGAATTGAGGCGCGCAATACTAATTCGTAGCTACCGGAATGTTAAGTGCAATTTTTTAATCGTCATTCGCTTTTTCTCAGTAATCACCGTTATTTCCTGAATATTCATTTGAAATACAACACAGAATAACGATATCTCAGTGACGCGACACTGAATCATTCAACAGGTGAGAAAATATTTATGGATAAACCATTAGAAAAAGACAACGCCTTTAACTAGACGCTGCACGTTCTCCAAGAAAAAAAAAACATTTCTGAAGCAGCACTGAACCATTTCCTAGCTAAAATGCCGACGTTTGTACGTGCAAAAATAACCATTTCCCTCGCAGTTTTATAGGACAGGACTTGCACGCCATTTTATTTGTTTCACAATTAATGTGAAGCTATTCTCCGAGCTATCGGGGTAACCACGTCATCAATATGACAGAAATAAACATGACAACTCAGCTCCACAGCCCAGTTCTGCTCATGTGAGATCGAGTAGCTCACCTGCCACGCCGGCGACAGCAGGAGAAGGGGTGTCCCGCTTGAGGCCTTGCTTCACTGCAACCAAACGAACCAGTGTTAGTGCTTTTATTATCAGTTTGCTTCTATCGCAATATTTAATAAATAGAACATAATGTTGAATTTCCTTGGCCTTTTCTTATCTTTTAAATTCTTGGTGAACGTCAGTGCTTGGCATGGCACTGCGCATGTCAGCGTCATCGTAAGGGCTTGCAGTAAGAGGGGTTCAACGTTGATACATATTGAGTGTGACAATAAAACTCATACTTAAATAAAACCGCATGATAACTCATTAGCGATTAGTAAGACGGTTTTGGGTGTTGTTGGGAGAGGAAATTTATCTGGTGGAAATGGGCGGTTAAACCGATGGAATGAAGGCATCAGCCGATCAGAACCTGCTTTGATTTCCATGCTAGGCAAATATTTGATTACAAGCTATATAAAATATTATCCCTTATCGATATCGAGGGACATAAACATGAAAAATGCCTTATGAAATTCAACTCGCCTGGTCTTCGTTTTCTTCTTTGTTTCCCCCCCCCCCCAAAAAAAAGTAGAGAAATTGCAATGAACACAACTCACATTTTTGCCTCAGGAAATCAGGTAGCCCGGAAACTTTCTCGTCCTTGCCGCGAGCCCCTGAAGCAGAGCTGCTTGTCTGTGGCTTGTCACTCACTCCCATGAAGCTCCTGTGGGGCGGGACGCTCATGTTATTAGGTTAACTCGACTCGCGTCCAACAGTTCACTATAGAATCCCAAGGAAACTTGTGAGGGATATTCGGCAGCTTAAGTTTGAGGCAGCAAAGATCCAGCTTTCAGTCTAAAAGCACGAATTCAGCGAAATAAATTACAATTTGTCATTGAGTTAGACTACAGGAGTTGATTCGATCAAAACCCATCAGTGATGATGCACAAATTACTGATGAACAATCTTGTCACAATTAAGAACTAACAAAATATTCAACGTCTTCCCTCAAATTTAAACTTGATCTATTGATCATGAATCAATTCAACAAGACAGGTAAAAATTAACCTACATTGAACATATTCTTCAAATATGACAATTTTGAGCCCTTGTGGCAGCAAACATCAGGGTTTTATTCACATGATATATCAAAGCTTGAAAAATGTTTAAGGGTACCCACACAGTGAAAGCCGGTTGCCAGCGTGCTGGTTACCTGCTGAGGCTGGAGTCTGAAATTGAAATGAATAGGCCTGGCGCTGGCCTATTCGTACAGATTTTCACTGTGAACACTTACATTATTATCCTATGTTCATTCTTGTGGCAGGTTGTAGCAGGTTGCCCGCGCGGGCAAACCTGCTTTCACTGTGTGGGTACCCTAAGAATGTGGTGATTGGAATCGATAAATACATGCCGAGCAATAACACGAAGCAATATTTGCTTCAACTCTCACCACAGTTTAGATTAGCATACAGACCAGCAATGGATTGGATTGGGTGCGCCAATTTTCAGCAATCAATAATCTGTGATGGGGCTCGTAGAACTTGATGTTCTGGCGACGTTTGTCTCCAGTAAGCTAGGAAGCTCACCTGAATTTGTCGAGGTTGCCGATGTTTTCCTTGATGACGGGGATGACTGCGTTCATGTCTGGTTCCTCACACACAGCCATCTGGAACTCCCCCAGACTTTTCGACACCTGCACAAGACAAAATAGCTTAAGCGTACAGTTCAAAACAATTATACTGAGAACTTATACCTTCATCAGTACGACATTTACCTCATGGCTTCAAATGTCAACATGCTCAGTTTAACTAAGCAAAGAACATAAAACGAACAGCAATAAAACTAACCAATTGAGAAGAAGGCAAGAAAGATTCGTTTGAAAAATTCATTGGGTATTTCCACAAACAAGCTTATTAAATTTATATGAATAAAGTAGGTAATATTGAACATAGGTAATATTGAACATGTATTATGCGTAGATGTTAAGAATGCTAGGAATGCGGGCCGTTATTGCGAGACCGTGGGAAGCATCGAACGTTGGCGAGGGAAATTCCATTATAGGAATGTGGCGTTACTTCGAGGGTTAGGCTTAAGTGTGCGCGACTCTAGCCTATATAAGGACAGTGTTTCATTACAACCCTCTCTTTGTATTTTCTTTGCCGTAACGCTTCCAAAAAAGAGAACCTTATTCACGTGCCAAATCAAATGCCACTCGGCAGCCTACCTGACAAAACGATAAGTAATGAATACCGGTATCTTGAACCTGAACGTAACGTAAATTTGGTGGAGTAGATCACTCCGATTCACCCGACTTTAAAAGATATGAGATGATAACAACGTCTCTCTCTATATATATAAAATATACCATTCTTTAAAATCCCTATTTAATCATATAGTAACATTGAGTAATTGTGTGTGATGGAAAAAAATCGTTGTAACCCCTTTGCGGGCAAGCATAAAAATTCAGAAATTGAAATTTGTGAAACCATTACTATAGAGTATCAACTATGCGATTTACTATTAACTATATTATTGCGATTTTGTTTTCTAAATTTTTCATATTGGAATTAATCGCACTTGAAAAATTTATTAAATGCTGTCACTATGCTGATTGCCCTATTTTGGTCAAAGGGGAGAATAAGACTAAAGCCTGATCGCAGCACTAGTAGGGTCGCGTCCTATGAATGCTTCGCTACCGCAACAAACGTTGCCTGATCGCAGCACTGGTAGCATAGAGTCCCAAGAAAGGCTCCCTGGCGCAACAAACCTTGACCATCTCTTCGGAGAACTCCAGTACGAGCGCAGCCGTCCACTCCTTGATTTGTATGGCGCCGTATTTGGCGTGGAGCTTGGGGCAGTGGTGCTCCTGAAGCACAATATCACTCGTACATCAGCAATTTTAGCAACTAAATTACTGATCAATACATCAAGTGGAAAGACTAAACAAGGATAATATTACTTAATTGTAGACAAAATTCAAAAGTTTTACTATAGTAAAAAATCAAAAAGGAAGCTCAACAGCCATTAGGTAACTGATAATGGGAAAGTTACGTCATTAATTTCACCTTCTTTCATGGCCAATTGGCCTCTTGAATGACAACTTGATGAAATGAAAATTCATCAGCCCTTTTCATGCCATTAAAGACAACAAGAGATCAATGCTCTACTCCTAACGACATTTATAAGAAACTGAATAATGGCTTTGAAACGAATCAATTTTCGTTTTTCAGAGTCGAAAATTAACTCTAAGAAAATAAGTTATCAAATAATATATATAACTCTCTATCTTGATTTATCACATGACAAATCCCGTACATAATTTTAACGACATTCCCAATAGTAAAGTATAAATTTATAACTTAACAACGCCTGTCATAATAAACTGCTCTCGAGAAGATTCGAAAGTAGAGTGTGCAGTATGAGTTGAATTATACTAGCAGTACGTACGGTGAACTTGAGGCGGTGCGGCACACTCTTGATGTGAGCCACGAGAGTCTTGGAGGACATCTTCTTGCTGCACAGCGCACACACGTAGTAGCTCGAGTCCAGGTGAGGGTTGTTAGCTTGCTGCACTTCAACGACATACTGAAGCCCTGGGAGCGCACAAATCATCCAGCTATGAGCTACATGGTCCTATCCCCGATACTTTGATCTAACGTATTCATCACACTTAATAGATCAGTCAAGAAAACAGCATAAATAAGCATGGGTGTGAGCAGTGAGCACCTTTAGTACGCTATTGCAAGTAAGGATGGAATAAGTCGTGAATTTTGAGTGCAGTGAAAGGCACATAAACAAATGAAGTATATACGTAGTCTATGAATGGGTCTCACTTACCCACAAAAGGAATGTCATGTTTATCCAGCAAAGCTTGTGCTAGAGGAGTGACTCGGTAGTGCTTCGAAACGTCACCCTGCCAAAGAGAAATAAAACCTATATATAACAAGCGTGATGAAATTACCTAGACTTTCTACCGAACATGGACCTTTTACCCTTATTATTACTACTAGCTAGCTATAAATGTTGTGGATAACATTGATGGGAGACTTTATTATATCTCCATACGCTTCAAAGCTTTGAAGGCCTTCTTCATAATTCACCTGCACAGAGAGGAGAAAAATATCCTAAACAAAATGCCCTAAAAGATTCAACATTGCAATGAAATACTCAATAAGTGTTTTTATTTATTCAGCAGCAGATTTTACAAACTGGTTATAAAAATACATATACTCAAAAGCAGCAATGGCATCAAAGTTAGGCCTTACATAGATATAGTATAGATATGCCAACTTACCCCAGCAAAAATATCCTTTTTCTTGGGCATAAGCTGCTTGAGAATTTCCGTCATTGAGAGGCCCGAGTTCTTCGTCCATGGGGTTTTATACACGTCAGAACTGATGCTTGGAGAAGGGCAGAGCCCCCATTCATTTCTTTTGGGATCTCTTGGATAGTTACGCTGGACTTGATCTTGATGCAGAAAGTTTTCTTTGTTCTGCTCCACAATTTTATCTGAAGTATCAATTATAATTCCAAATGTTGCTAAGAAACTAGCGTCATCCTCATATTTGTTTTCAGGCAGGGGATTTGTATTTCCCCAGCAATGCGGCTTCTGAACACAAGAGCTTTCATCACCCTTGTCTACAGGCATACATTTAAATAGTTCGGTATTAGAATTAGTTTTCTCTTCATTTATCTTAACATCAATACGTTTTGGCTCGTATGATACATTTTCGACAGGACGTGCTACTTCCGTTGTAACACGTGAGGTAGACTGCCATGACGATGACTGTGACATTGTATTAGGAGGTACCAGCACATTGTCATCAGGTATCTCATCGTATGGGTGACGGCAAGTTGAAGGTTTTGACCAGTACACAGGCTGGGTAGCCCCCGCTCCCGACCAAGACACTAAAGTCGAACTTGTCCAAGGATTGGAAACTGTATCAGACGTGAAACTAGGAGACGGACAGGCTACAGTTGACCGAGTGTGAACATTTGATGTCAGTGAAGCTTCTTGAAGCTTGGCAGGTTTGACTGGTAGAGGTTCTGAAGGCGGAAGATAGAACGGCAGTGGAGGAGGATCCAATACAAGAGGATGATTTGATGCAATGACAGAGTTAGATGGAAGGGGTGGATCGGACGGAAGTGGCGGACGAGGATCCGATGGGAGTGGAGGAGGATCTGATGGAAGTGGAGGATCCGCTGGGAGTGGAGGATCTGATTGGAGTGGAGGAGGAGGATCCGATGGAAGTGGAGGGGGAGGATCTGATGGAAGTGGAGGACGAGGATCCGCTGGGAGTGGAGGGGGAGGATCCGATGGAAGTGGAGGACGAGGATCCGCTGGGAGTGGAGGGGGAGGATCTGATGGAAGTGGAGGGGCAGGATCTGATGGAAGTGGAGGAGGATCCGCTGGGAGTGGAGGATCTGCTGGGAGTGGAGGAGGAGGATCCGATGGAAGTGGCGGGAGAGAATCTGATGGAAGTGGCGGATTGGAGAGCTGAAATGGTGAACTTGGTGGTTTTGATGGAATTGGAGGTGGAGCACAAGATGGAAGGGGAGGAGGAGGTTCTAAAGGAAGACGAGAATCAAAAGGAATTGTAGAATTTGGTATAACCGGAAGGTCAGATGGGAGTGAAGGAGCAGTCAGTGGGAGTGAAGGAGCACTCGCTGGTAGCGCTGGACTGGCAGTGGACGGGAGAGGAGGAGTAACTGATGGGATTGGAGGAGCGACAAGAGGAAGAGTAGTAGCGGTAGAAGGAAGAGTAGGAGAGACAGAAGGAAGAGTAGGAGTGGTAGAAGGAAGAGTAGGAGAGGCAGAATGAAGAGTAGGAGTGGTAGAAGGAAGAGTAGGAGAGGCAGAAGGAAGAGTAGGGGCCGTAGAAGGAAGAGTAGGAGCGGTAGAAGGAAGAGTAGGAGCGGTAGAAGGAAGAGTAGGAGCGGCAGAAGGAAGAGTAGGAGCGGCAGAAGGAAGAGTAGGAGCCGTAGAATAAAGTGGAGGATGAGCAGCTGATGGATGTGGAGAAGTAGCAGGAGGAGGCAAGACGGATGATGAGAGAATATCTGATGAAGCTGGAAGAGGACTCTTCAATGAAGCCGGCAATTCGTTCTTCGCTGGACTTGGTGATATTTCTGATGACGGCAAAGGCAAAACTGGCGCTGATGAGAGACGAGTTTGACTGCATGGCTCTGATGAAGGTGAAACCATCGTTTCCGTTGGTTGGGGACTAAGATGAGGCAACACAAGTCCGGCAACATTGAAAGATGCTGAGGTTTCTTTGGATGGATCGAGTAACTTGCAACTGTCGCGGCTATACGGCGGAACTTCTTTTGGTAAACCATCTCTGGATCCTGTCCCAGATGGAGGACGACAAGGTGAAGACTTCTGGCTTGAATGCTCTTGCAGACTTGGCTGTGAATTCGCAATGATTGTTGATTGTTGAGTACTTGCAACTAATGCTGAAGGAATTGAGTCTTGCGGTTTTGCAACATCAGTAGTCTCGATAAAATTATTGAGAGACTCCTTCACAGAGTCAGATAGTACTACAATATTTTTGCTAGACCTAACATCATAAGATGTGGCCTCACGAAGAGGCTCGGGAAGTTTGGAGCGCAAAGAATTTTGATGCAACGCTAAATGATGAATTTGCGAATTGGATTTTTTATTGTCAACCAGTTCAGGAGATGCATTGAAACAAGAAGACAAGGGAAATAAATTCATTTCTTTTCTTTCTGAGGCTATATCTGCAGAAAGTGGAGGAAGAAATGAAGTGGTGGTTGATATTCTCAGTGGAGAAGATTGAATAATTGCTGTTGATACAACTGCTGTGTCATACCCAGGGCTTCTTTTCGTGGTAGAGACTGGTGTTGTCCATGGGCTATCAAAACCATTCGGGGATTCATCTCGCAAAGGTGATAACTGATACGTGGCAATTTTTTCTGTTGGCTCTAACTCATTTCTGAAATTTGAACATGTTGGAGGGGATGTTGTCTCATCTTGCAAAGGCGAAGGATTTCTCACACAATATGAATCAACATCACCCTCACATATTTTCTGGTTTGGTTTCACACTTCTCAATGCCAGAGGTATCACTAAATTTGGATCATATTCAGTCCTCTTTGAATTAATTCTATTCTCAGATTTCATCATGCCACATTCCTGATCTGAAAGTGACCATGATGACCCATCCATTATTTCTTCTTCTGGGTTTACAGTTTTCATGATGATGTCAACAAAATCTAAGATATCCTTACCATCATCATTATCCTCTCCAATGGATGAGCACTGATCTGGTAATTGTCGACTCTTTGCTGTAGATTTCTGTTCAGATGAACCAGATGCAAAGCTTGTGTCCCAAGTTCCCATCTCATCGGGAGGTGAGTATGGGACTTCACCAGGCGAGTAGGGTGCATCATCATTGAAGGTATTTGATTCAGTATCGGAATGATCTATTGTATGAGAACAAGCACTTGAAAGTTCAGATCTTGTGTTGCTTCCATGCAGTCTTTTGGCAAACCTTTCATCCTTCTGAAGGTGCTCAGTAGATTTTTGAGCACTTTCAAGTAATTTGGTCATACCAACATTTTGAGCGGTTCCTGAGTCTGTTTTTTGCTTCTTCAGCTTGTACAAATAATCTTTGACAGTGTAAAACTCATCTCTGATTTCAGAAAAAAGTTCATGAATTTTGCGTTTCCTGGAACTAGAAGATCGATTTCCAGGTTCACTAATGTACAAAGATTTGGTGTCATAGTACTTCTTTTTCAAGGTTTCAAAGTACTTAATCCTACCTTTCCTATCCAAGGAGTCCATCACTTTGATGATAGAATCACGATTAATCCCATCACTTTGGGCGCTTAGTGAAACTGATGAAGCACAAGGACTTGGAGTCAATGTGGAAGTTGAAATGTTACCAGTGACAGTTGCTTGATGTTGGCTTGCTACAATTGCTGGGTGAGGTGTTCCCCTTAAGGAATTGTCGGCATCATATTTTTCCATTGCTGAAACTGGGCTGGACGAGTGCGCCCTATCATCGCCAGAGAACATCTCTAACTGGCTACTATGCGAGTCAAACTCTTCATGATGGGAGCAAGCAGCTGCATGCTTTGGAAACGTGGGCGGCATAGTTGCCTCTGAGAACACATTATAAGTCATTATTCCAGTGGTACAATTATTCCGAGGATCAGCATTAGTCTTGTCGCCCTTTCCAAATCCTATTGTTGGCGTCAATGGTTTAATCATTGTGTTCATTGCTTCATGGCGCATTTCATGGCCATGAGTTTTATTGAAAGGTCGTGAACGTTTCGACCATCCCTCAATAACAGCTTTAACTGGTGGAGGCTTGTCCAGTGGTGACCGTGAAGGAGGAACATGAGCTTGCATCTCACGAAGCTGTCTCCATTCCTTGTAAGATTTGGGCACCTCCTTCAAATGTGCTGTGTTGAGAGGCGGGAGGTGACGGTTGAGAGCAGGAAGAGGAGCAGATGTCTTGGCCTCAGGCTTCTTCTTTGGTATTCTGAAACAAATATAATATTAAACAAATGCTACAAGAATGAGCTTACCTAAAATAACAGCTGAATGTTATACATCATGGTAGCTACGATTTCACAAAGTATATAAATCCATGTAAAAATACATGTGTATGGGCAAAAAGTTGTCAACAGGTCATGCTGGCAATTGATGAAACAAACTAGGCATGAGAATCAAACAAGCTCATGAATCATAGTAAAATAATTAATAAAACTGGCATAAAACTTACTTGAAGCCAGACAAGAGAGAAGCATTAACTGATGGACCATCCTGAGAAGTGCTGGTTTCAGGTGCTTCTGAACTTGGAGTAATGGATTTTTTGGATAGCTTCTTACTAATTTCTGCAATTTTTTCTTTCCGCGTGACATTATTTACTATTTCTTTAACATTTGCCTTATCACGGGACATACTTTCCATAGCCTCAATGAGAGATATACTTTTGTTGGGCTTTGCCTTAGATGATGATGATGAAGGCTCAGGGACATTTTTGAGAGTCTTCACAGGCAAATCTCCCTTCACAGATAAATCTCCCTTGGACTTTTCACAAATTGTCTTTTCTTTCTTTGTCTTTGGAATGCAATCAACTTCACTCTTTTCTGGACAATTCAATTTTGAGTATGAAGAATTTTTCAATGAGTCATCTTTAGCTCGAATGTGATAACCAAGTTTAAGGCGTTTCATCTCTTTGATCACCATTTTCTTATACTTTCTTCTATGAGCTACATTACGCAATTTAACAACACAATTGGCAATCCTATGCTCCAGAAGTAATTTTGTAAAATTAATTGAGCAGTTATTCGACAATTTCTCAGTCAGCATATCATCTTTTATACCCTTAACTTCCACACGTTCTTTATGTTGTCTTTCATTACAAGATGCTTCTTCCTCAACAGTTTTCGCTGAAAGTTCAATTTTCATGGAACTCTCTTGGGCATTGAGGTCAGAAGTTGCTGCAAATTTATCATCTCCAACACCACTAAGAGCGTTATCATGAGAAGGATTGGAATCATTAGTTGGAGGTGATGGCTGGGAATTAAAACTTTTCTCTAAAGACAAGTGATCTCCACTGTTAGCAACAGTTTTGGTATGGTCATCTTTGCAGTTCACAACACTTAGTGGAACAAGAGCTTCACTTTCAGCTTCCAAGCTAGTCTGTTTCTCATTTGGTTGCACAGTTGCTTCAAGATAAACACCACTGCATCCAGGTTCAGATGATGATGCCAAAGAAGTGTTTTTCTCATTTGAGTCAAATTTGGATTCCCTTTTCAATTTTCTTCCTTTGGTCTTGGATTTTTTTTCAGCGTGATGGGTCTGGATCTGGTGTTTATTAGAAGATGGAGAGTTTAAACTAATTTCACCTGTCATGGAGGTGCCAGGAACATCAAGTTGGCTGAGCTTTTTGTAATTGCATGCAGATGCCATAAATGCACCAGAGCTATTTTCTGAATTTGTGCGACTCTTTTTGGGAGCCTCTTTTTTGGAACCCTTGGGCTTTGGTCCCCTTTTAGTTGCAACAAATACAATGTCTTGAGAAATAGATGATACAGAATCTTCATATAAATGTAAAACTTGATCTTTATTGGCTGTTCCCTCCTTAGGAGCACCGTCAACATGTTGATCTAAAGGGCCTCCTAGAAAAACATTGGATTTATTCTTCTGTTTAGCAGTTTGTTTCCTTGCAGATGTTCCAGATATTGCCTTAGCCTTTGGCCCATCATTCTTGTTATTAGCACCATGTTTCATGTACTCTTTGTTTTTCTTATGCTTTCTCATCTTGAAATGTCTTTTCCATGATGAAATTGAACTACCATATGTTTGACAAAATTGTTGCACTATTTCTTGATCTTCTTCAGGGAAGTTTTTGATATCATGTATGCTGCTATCCAAAGATGGAATATGCACTCTAGGCATACTTTTCTGAACTCCATCAAACATTGCCATGTCAACTACTTGTGCCAGAGTTGACTGAGAGATGAGCTTAGCAGCATGCAGTTGCTCTCGGCTGTAGGTTGTAACAGTTTCATCTATTCTGAATCTAACTTCAAATGCTTGTGATGAACCTTCATAACCAAGCTCCTGCTTCACAACAAGATTATCAAAAGAGCTCATGTTGCTACTTGTTTCTATATCAATTAAGCCAGGTTCTTCCTTAATAGGAACAATTTCAAATGGATGACTAATCAGCTCAGAGGGAGAATTTTCAATGAAGTCCACAGGCTCCTCCTTTACCAACAAAAGATTTACTGGTATTGCCGGAACATACTCAACAGATGTAATAGATTCATTAGCAGGGTTATCAGAAAATTCCCCTAGGCTAGTTGGTAAACCCGTAGGAGCAGCTAGAGATGAATGAACTGGACTGATAATTGAACAATCTACTGAATCAACGGGCAATTCAGTGCATGGCTCACTATGCTCAGAAGTGCACGGCTCACTATGCTCAGTAGTGCACGGCTCACTATGCTCAGTAGTGCACGGCTCACTATGCTCAGTAGTGCACGGCTCACTATGCTCAGTAGTGCATGGCTCACTATGCTCAGTAGTGCACGGCTCACTATGCTCAGTAGTGCATGGCTCACTATGCTCAGTAGTGCATGGCTCACCGTGCTCAATGGTGGATTGAGTAGCTAATAGACCATTGCATTCTGTAGATGCCTCCAAGATAGGAGATTTGCTTGCACCTTGACTAGCATCATTAGAATTACTCTCTATCTGGTTCAAGACCTTATTCAAAAAATCAATCTCTTCTGCAGCAATAGCTAGAGAAGATGACAGAGGAGAACTTGTATAGCTTACATTGTGACCATTTTTCTCCATTGATGAATTCTTGTCCGTCATCTGTGGGGTAGACAAGTTATGGACATCATCAGATTAAATGCACAATATAGGAGAGGATTGCACAAGAATCGTAAATACAATTTTATCATTAAGATAGTCAGATTTTAGGCAATATAAAATATGCAATATGCTGTAAAAAGCAAGGTAATCCGTCTTGGCACATTTACCAATAATTATAACTTAGGGCAGGCAGTCAAGTTTTAGAATATGTGTATTTATTCCAACATGATTCTCAACACCTATGATATGCCCATGAGAAGAAAGCTCGGGGTTGTGCTATTCCATAGGAGTGTGTCCAAATGGTCATATTCCATAGGAGTATGTCCAAATGGACATATTCCATAGGAGTATGTCCAAATGGTCATATTCAATAGGAGTGTGTCCAAATGGTCATATTCCATAGGAGTATGTCCAAATGGTCATATTCAATAGGAGTATGTCCAAATGGTCATATTTTGTCAATGGGCATTAAAGGCCTAATACTGAGGCTACGTAACACAATATAACGATTAAAAAAGTTTGCATATCTAATAGGTTAAAAAATTAAAAATGTGACCCATGAAAAAGAGCTATTATTTAAAGCCTGTCGGAGTACCCCCTCCAATTTTTGTATCTTTTGGTAAAATAGCTCCAGGTTGAACGTATTAAAGTATTAATGTCACTTATTTGCTTAAATCGTAAGTTGACTAAAAATTTAAAAGCAAAGAATAGTCCACAAAAATTCATATCTTTATAGAAAACGTTTCGGAGTCTAGCTCCATCGTCAGTTCGTAGAATCTAGAACATACATAGAAAGTCACAAGTTAATACAATTGAAAGCACAGAACACAATTAGAACCTAAATTTACAAGTAATAGGGCATAAAAATCTATCTATTCACAATTTCAAGAGGATAGGAGCTCACAGCTGAATTTAAACTGGGCCTAAGCTTAAAAATGTACAACGTTTTCTATAAAGATATGAATTTTGTGGACAATTCTTTGCTTTTAAATTTTTAGCTCCAGGTTTTGATGCATTGTAGTAGAACTCTTCTAGTTACATATGCAAATAACAAATTTGAGGAAAGTGTCATAGTTTGCAAATGGGGGGCACTGCCCCTGAATGGGGGAACTTAGACTACCTAATGTCAGCCATGATGAGATAACATAGACCAGCTTGGAAATTAATATAAAATTACCATATATAACATATTATATGTTTGATACACCTATTAATGTTTTTTATGTTTCAGACTCTACAGAGTCTTATATATGGTAATTTTAATTTATTTCCCAAGCTGATCAATATTACCCCGTCACAGCTGACATTAGGTGGTCTAAGTTCCCCCATTTGGGGGTGGTGCTCCCCATTTGCAAACTATGACATGCGCCCCCCATTTGCAAACTTCTTCAAATTTGTCATTTGCATATGTAACTAGAAGAGTTCTACTACAATGCACCAAAACTTTGAATTATTTGAAGTTATTTTACCAAAAAATAAAATTGATTTGACCACCCAGTCAAAGAAACCCCAAGAGCTGGGGTAACAAAGACCATCACTTTTTTTGAAATTACATCAAAACTATGAGAGGCAGGAGCCAGCAATTTATGGTGATTGAAGCTAGAGTATAGACCTGTATTTTGCAGGTTTCAATTTAAGTTTAACTTATCTAGTAAAAAAATGACATCATTTTGAAAAAAAAGTGGTCAAAGTTAACCCATTTACGGTACCATGGATGTGGAGGTTTAAATGTAACTGTAACATGGTCTGCTTCAGGCCATTTAATTTACTTGGAAGTTGCTGCAGTGAACTATGGTGCTACCACGGCTTAAAAAAATAGTATGTTATCATCGTTGTTTATGCTAGCTATTTTTTATATTTACTAAATATAAAAAATACTATATTTACTAAAGTAAATACTGTTCTGAAACAACTGTTAAGTGATATATGAATGCATTTAAATGTTACTAATGTCATGAGAAAGCTATATTGTGACATGAATGCAGCAACTGTACATGCTGCAAGGATACTATAAAATTATAAATTTATTTTTTCAATCATACAACTTTAAAATTAGGAGATATTTATTCAATATCACTAATTAGATGAGGTGGGAATGCCATGCTAAAATTGTTGAAAGAATGAGCATAAAACTGGCACAGTAAGTTTTATTTTACAATTTCCTTAGCTTAGTTTCTAACATGAGTAACTTGTCAATAGAAAAATTGCTGCCTCTTGTATCCCACAAAAACAGATTTCATGAGCATGATGGAGTGAAGTCAATTTATTAGGATTTTTATGGCAAATTTACAAGGACTAACATAACTGCAACACTTGGCTGTCAATGTATGCCAGCCAACAATCATGTGTTAACAACTCCAACAACTGTCACGTGTGCAAAGATCTGTTTTAGGAGCGTTTTCCAAAAATTTAAAGCCAAAATAGGCTGTTTTTCCTAATACTGACCAAAAATTAGGGAAATAGGAACATGGAAAGGGAAGGAAAATAGGAATGTGTTAAGGAGAAGGGAAAGAAAATGGGAAAGGAAATTTATGGATAATTGCAGCACACAAGAATGATCAAACAACATTGCACAAAAAGTGGAGACAGAATTCCACACATTCCTATTTCCAAGAGAAATGGGAACAGATAAAAATGCTAAGGCTGAACAACCTTGCATGGTTTTTTACCACGTTTTTCTTAGCTCGCTTTCGTGTCCGTCTGTGATGATCAAATCTTGCAATCGATATTACACCAACTTTCCTGCTAGCTAGCGCTTTGAAACTTTTAGGGAAGCTCAGCTCCCGATGACAATACAATAATCAATAATTTGTTGCACGTTTCCAGGCGTATTTATTCAATGAAATGCGTGGAATTTATTCAATTGGTGCAGGAAATGAAATGAAATTACATGCACCAATGTATCCCCTCGAATACAATTTTCTGCAGAACTTTGAAAAGAATTTTCTTTCATGCATTTGCGTGGCCAACTGAAATAAAATGAATATTATGTAGGACTAAAAAGGAGAAAATAAAATACTTAAAAAAACTTTTAAAAACCACATTTTCTTGTGGACTAAAAAGTAAAAAATAAATTATGGTTTGCCCCAAAAAACGTGGGTTGGACAGATTTATGATTGAAGCAAAAAGCACACAACACACGAATTTTGGAAATTTGATGGTGAACATACAAACCGACCCACATTTTTTGGGGCGAGCCATAATTTATTTTCTACTTTTTAGTCCACAAGAAAAACGTGATTTTTTAAAAAGTTTTTTTTTATTTCAACTTTATTCACAGGAGGCTTTTGTCATACTTTCCATTTTAGCTCATATAGTTTTTGACTGGTTAATGTTATCACTAATCACTGGCATATTCAAGGTTATTCTAAATAATGGATTCAATTTTAAAATTTCATGTTATAATATTTTCAATACTTTTGGAATCTTCCAGCTTGCTTGTGCACTTTTATTATAGTAAGATAGAAAGTAATTTGATTAACAATAAGATAAAAGGTAATTTATTTAGCTATACGATAGATCGTAATTTATCTTACAGGAATTCTGTGGCTCCAAGAATGGTGGAAAAGTGCTAGTCCAACTTTGAAATTTCATAGTTGCCCATAGATGTTCAATAAATGATGAAATAGTTTTTGCTGAAAATTTCTGTACAAACTAATTGAGCCCTTCAGAGCCTGTGTGATTTTTTTTATTGACTTCATTCACAAGTTATACAGTTGCCAGGCAGCTCACTGGTAAATGATTTTCATTCAAATAAAAACAGTAAAACAAAGCCAAGCTTCTACTATCATGGGCATTGAGGTTAGGTTCACGTAACAAAATTACCTTTTGAATAAAAACCATCTCTTACAGATGACAATAGCCATATAACATATGTGCGAGGTTAAAATATAAAAATGAACTACCTAGATATGAACTAACGGTCTGTGAGTTTGGGTGCACAGTTTCATTGGAATCTGTTCTGAAGTTTGGTGATATTTGTTGGTCATTGCAACTTGGATGACTGTTCATGAAAATGTCTGATAAGCAGCCATATAACTTGGGGGTGAAGCAGAAAATTGAAAAAAATTATGATATAAACACAAGCAAAATACTTAAGACATCTAAAATACACAGACATCTAAAATGCAGATATCTAAAATAGTCATGATTGGGTCATAGAAACATTTCATTGTGTTGTAATTTAAAAAGCATTGTCCTAAGGCACTCTCAATGCAAGCACTCAAATATATGTACTCTGGGCCATCGGAACTATGCGCTACAGCCCGTAGTTCAAGTGGCTGTGAGTGCATATGCTTGGGTGCTCAAATATATGCACTTGCAAGCCACAGCCATCGGAACTACGTGCTATGACTGGAAGTTCAGGTGGCTGTGAGCGCGAATGCTTGGATGCTCATATATGTGTGCTCACAGGACACAGCCATCAAAAGTATATGCTTCAACTTATAGTTCAGGTGGCTGTGAGCATGCATGCTTGGGTGCTAAAATATGGGTATTCACAGGCCACAGCCATTGGAACTATGCTCTTCAACTCATAGTTCAGGTGGCTGTGGGCGCATATGCCTGGATGCTCAAATATATGCGCCCACAGACCACAGCCATCAGAACCATGTGCTACAACTTGTAGATCAGGTGAATGTGAGCTTGTTTGTTTGTGTGCTCGAATATACATGCTCACAGGCAAGTCATCGGACCATGCACTATGACTTCTTGAGGCAGCTGTGAGTACGTATGCTTTGGTGCCCAAATTTACATGCTCACAGGCACAGCCCATGGCTTATCAGAACAATGCACTATGATGCATAGTTTTGATCATAGCTTGTAGAATGATTTAGTGCATTGGCCATATTGATCACAAATTGTGATTTATGGAGATGCATAATTGGCAGCCGCCGTCCAGTGGCATCCACCTTGATCGTACCTTGGTGTCTTGGTGCAATGTGAAGTTGGTCTTCAATTATTGTTAATGAAATAATATGTCTTGTCAGTCTAATTAAATTTTTTAAATGTCTTATCATATACCACTCTGTGAATGAATTTCTGTATCTGTGAATGTCTGTATACTCAAACATAGTGGCAATTAGCAAAGCAGAGAGTTTTTTTTTTAGACTCTCCTAGTATCCTTCAAGAACTTCAATTTTTAGTCCTGTAAGTTGACTAGCAAACTATCATGGATACCAGCATCATCATACATAAGATATGGGTTTAAATCTTGTGTATGTGAGAAAATTAAAAATGAACCAATTCCGAAAAATTACTGGTTTGCCACTATGCACTTGAATGTCTGTGTTATCATATACCACTCCTTCAATCATATGGCATTGAAGGAGTTATTAGGAGTGTGACTTTCCCAAATTAATTAACACAGCCTCTTAATTTTTCATACTGAAATTTTTGGATCAAAACACGGACTGGCCTACATTGATCAAAAGTAATACATGAACCACCATTTTTATAATTCCTTCTTGTGACAGTGCAATGCAAATGCAGTGTGAAATTATAGATGGGTATTAAATTAATTAGTACACATATTTTATTAGGAAGCAGGACCTGAAAGCTTGACAGTGATTTTCCAGCAGTGATTGACTGATTGCCAATTGGTAGATGGGATAGTGATGTCATCCTTTCCAGTTCCAGCAGTGATTGGTTATGCCCAAATATGGTATGTGTACTGGTTAACTTAAAACTTAAACTAACTCAACTTAATACTTAACTTAAACTCAATCATTAGTTCATTACAAACAATGGGGCCATGGGCCTGGAAAATGTTCAAAAATGTATTAAATAAAAGAAAAATAAAAAATATTATTTAAACAAGAGACAACTAAACAATACTATAATATATCTGGGATACTACACAATTCAACAATTGGAAAAGTTTGTCCACTTCTGATCCCCCATTCCCATTATAGTCAGTCACCTGGTCCTGGCAGAGCACTGTAACTAACATAATCTAAGGAAAGCTTACCACCTTGGGTGAAAAGCTTTTTTATAAGTGAACTTCCATTCCTAGAATTCCACAGCAACTGCAACCCCAGGGAGCTAGGCCCACTGATGGTTGACATTTTATATAACTAAGCAGATATCATATAGTACTAGGGTAAACGCGGTATATTCCGACACATTAAGGTTTGTATTCAAAGCCGCCCGAACTCCACAGCGAGCTTGCTCGAGTTTGCTGCCGAGCCGCGTGAGGGCTGGTTATCTTACGTCTGGCCGTCGCGATGCCGGATAGGAATGCGTGCTTGCTCAGGCCATGTCGGGCTGGACCACAGTACAAGCTCACAACAGTGCAGCATGTAATGAATGAGCTTTGACTACTGCCAGCAAATTCTTTGCTATTTACAGCGCGATCGCGCGATCTTAAAAAAAAAACAAATAAACATAAAACAATGATTGCGCCAAACCTTAAAAATATATAAGCATAAATTGAATTTTTTATTGTAATTAATTAATTTAATTATTTTTATTTGCTTATATTCTCATCCCTAGTATATAAATGCATTATATTCAAAACCGAAATAGTGTCTATGATATTTAATTTAAATAGTATAAATTTCTACACGAAAGACAAATTATCGCTAGATTATTAATTATTTTTTCGTAATCATGGCAATTCTATGGGCACGTAAAAATAAGGTTACAGATACGCGCCGAAATTTTACTTATATTAATAAGTGAATATATTAATAGAATACAACTTGTATGTGCATAGACTTGGGAAGAGACGCCCTAAAAGGTGTTTAGGCAGCTGAGCTCAGTGAGCTGTTCCCTCACACCCCTCCCCTCTACCCCCACCTCCGATGTGCGGGTATCCCATTTGGTAATACGAGCCGATGATTCAGGCCAAGTAGACTGTTTTCGAACAATTATATCCTCATCTACAGTATATAAATGCACAATATTCAATACCGAAATTATGTCGATGATATTTAATTTAAATAGCATAAATTTTTACGAAAGACAAATTGTCGCTAGATTAGGCACTAATTATTTTTTTTGGGGCACGTTAATACTATAGGCACGTAAAAAGAAGGTTACAGAAACGCGTCGAAATTCTAACTTTAACTGGTAATTAAGATATA